TAACTCAGTGAGAAATCTGTCCTTGGCAAGGAGAATGATTATCTTTCTAACACTATGGTAGAAAAAGAATTATTTGTAAATTTAGTTTTTATTTTTTCAAAATTTCATATGTTCATGTGATTCTAAGAATAAAATTGTTCTATGAGACTTTTCTGGAGAAAATAGAAAATGGGGGTGGGTAATTTTTCCTGAGACTCTAGAAGGGCCATATCATATCCCTACCCATTTGATATGTCTGACCTCCAGAAATGCCAGAGAATAAATTTGTATTGTTTTAAGTCCCTAATCTTGAGGCAATTTGTTATAGCAACAAGAAGAGACTAATATAGTGTGCAAACCTTCACACATTACCCTTTTTCATCACAGAACCTCTGTTTTAAACTATACCTGAAGTTGTATCTTTTTCAGGGAATGACCCTCTGGTCTTTGTCAGGATAGGAGGGGAATGGTTGCTTTGCTGCTAGAAAGACCAAACTTCTTGTTTCCAGCCAGACTTCACCTCTTCTTCCAGAAGTACTTCGTGGTACCAAATCCCAGACTTTTACTGGATCTATGGGGGGTAGACCATGTGGCTTTTGAGCATTCCCAAAGATGGTTTAAGGTCCAGCTTTGCAGGTCGGCTAAGTTAGTTACCATCCAAACTTTACTTTCCAGCCTCTGAAATTTTGATGCTATCATCTCTCGTTTTCCTTGTCATTACAGTGGCACTGCAGTCCCCCCTGTGCAATCCCCCAAACAAAATCCAACCCATTGTTATTGTTTCATTGTGACTTATGATTTCCAGAGGGATTAGATTAGTTAATTAGCTTTCTGATTTCAGGAGGCAGTGTGTATAGTCAATCAACTTAGACAAATTTGCAAAAATCTAAGTGCCAATATTTTATACTGTTTTCCTGGGTGTGGTGAAGGATTGTATATAGTATATATCTAGAACATCACATTGTGCTAGGAGAGTTGTACATGATGTGTGTCGATATGACATGTACAAGCCAAGATAAGCAGCTTTAATAGGAGGGAGAACTGAATTTCATTAAAACCTTTGCCACTTTTTTGGCATGACTTTGAGTAAGTAACTTGGCAGAGTCTTATTTTCCTCATCTCTAAGTATTTGTTAATATTGTAGAAATTTCATTTAACTGACATTACATTTAAATGACTTAAAGGATTCAGTTAGATAAGATGATGGAGTGTACCCCCAATATGGAACAGAATTAACAGGCACACTGAAATGAATTATAAAGATAGTACTGTGTAATAAAATATTCATGGGATGAATGAATATCTTGATATGCATTTCAGAAAACAACAATGAATAAGGGACTCATTAAGTGCTATATGAACCTTAAAACAGACAAAGCATCCAAATTAATCTTAAGTTTTTATTTCTTTCTTTCTACCCTCTCCATTCTTTTGAACAGAAGGTATATTTTGAACTTTTTAAGTTTCTCATTTGCCTAAAAAAACCATAGATGTTAAGATTAACAAAGAAAAGAAGAACAACCTAATCAGTGCTCCTCTAGTCCTTCCCCTTCTAATCCATTTTCCACGTGGTAAACAGAGTGAACTAAACAAATAAACAAAAAACCCTACATATCAGAGTGAATCACTCCACTAAATAACATCTCTTATTAACTTCCCATTTTTCCTGGAATAAAAACAAACCTCTTTGGCGCAAGCTACCAGGCTCTGCCAAGCTCCTACCTTATCTTCAGCATCATCTTGGGCCACTGTCTTCCTTCTGTTTCCTTGCAAAGTGACTTGTACTTAGTCACTGCTCGAAAGTTACTTGTTGCACAAATGGATTAATGACTATATTAAGAGAAAAGAAAGGGCCATTTTAAGGACATTGCTTTATTTTCTAATTTTCTTCCTGGTGCAGGCAAGAAAACTGCTAGGGACTCACTATCTTGATAATGCTTACGTTTGGTTTTGTTCTTAGAGTCAACAGAATTGCTCAGGAGAGGGGAGAGGCTCTAGATGGAGAGGAGGGAGATTGTCTGCTTTCTAATGAGTGTGCTGGATCAGAGAGAGAAGATGGCTGTACTGAGGCTACTATACCTTCTACCAGACAGTGCAGGCCTAGATCCTAACACAGGGACTGGCACACAAAAAAGGTGTTCAATAAATTTTTGATGGCTTTATGACTAAAAGTGGCCTCCTTACTATCCCATGTGCCCTCCAAACTGCAAGTGACCCTTTGTGATTTCTCCCGTACTGCTACCATTGAAGGCAGCTTTTGCTCATTTTTTGTTGTATGTTTTAATAGAGGGAAAGTCAGCATGTGGGTTGTCTAGGATTAGCTAAATTCTAAGTCCACTTTGGAAGAGGCCCATTAATTATTCTAATTCATAAGCATTCCCCTGCATGATCACAAAGACGATTTCCTTTCAAAGTCACTGGAAATTTCACTTCTTAAATCTAATGTAATAGCTGGAAAAGAAGTTTGTTCTGAGAAAAAAAAAACAAAAAACAAAAGAAAGACTTGAGCTATGGTTTAATATGGACAGGAATGCCAATATGTTACTGAGCATTTTCTGCTTGGCTTACTTGGCTTCAGGCAGACAGCACAGTGAGCACTTGTGTTGTTAAGTGAACCATTTACCTCCCTGGGGTGAAAGCTGGCCAAGCTCACTTGGCCCCAGGAGCTTGGCAGAGGGTGGTCTGGTAGGGTGTATGACACTGTCTTGTGGAATAAGATTGAGGCAAACTGGAGAAGCCCCTTCTGGCATACAGAAGATGGCATTGTTTGGTAATTCCTTGAAATTTCTCAGTTCAGGTTTTATTTACAAGTCACCTCCACTTGTCCGCCAAGACAATACATCAGTAATGGCCACTGGAAATGACCTTGATAAATGTGCTGAAGTCATCGTTGGGCACTTTCTTGTAAAATTAAAGGATTTGCCACTTACTTTGCATGACTTTGAAAGTGTTGCATAAGTTAGCAATGTCAGCTGAGTTTTAGAATGGGGATTTTGATTTAGTATGCTACATATTTAATATCCTTTAAGACTTTTTTTTGGTCTTATTAAAATCTTAGTGATTATAGGGGTAGAAAAATTTTCCCTTCTTCTGTTTGATTTTCTTTGAATGTCCAATAGTTAAGTTTACATATAGCAGGCTAATTAATAGGAGAAAAACTGATTTCATGTGTACAGCAGTCCAAAGACTTGAGAGCCAAAGACAGCCAGGCAGTTGAGGCTTATGGGCCTCTGTGAGCCAGGGAGAAAGTCTGTAGGGGCCTGGGGCTTCAAGGGGGAGAAAGACAATTCACAGAAAATCAGAAAAGCAAATGTTGGTAAACCAATGTAGGCCATGCCATTCAGATACTCATTTTGATATAAAAAGCTAATTCTGGTAATAACCCTTATCCTATCATGGCTCCCTATCAAAATTCTTTTAGGCAGTTAAGGGAGCAGTAAAAAGAAAATAATGAAAAAGAAAAAACATCTCTTCCTAAGTCTGATAGGCCTCGATTGTCTTCAGTTCAAAATAATTCACGTGCCAAAGTAGCTTATTTTGGAGTTATGGACTCTGCTCTGTAAAAATCTGTTTAATCTTCACATAAGTTCTATCAGGTAAGCAGTGTTACATTCTACTTTTTTTCAGATGATGAAACTAAGATACAGACATACTAAGTTTCTCAAAATATATAGTCACTTAGTGATGAAACTTAAATTTTCACATATGCCTACCGAACTCCAGAGTCTAAGCTCTTAAGAACCATGAAATGTTCCCCTAAGATTTCTGGAATGTTGTTATCATGCATTCATACCCTAGAGTGAGAGAGCTTTTCTCTATTGTCTTGCTTAAGATAGGTAAATATAATTATTCATAAGGTTGGCAGGGCTGAAAACAAATTTCATATACTTTACAACACTGTTTAAGACTGATTCTTAGTCTAAACCTTGAAACCCTGAATTGGTATCTGACTGCTTTAGTCAAGAAAATGTGAATCATTTACAGATCATTTTAAGGATAGAATGTAGTATATCTGTAGATTCTATAGTTTGAGATCCAGCCCATATAGAAGTACTATTCTCAGATGAGATTTTTCAACCCTAAAAACTTTATTATGAAGGGCCTCCCCGATGGCGCAGCGGTTGAGCGCTGGGTTGCGAAGCTGCCCGCAGCCTCTGCAGCGCTGGTTCGATCCCAGGCTGCTCTCCGGCTGCTCCCTGGCCACTGGAGGAGGGTCCCACATGGCACGCAGACCTCTCCTGCCGCCCGCTGCTCCCCTCAGCAGTGTGCTTCGGTCCTTCTGCCTGTTCTGCTCCCCGCTCTGGCTCTGGTGAATTCTCTCACCCTCCCACGCTTCTGACTGTACCCAGTACATGTATAAACCAAACAAACAAACAAATAATAAATAAATAAATAAGACATGCCTCTAGAAAAAAAAAGAGAGAGAGAATATAAAGGCAGATACTTACGCTTTGTTTTCCTTAAACATTTATTTTATTTTTTTAAGATTTATTTTATTTATTTATGCATATAAGAACTAGGGTGTAGGTCAGAGGTGTGGGGGGTTGAGAAGATTCACTAGAGACAGAGTGGGGAACAGAACAGGCCGATCTACTGAAATACACTGCTGAGGGGAGCAGCAAGTGAGACAGGAGGGGTCTGTTGTGCCATGTGCGTAGCTCCCTGGCCAGGGATGGAAGTCATGCTGCAGTGGCTGGCATAGCTTGATAGTACTGAGATTTTAACCTCTGTGCCACCAGGAGGCCCCTCCTTATACATTTAAGCCATGGTTTTTTTCTTTTTTCTTTTTTTTAATGGGATGAGCTCTGTATTTATGGGCATGTCTTAGTATCACTGTCACCACGTTTTTATTTCTGTAATTAGCTCTTAAAAGCACTTGTAAATATGAAACATGTAAAACAATTTGGATTTTTCCCAAAAGCAGGGAAAAAATACAAACAAAAACTCTTCAAATACTTTTAGTTGGTGTTAGAAAAGTCAGAATATAGTTTGATTTCCTACCTGTTCTTTTTTTCTTATAGAAAAACCTGTCATTGCTCAACCAATGTTTGTTTTTGAAAAGAGAGAACAAACTTTCAAGGTAAGATCTAGCTACCTTTCTTGGCATGATTTCTACTCTGTCAAGGAAAATTGTCTTTCGAGAAGCCATATCTATACTAAATGGTATCACTGCTGTGTAAGTTTATCCTCTTGTCCTTCACCTAGCAGGATATTCATGTTGTAGGGGGTTACTGATGACAATTTGACTGAAATGGGAAGCCAGAGGCCTTGTCTTGAAGCTATGCCATTTTCACCAGTATTAAGATATTAATTAATACTCCCCCACTTGAGTGGGGAGGGGCTGACAGTCTTCAGCAGGGCTAAGGCGCCTCATGTGTCCCCACCACTCTAGCCTAACACTGGCTACAAAATAAGCTCTAAACTGACATTTGATTTAAAAGGGATCTTGGGGCCCTGTCTGGTTTTTCAGCATTATATTACCTGCTTTGAAAGACAAATGATAAGATTCATAGTGCTCTTATGTTAGCTTAATCAGTATTTTCTTGTAATTCATTCTTGCCTATGCAGGTAATTTACCCTTCTACCCACAAAATTAACTGCAGGAAACACTCATCCCCCAAGCTCTTTTTGAAAAAGCAGATTCCTGGCCCCACCCCAGGTGTTTCAAAATCTTCATTTTAAACAAGTTCCTACAAGGGATTCTGTAGTTGCTGAAATATAAAACCACTCTGCTAGACTTTGCTTTTTCCTGAATACGATCCTAGCATGTAAAAGTGAGCTGCTGTGTCCTGGCCTGGATGAATAGACCCAGCTTCTGGTCTTCTTGCTTATGAAATGACAGAGAGGAAATATGATATAAACACAGGCACTACTCAGCTCTCATTGGCAGCTTTGTTTCCTTCCAGAGACCCGCAGAAGACACCCTGTATGAAGCAGCAGAACATGGTAATGATTTGTATCCTGCATTTCAAAATCAATCTTAAAAGAAAATAAATAGGTGCAAACATTTTGACATGTGGCATGGACTGTGTAAAACTTGATCATTTTTCTTGTTTAAAACACACAAATAGGGACCTCCCTGGTGGCCTAGGGGTTAAGTCTCAGTGCTATCACGCTATCACTGAGCTCCATCCCCAGCCAGGGAGCTGACCCACATGGCACAGCAGACCTCTCCTATCTCGCCCCGCTGTTCCCCCCAGCAGTGTATTTCTGTCAGTCTGCCTGTTCTGCTCTCCACTCTGTCTCTGGTGAATCCTCTCACCCCACACACACCTCTGGCCTGCACCCCAGTTCTTCTATGCATAAATAAATAAATAAATAAATAAATAAATAAATAAACAAACCAACCTTTGGAGAAAAATAAAACATAAAATAGATTAGCTTTTGCTTTGGAAGATGACATGCAGGTCCCGGAGCACCCCATGTTAACAGCAACACTAACACCCCATAGTCTCCACTGCCTGTCTCTCAACCTACTGAAAACATTCTCTGTACAACCTCAGAATGAGTAAGCAATTTCTTGCTAAAGCCACTCATTTTCAATCATTTCCTACCAGGATCATATGCCTCTCAGTATATAATCACTACGCTGGTAATCCCATTATTTTAAATTGTGCTTTGGGAGTTAGCGTGTTATCAAATGATGATATGTAGACAAAAGGAAATTCTATTTATCCTCCCATGTCATGGGTTGAGGATAATTTGTTATTGCAAGCCATTTTACCCTTCACGTTGAATTTCTTGCAGAATGTAATGGTTTTTCAAGAAAACGTGTTCGGTCTTCATCTTTTACTTTGCATACTACAGATTCTCAGTCTCGAAGAGGTAGGTATAGACTTGACTTGGCTGTTCACTGTTATGTTTACTCTGAGTATAAAGTTACTAAGAGACTCAAATGGATAATGTCTAAAAGTCTAATCACTGGGTGGTGTTTATAATACATTGTTTTACGAAGCAGCAGTCTGTGAAATAGATTGTACTATGAGTCACTATTTTAAAACTCATTTTATCAACACTGGAAAAGAGATGGAAGGATATCAGCCACATTGTTTAGTGGTTTCCTGAGGTTATGGGACTACAAGGGTTTTGGGTTTTTTCCCCTCCTCTTTTGTATTTCGTGGTGTTCCCAAAGTTTCTGCATTGAGTATGTACTGAGGTTATAATTAAGGGAAACTGCCATTTTCCCCAAAGTAACCATTTTCTTAAATAAACAGATGTCTTCCATTTAAAAATACATTTTATTCTAATAACTTTTTCATATGTGCATTCTAAATAAATTAGTAACTCAGTTTCTTCTGCATTCAAGGTGCTCTGCAGAGCCCTCTGGGAACAGATTGTACTGCCTTCTGTCTGGGTACAGCTCTTTGTGTTCGTCTGTCTGTCTCCTCCACAAACAGCTCTCTGAGGTTGTGTTGATGCCTCATTGACAGTCTTACCCGTGAAAAATACTCGAATATTTATTGAATGAAATGGAAGTGAATTTAAAATCTTCACTAGAGCACCCTTTATTTATGAAAATACAATTTTTCTAAACTAGTGAGACAGAAAATTTTCCAAAACAACAAAAATCCCAATCAAAAGAAACGCAAAACCTTCCCCTTATTGATTCCAGTTTGCAATCTGCTTTTTAGCATCTACCTTGTCCCAGAAACGAATGCGATCCTCGTCCTTCACTGATCTCCCCATCTTACCCCATTCTGGGCCAGGTAATAAAAAAGTTCTAGAACTTCAAGTCTGATGCTCTGACTTTTTAAGAACCATTCTCATTAAAATGAGCTTGCTTTCTCAGTTAACATAAAATGCTTACACTTTAGTGTCAAATGAAAGAGAGGGCCTAAGTATGCATGGAAAAAATACCTGTGAATTACAACTCCAAGTTCCAGACAATGTAGCTGTTTATTTTTGGTGGAAAGTCTGAACTTCATGTTTTTTCATAGAGTTTGTTTCATAGAATTTGTTATTTTGTATGAGGCAACCCTCAAAATACCTTGCTTTAATTTATTATTGTCCATCTATATAGTTTATAGTATATATATTTGTACTCAAAATTTGTAAGCTTGAGATTTTTATTCTAAAATTTAGAATATGATTCTTTTTGAACATTTTAATAATTAAAACTTAACATCATTTTATTTGAAATTTGCAAAACTACCTTATAATAAAATATTTGAAATGGTTGGAACATTCTCTATATTAAAATTATCTGTATTCTTTTGTATTTTTGTTTCTACTGGAAAACTCATTGTCTTTTCCCAGTTAGACTTGCCAATAAGAAATAAAAAATACTATTCACTCAAACTATTCACTTCCTTCTAAATGATCCCTCTCTACCCAGAGGAAACAGTTTTCAAACTAGTGAACCAGCATAATGGTCATGTTTACTTTAAGAATCATTAAGGAGTGAAGAGTGGCACATCACCTGCTAACAGTTTATAACATTTTTTGAGAAATATGTATTAATGCACACAGAAGTTATATTACTAATTCAAATATTATAATCTGTAGAATTTCTCTGAGTACTCTATTCATGATTTTAAATAAATGAGACTTCCTGTTCTGTTGGTGACCTAATTTCCACTTACATTTCTGAGAGTAAACAGAACTGCGTACCAGAACTCACCCTGTCACCATGCAGTTTTAGAAGAAACAGCTGCTCCCATGTGCACTGACCATTGTTAGTGCCAACAGCGACATCTGCTGGCAACTTTAGTACAGGACTGTTACTGACAGTTTTTAAAATTTCTGATTTTTTTTTTTGTAGTGAGGAAAAACAATGTTTTTATGACATCAACTCTTGTGCAAAGGAATGTTAATATGAATAGGGAAGAACAAGGTATGTAGCTTCTCTCTGTTACAAGATTCTCAGAAATCTTACATCTTACCATCTACATTTTAATCTGTGTATGTGTATATTAGTCTAAGTGACTAAACATGGGGGTATTTTATAGATTATTTTGATTTATTAACACTAATCTCATTAATTGTGACTTTAGGAAAAAATATCAAATTAGTCAAAAATAAGGAGGGAGAAGTATTTCAGCAAAAAAACATTGACCCTTATTTCTGGTGTTTTAAGGTCCTGTGAAGCATTTTGAACATTTTCTGAGACCTGCTATATTGCAGGCCCCTCTCACTCCAAGGGGTGAAAAAGTAAAAACATTTAGACACGAAACATTGGAATCCTGCAAGACTAGAGAAAAGGTAAGAAGATCTTCCTGGTAGAGCAGACCTCAACCTCCCCTTCTCCCTTTTGTGATTGTTTGTGGCTCCCACATCCAGAATTAGGGACTGCCTGATCTTTGTTCTGTTGTTAATGTCGCTGCCAGACTAGATAGCAAAAAACCACACCTTATAAAATGTGTCCTCTTAAATTGGAGAGTTGTTCCCTGAACAAGTCTTGTGGTTTTTTTCTAAGTTTATTATTTTTTTTTAAATAATAAATTTTATTTTTATATTCCCCATACAATTGCAAACCCCCCATTCTGACCCCAATCCCTCCCCTCCTGTCCCCCACCCCCCCCAAAAGTGTCTCTGGTTCATAGTGTTTTGTTGATTTTGATTTTCACTTTCTTATAGTTATTCATTTTCCTGGTCCCTTATTTAAGTTTTCTAGATTCCTGCTATGAGTGAGACCATCCGGTATTTTTCTTTTTCTTTCTGGCTTATTTCGCTGAGCATGATCCCTTCCAGCGCCATCCATGTTGCTGCAAATTGCATGTGTTTATCTTTTTTGAATGCTGAGTATAAACCATAAGTTCTACGGGTTCCCCCAGGTCATGGAAACCCTTGGGATCTTAGTGCAGTTAAGGGTTTCACTGTGAGAATACGTGGAGGCCTGTCATTACTAAAAAGCCAATAAACAGAGACAGGAGTTGAATCTATAAGCACTTTCATTTTTCAGATCACTGGCCAATTGATCTGAGAGAAGACAGGGCAGAGCACCCGGAAGAGACTGTTTTCTCATGGCCATTGATATGAGAGAACGGAGAGACCATCCTGCCAACTCATCTTGAGCTGGCCTGTTCTAATGAGTTAAACAAAATAGTCATAAGCAAACAGCCCATCAGAACAGCCCGTCACAGTTGAATCAGTTTATCGGAACAGCCTGTCACACTTGCTCTTGGTACTCGTCACATCCAGCCCCCATAGTATGTTATCAGCTTCTCAGTTCTCTTGACCCTGGTACATCTGATGGTGTCAATGTCCAGCACTCCTTCCAGCATCACTGGGGCAGGAATCTAAGCTTTAAAGAAAACAGATCATTAGTCACGTAGTGTGTACGTGCAGACCATGCTCGGTGTGTATGTACAGATTCCTGTACTAGGTATGGTGCCTTTCTCTTCCTCCCTAGCCCCCTCTTGGTAGCCTGGGCTGGGGGATCGAAGTCAAAAAAAGCACAGGAATTTCCTTCATTTCCAACTGCTTGACATCCTAGTGTGACTCTGCCAGTTTAGATCACACCCGACTTAGCTCCAGACCCATCTTGATGAATAACAGGAGCAGGGAACTGCCTGCGTAGGGTAATTGGAGAGCTGGGGATGGGATGCCGCCGCTGGAGACAGATAAGATCCTTTACTCCAGCTGTTGTAGTGGGAATCACTCACTGTGGGCCTTTCAAAGGTGGTATCCACTTTTCTCAGGCCACATCCTTACGGGTTTAGGAATATTCTGTTATTATGGGTCTAGCTGTGTCTTCCAGAAGCAGACGCTGGAGTGGAATAGTACACAAGGTCAGTAGTTTGGAATTTGACAGTTATTCCATCAGTCATTTGTTTCCTGCTAAATTATTGAGATTTAGGTCATCTAGTTTTGTTTTATTTTTCCACACTGACAGTAAGGACAGGGTCAGATGAAAGTGTTAAAGGAATAGTCATTTCATTAATTCAATGAAAAAAATCAGATTGATACTAATCCTATCCCTGTCACTATCTATGTTTGCATTCTTGGACAAACTGCCCAATCTTCTTTGTTTTATCGGTGACATAAACTGATCAAACTTGGTCGGCAATTGCCAGTATTTCATATTTCCAAATATTTTTCTTTGTAAGGTATGACTTCATGAGAACAACTATGAATATATAAGTCATTTCATTATTCATGCTGTGATATATGGCATAAGATATGATTTTTTAAAGATTTATTTATTTATGTATATAAGAGCTGTGGTGTAGGCCAGAAGTGGGGGGGGGGGTGAGAGGGTTCACCAGAGATAGAGTAGGGAGCAGAACAGGAGGATTGGCTGAAATACACTGCTAAGGGGAGCAGCGGGCGAGACTGGGGAGGTCTGCTGCACCATGTGTGTTAGCTCCCTGGCCAGGAATTGAACTCGTGCTATAGTGATTGCAGATTGCCTCATAGTGCTGAGACTTAACCCCTTGCACCACCAGGGAGGCCCAAGATATGATTTTTAAGTAAAACATTTTAAATTTCAAACAGTGTATTATTAAAAGTCTTCAATTAAATATAATCTAATAATCATCACTATATTACATTAGTGTTTTTATCTACTTAAGAAATTATGAATGTTGTTTCATTTGTTTTAAAATATGTAAGAAAAAGTATGATGTGCTGATGAATTTCTAAAATATTACAACGCATTTGACTTTGGAACAACTTGTGCTATAGATTATAGATTAAATTATTATTCCATGCTATGATGTCTAAAGTAAATTAGTATTTCTTCTTTGTCATGATTTTTTTAAATATTGCATATTTTAAATATGAAATGATTTTTGTATTTTCTTACTAAAAGATAATGCATAAGAGAAAACTTCAGACTATGTTTGCCAGCATTTCTTCTTGCATCAGTTACTAAGGGTATGAGTAGAACTTACTCCTAATTAGCAGAAAGCCTAATTGGATATGCCCATCATTGAATTTTCCCTGTTTAATGCTGGCCTTTGAAAATCCAAAGGCAAGATACTGTGTAAGAGTTCTGAGAAAATAAATGTAATTTACAGATTTAGCAAATGTAATTTGCTAAATGTAATTTACAGATTTAGCATTACCTGTAGGTGAATTTTATAGACCTATTTTTACGTTCTTTATCGAACTTTATATCAACTTTAGAACAATTTTTTATTCGATCTGCCATTAATCAATGGTCACTTATTGCATCTAAATTAAGAAATACATTAAAAACCATTGTTTGCTACATAAGAGTGAGGACAGAGAGAAATCACTTGAGTGACTGAGCAGGAGCAGGCCCTGAGGTCTGTCAACCAGGCACATGGTGACCTGATATATACTTGTCAGCTTACAGATTCTGTTATAAAGGCAAAATTCCCAACATTACTTTTATTGTTCAATATGAAAATTAAAGTGAAAACAGATCTTTCTAGAGTCATATAAACTCCCTGCAACATCTTTACAAATCTCTGGGTGGGGAAGGAAGTGTCAACAAAACATTGGAGACACTAGATCAGCTCATTTTTAGGGTTCCTGCCAGTTCTAAAATTGCTTGCTCTTTCTGTTCTACATCAATACAGATTATGTGCATGTGTGTATGCACATCAGATAGAATAACTAATTGATTAAGTTATGGGTCAAAAGTTTCCACATGAAGATGAATGGAGTTTCCTCTGATACTAAGTGGCTTTGATGCTGAAGCTCTTAAGGTGTCTCTAGGCATTAAATAGTTTGGAAAGACTGATTTTCTAATCTAGAAATAGGAATTACTCTCCATTTGGTGAAAAAGATAAAAACAAGAGGAGGTAGGATATCAGAATATTATGACTAAGTGTATAGTCACTGGCGTCAGAACAGGTTCAAATATCAAGTCTGTTCCTGGTTGCCCTTGCACAAGCCTGACCAAGTTATTTAAGCTTTTTAAACCAGTTTACTCATCTGGAAAATGTGGATAATAGAAGTACAAAGTGTATAGAACCGTATGTTTGAGATAATGCCCATAAAATGCTTAGGACAGTACTTAAACATCGTAGGTTTCCAATATATTTAAATATAACTATTGTTTCCTTGTCTGATACTTCTGAAATAAAGCAACTTAAAGTGACCTTTTTCATGGATTTATTTTCTTTCAGATTTCTGAGAATTCCTATTTTCTAAGTGAAAATTTACCAAGTGCCAGAATTTCAGTCCAGCTCTCTCCTAACCAGAGTTTTTTAGGTGCTACATCAGTAGGGTAAGTTCATAACAAGCAACTAGAAGTGTTGTCTCCTCCCTCTTGCTTTCTTTTATCATTACAATTTACAGAAAATATTTTTTTGACAGTGTGTTGATAAATTGCTATGATTTCTGCTTGACATGAGATTTTATAAAGAATACAAATTTTAAATTGCTTTTCACTACATCTCTGATATTTAGATGTTCTCACATTAAATACTGGATTATCTTGTTGGCGTAGACGAGAATGTTTCAAAGAACTATAAACTTTTATTTAGTTAGGCATTAATTATCTGGCTACTAGATTAGCCTTCTCTTCCCTTTCTCTGACATTCTTTTTTCCCTCTTTTAATTATTTTTGACATTATTCATAGTTTATTGACATAAATTGGATAGAAAATAAAGAAATAATATAAATATACAAAATAAAAGTTAATATTTACTAGAATCACCATGGATGCATGGATGTTTGATCTGAGAGAGGATTAAAAGTGCTCAGGACATAAAAAGACTCACTTGATGAGAGTTTGTGCAGGTGCTGTGCCTGGGGGGGTTGGGGGCATGGAACTTGGAGCACCCCATCCTCAGGTCCTCAGAGAGAGGGCTGGGTGCCTTCCAAGTTTCTCATCATGCAAAGACATGTTTAACATTGAAAAGAAGTCTCTGGGAAGAAAAAGCCAACTAAACAAATATATACTCACATTTAATTGACAAGAGAGGTTGCCTTGGATTTGCCCAGGTGACCTGCAATTGCTAAAAGCATTAATCACTTGGGTAAGAGGAGAGTGTAGATTAGAAATTGGAATGACTGCGGTGAAAAAGCCAAAAGATAAGAACTAGGCAGACATCCCACTTCAAATAATCAGTTCAGGGCATGAGACCTGTGTGGACAGGTCTGGGTTAGTCCTATAATAGCTGTATTTTGAATGTATCCCTGCAAGTACCAATCTCTCAATTTTTCCTTTGTATCTCATTGACTTCTGATGAATACAAGTTATCTGTAGATGTCTTTGTGTTTTACATAAATCTATAAATCACATGTATTCATGGCCTTACCACATGGCTTTTTCCATATATTTAAAGTAGCAAATGCTTCTATGTTTTCCTTAGATGTCAACCAAATGAAGATAAGTATTCTTTTAAAAGCTGTAGTTCTGATTTCGTATTTGGAGAAAACATGGTGGAAAGAGTTTTGGTAAGATTTTTGGCAAATGTTTCTATTATTCTCAAGGGTTGTCAGTTCAAATTTCTGAAGACAAATTCATTAAAACAATGTTAAATTGGAACATGCTTTTTAATCTCTGGTTCAAAGGCACATTTTCTGTCTTTAACTAGAATGATTGTGCTGGAAAGCAAGTTCCAGTTGTTAGAAGGATAGGAACCCACAGAGGGGAGGGATTGTATAATTATAACATTATTACCAATAAGAAACATTAAGCCATACTTTGACTTGTGTCAAACCAAAGGTACCTAAGGAAATCCCAGAATTATCTGCAATAGTTAGTTCAACTCAACAGGTAATAATCTTTTACTATAATTTTTCAATGACAGTTTTCATTAAAAAAGGCATTTAAATATTTTCCAAACCTCATTGGCTCCACTTCAGCATTTGACTCAGTTTAATGAGCATATGTTGTGTTCTTAAGACATATAAAGCACTGGCATTGCTCTCAAATTTGACTATATATTAGAATCATCTGGGGAGCCTTTAAAGGCTTTCTTGTACTAGATACCTCCCTAAACCAATTGAATCAGAATTTCTGTGGGTGAGTCCAGGTCTCAAGTGCTTCCAATGTGCAACCAGAATTGAAAAATACTTGTTAAGTGTTATGCAAAGCTAAAGGTGACTCTGTGCCTGCAAGTGGTTATGATCTAGTAAGGGAGACAGATAACTGTACAAATGAACTACAGTTGGGACTATGGATTTGCTTTGCAGAGACGTCTATATACAATTTCTACGCGCACTTTAAAATTGGCTTACAAAGAAAACTGAGTTATTATCGCTATTAATTAATAAAATCCTAAGGGTAACAGGAGCTATAAAAATAACTTGTTTTTGTCCTCTAGTTAATCCTGTAATCAATTCTGTGGCCTTGGGATTTGGGAGCCAGGATGCCTCCTTCTTTGTTAGCTGACCATAGGCTTTTAGAGTAAATCATTAAACTTTCTGTGTTTTAGTTTCTATTTTTGAAAAATGGAAGGAATTACACCCTTCTCTATCAAGCTTAACAAAATGTCTTGATGTCCAGTTAAATAATCTAAAAATATCTTGAGAGGCCCTCCCTAGTGATGCAAGGGGTTAAGACGCGGCACTGCCGTGCTGTCCCCACAGCACGAGTTTGATCCCCATGGCACAGCAGCCCTTTCCTGTCTCCCCTCTGCTCCCCTCAGCAGTGTATTTCAGTCGATCTGCCTATTCTGTTCCCCATTCTGTCTCTGGCAAATCCTCTCACCCCCCGCATCTCTGGCCTGCACCCCAGCTCTTGTATGCATAAATAAATAAATCTTTTAAAAGTGTCTTGAGATTATAAGGAAAACCTAGAAAGCTAAATTCTGAATGGTATTCTAATTCTCCCTGTTCTCCAGAGGGAGAGCTGTGTCTTCCATAGCCGAGGAATTACTCAGTCTTTATGCAAGCAGGCCTTGACTTCATCACTTGTGCTGAGCCCTACATGTGCAGCCCAAAAAAAATGATCATTAGCAAAAATTGTCCTATAGGAAAAGTCAGAATTCTTTCTATACAGACCTCTGAAATAGCCTGCAAGTTCTCTAGTTAATTTTTTTGTTTCTTTAATGAAGTAGATAGAGTGAATTGCTAGGAAGACTGAATACCTTAAAAACAGAGACAATAATTGTACCCCCTTTCATGGGAGCACTGAACAACCATAAACTCCTTTGGGGCCCCTGGAATTTCTGCCAGTGTCCCCAGATATAGACCCATCTGAAGCAAACTGGCCATAACTAGATGATGCACAGAGCAAGGTTCTCAAAAGATAGGAAGGAGTTTCCTGATTAGGTTGTTTGGAGCCCGAAACAAAAACATAGCAGTTGGGTTTGTTTGCCATGTTGAAACAGAACAAAGGTATCTTTTGGCTTACTTACTGCAAATATTTAGGTATAAAATTAGGTAATTCATCTTTGCCCTCCATCTAGGGTACGCAAAAACTTACCCAGCCTCAACTCGAAAATGATGTGTACACCAAGGAAAAGCCATTCAAATTCACTTTAAAATTTCCTATGGACTCTCCAAACTCACGTAAGAATTCTTTCATTTGTAAAACATTTGATTCAATTAGTTTATTTCCTTATTTCCCATGTCATGTCACTTGTTTAACATCTATAAACTACAACAACAGCAACTGTTTATTTATTTATTTTTTTGGTAATGATTAAAGAATGTGGCTTTATTAAAAAAATGTGGTTATATGATATGTAAGCTTTTCAAAAATTTTCGACTAATGATACAAAGAATCATTAAAGAGACTTATTTGAATTTAAATATCTTGATTTGGGAGGAACATTCATTGTCATAAAAGCTAAGTTAACATATATAGTAGGGACAAAAAAAAAAGAACGTTCATGGCAGAGAAAATGTGGCTTTTTATGTGTTTTCCCTCCTATTTTCTCTTAGGAACAGACTCTATTAAAAATATAACCTTAATTGAATCAGCTGCTGCTTTCTCTTCTAAACCATCATCAAAATGCTTGCTGGAGAAAATTGAGGCTATAACAGGGGAGGAGGCAGAACATAATGTGCTACAGGTGTGTATGTCCTGCATCATTCTCCCAGGTAGCACTTACATACCTCGTATAAAGTACCATCAGGAGGGACATCTCTAAAAAAAAAGAAGGGAGCATAGTTTTAACGAAGGCTGAGAGGCTCAAGTAAAAATGTTAGAGACGTCCAAAGATTAAGCCAGTGTTTTGTTGTATTCTTACATTTGGTGTATAATTTGCAAAAAAGTGGGCTATTGGTGCTACAACCATTCACATTAGTCCCCTAAAAGAAGATAGCCGTGGACTCTTAAACAAACAAAAAAATTAAGACCTTTGTTTTATACTTTCCATGCCTACTTTTTATTCAATGTTATTATATGATTTTTGAAATTCTGTATACACTGAAGATTCCCAAACACTGATAAAATGAATTGATTTCAGTTCAAGATAATAAAAACAATGTTGTTCTCCTTGCAAAGTTCATTAAATTAAGTTTTGAACTTCACTTAAATCAAGAATTTCACAGATATAATTTATAGCATCCTACACAGGATTTAAATGTTGACTCACTCACTTCTCAATCTAGGCATATGTAATGTAATTACAACTTAATCATTTCCAGCAAAGGCATGGATTTCCCTTTGCCTTTCTACATTTGCTTTCCCCCAAACATTCCATGCCTCCTTTTCCTCCATACTTTGTCTCAAACTTATATGTGCCTCTTAGATCAGATTAACCCTAGATTTATTGTAATTGCTAGGGGTGAAAGTCTGGCTTACTATGCTTTTGACATCATTTAGGTGATTCTTTCACAGAGTAATATTTTAGAACCACTAGACAGTATTATAGTAGGTTACTCTAAAGAATTGAATCCTAGTTTTCAGCCATATTCTTTGGAATTTTTAAGCATACAAAAATTATTTTCATGATTCCTTCTCTTTCAAATGAATAACTCAAACATTAAGTTTGATTTAAAAAAGACTACAGAGGGGCCTCCCCAGTGGCGCAGCGGTTGAGCGCTGGGTTGCAAAGCTGCCCGCAGCCTCTGCAGCACCAGTTCAATCCCCAGCTGCCTGGCGAGGGTCCCACATAGCACGCAGACCCCTCCTGCCACCTGCTGCTCCCCTCAGCAGTGTACTTCGTCAGTCTGCCTGTTCTGCTCCTCGCTCTGGCTCTGGTGAATTCTCTCACCCTCCCGCACTTCTGACAGTACCCAGTGCTTATATAAATAAATAAATCTTTAAAAAATTAAACTAAAAAAAAAAAAGGCTACAGAAAGAAAGTATTGTGATATTTTACCATAGTACTTTGCCATAATTATAAAATGGGAACACATATATATTTACATATATGTATATACATACATACATACATACAAATCTCCCTGGAATGATAAAATATTAACAACAGTTACCTGTACATTTGGCAGAAATTAGCAGAGGGAAACTTGGGAGGACACTTTTTACAGTGAACATGTTTTCCTTTTTTATGTTTGAACTATTCAAGATTTCTATGTTTTTAAAAGTTAAATAGATGCAGCAGACCTCTCTTGCCTCACCCACTGCTCCCCTCAGCAGTGTATTTCAGTCAGTCTGCCTGTTCTGCTCTCCACTCTCTCTGGTGAATCCTCTCACCACCCACACCTCTGGCCTGTACCCTAGTTCTTGTATGCATAAATAAATAAATCTTTTTTTTAAAGTTAAATAAATGTTACAATTTGGTTTCTAAATCATAAACAAAGATTATTCTAGTAAATCAGACAAAAGTGTTAGAGCATCGGAAAGAATTTACTTTGAAAAAAAATTTGTATATATTTGACATTTTAAAAATTGTCCTTTAGATCAATTGCAAGCTTTTTATATTCAACAAAACAACACAGTCCTGGATTGAAAGGGGCAGAGGAGCTTTGAGGCTGAATGACACAGCAAGCACTGACTGTGGGACATTCCAGTCAAGACTAAGTAAGTAATCATTTTGTAAAGGAAGCCACTATTTCTTAGGGTAAAATTTCCAATATGGATCCTATCATTTTCTGGAGATGTGTTATGAAATATGTCAATAAACCAAACTACTAAGCACAACATTGTTTCTGATGTACTATAGGGGCTTCCTGTTTACAGCAGACTCTGCTGTCAGATGTCACAGTTATGGCTGCATCACTAACTGGTGACTTTGGACAAGTTACTTAATCTCTGTCCCAGATGCATTAATTTAAATGGGATAAGAGTAGTCTGTGACTTACTGAGTGAGTGTATGAATGAAGTGATAATGCAGATCCCAGCACACCCCTAAATAGTACTCTTATTGTTATTTTAAAAAATTATGAATAAGGATTCCTATTATTTGAAAGTATATGAAGCAAATTATTTTTCAAGTGAAAATAGTTTTTCCTAAAAGATAATATTTGGTGTGTAGGTTAGGATGAAAGTTCAGTTTTCAAGGAGAAAAAGATGTGAAATTATTAATTCCTGCAGGCAGAGTTATGGTTAGAAATCTGGAGTTAGTGAAACTGAGAGACCCAGGAAGGTTTAGATGTCCAAAGACACACACTGGGCATTGTTCAGAGGCCTAAACTGGAAGTGAACACAGGCAGAGATCTGAGAAGGAAGGATGGATCAATACTGGGCATTCAAAGCTTAGGGGTGACCACAGGTAGAAAGTTGGACCCAGGTATATGGGTGTTTGTTGAGTTTTAGATATCAAGCCAAAGAAACAGGTAAGGAATAGAGAATTCAGACTAAGAGAATAGGAAGAGTGTCTTTAGTTCTGCAGCTGGCAAACAGGTTTCTAAATAACCTAACTAACTACTCTTATTCCCAAGACAGGGGCTTGCAAATAGTTGTTTTCTACTGCTTTAATTCCTCTCCTTCTATTACCTGCCCCCCCCAAAAAAATACTCACAACTTTTCTTTTTATTATACAGGGAATACATGTTTATTATAAAAGAGAAATATATGGATCAACAAAAAGAAATAAATTGAAATCACTCATAGGCTTATCTTTCTACCATAGCCTATGTTAACAGAATATTCTTTTACGCTTTGTTCTCTGAAGATATAAATGTACACACTTACAGTATAATTTGTAGTTCATGGTATTTACATTGCTTTATAGGCTGATTTTTGTTTCTTTTCCATAGTATACCATGATCACCTTTCCTCATCGATAAATATATTTCTTCAGTATTCTTAATAGGTTAATGGGATTATCTTCAATAGCTACACCATGGTTTACTTACATCTATTGTTTGAATGCTTATGGTTTTTATTTCAGTGTTTAACATTGTAAAAAAAAAATTCGATAAATATTCTTCAGATTCCTAGGTCCTCAAAGAAGTTTGAAAATTTTTAAACTTTATTTAAAATGTTATAGCAAAAAATGCAATCTGGCATGTCAGCCAAAAAATGTCCTCTTGAATAATAAAGCCCAACTTGAAAACAAAATTTTAACCTCATCAAATGATAACTTAATAGTGAAAATGTGGTCTGACAAACAGCTACGAGATTTGCTTTGCTTTCACACATGGGAAATTCCCCTTGAAGGCTAAGGAATGCTGTTCTGTAGTCTGATGTCTTGACCTTCCTGTTTTAGTTATGCGCAATCAAGGCAGTCTGAGGCTGATTCTAAATAGCAAACTCTGGGCTCAAATGGAGATTCAAAGAGCAAACCATAAAAATTTACGAATAACAGCTACTGATTTAGAAGACTGTATCATCAAAGTGTTTTTAATTCAGGTAAGTGATAAATTTCAGTGGCAGAGGATGACCTTAATATATTTATAGATCTCTGAAATTGCTAACTTATTGGGCTTTTTTTTTTTGCATTTTATTATAATAACCTGAACCACTGGCAAAGTGTCATTCATTATGATTGTTCATAGTCTAAAATAAGCCCTGAATTTTACATGCAATTTAGAGCTTAACACCAAAATCTATAGTAATCATTGGCACTCTCCCCAAGATGTTGCATTCATAGATAACGTCACACCTCTACATTTTTCTTTGCTATTGAAATTATGTCAATAATCTTATTAAGTTGCTAAAGAGTCTATTGTCAGGATTGGCTCCGAGGGGCCTACAGAATGCACAAACTGATGCTTATACTGTGTGCTGAACTTGAGAAGACTTTGAGATCACTGGAAAGGAACCAGTGCAAAATGGAAAAATACAGAGCTAGCAAGTTAAAGTAATCCATCCAATGGTAAATTCCAATTCTGGACATGAGTCAGTCTCCAAGGTAACAGAATAGGAGCACACAGCCTCAGCTGTTCCCGGCAGCAGGAATCCTTGACCTCAAATCCAAGATCCAGGCACAAGAGAAAGAGCTGGCAAGAATAATGCCGTAAGAGTAAGTCCTGGGTTTCCCCTAAGGGCTGAGACCCACAAGACAGGAGAAAGCCAAGTACCGAAATGATTCTGGCAGAAGGTGGCCGTACAAGTAAATGAACTCCTATAAAGTAATGGAAAAAAAATTGGCAAGTGCCCATTGATGAAAAGCCAAAGGTTTTATTAACTACCAGTAATTGCCTGTTAGGTGTAAGTGATGTTGAATATTAAGTAGGTAGAATGAGATGATGCCCAAACCCTGTTCACTAGGTAGTGAGATAATTCTTGAGACTCAGCCAACCAAGACCCCTCCTCCTCCCTCAGATTTCTGTGGGTAAAGCAGACATTGAGACTGAGGCTGAGACTGTTTACTGGGATTAGGTTCTGCTACTCAATAACTGATCCATGATGACTTCTTAAAATTATAGGGTATTAAAAAGAATACACAAAACAACCTATAATAAAAAATCACCCAAAATTCCACTTGCAGAGATAGTCTGTACTGGTTTTACATTTTAGTGTGTACATGTATGTCATCATATAGATAATGCTGTACATACCCTGTACATACTATATATAGTATGACAGGCAAGTTATTTAGTCTTCCTTAACCTGATCTTACTCATCTGCCAAAGGAAGATAATAATCATAGACTTTATAAAGCTGATAAGAAGGTAAAAGAACTGATACTTAGTTATGAAATACACACATGTAACCTCCTTTATGTTTATCAAAGAAAAAGTGTTCTCATATCATTAAATAGTAATTTACTCTTCAAAAATTATTTTAATGGGTGAAAAGAATTCTATTTCATTATGGACTATACTTTATTCCATTAATCCAACCTTGTTAGATACTTAGGCAATTTACTATGCTTCATTATAAATTCTACAAAGGAGGGGAAGAAATTCTCTGTGTACATACGTGTTAATTTTCCTGGGAAAGGGTTTTGACTTGTCTTGAAAAATCTCTCTTCAGAAGACTGAACCAATTTTCATCCACACCAGCACTTACTTATAGTACTTCCCAGGAATTATAATTTTTAAATACTTTGTGAATTTTTTATTCAAAAATCTAGTATTATGCTTTTATTTTCTGAACTTCTTATTCTGAATTTCTTGAATGTAAACAATGGAATGAATTTGGCAAAAGGAAATACAGTGACTTATGAAAGGTATATTTAAAATTTAATGTTAGATGCAATTTGCAGCAACATGGATGGCGCTGGAAGGGATCATGCTCAGCGAAATAAGCCAAAAAGAAAAAGAAAAATACCGGATGGTCTCACTCATAGCAGGAATCTAGAAAACTTAAATAAGGGACCAGGAAAATGAATAACTATAAGAAAGTGAAAATCAAAATCGACAAAAAACTATGAACCAGAGACACTTTTTGGGGGGTGGTGGGCAGGAGGGGAGGGATTGGTGTCAGAATGGGGGGGTTGCAAATGTATGGGGGAATATAAAAATAAAGTTTATTATTTAAAAATAAATAAATAAAATAAAATTTAATGTTAGAAAGCCAAGACATCACAATAGCATTTATATTTTAATTACAAATACTCTCAATAGTTTTTATTAACTCACTAAATAAAATCACACCGTTGCACAAAATATAAAAAAAAATTTTCAAGAATCAACAAATATTTACTAAACAGCTATTCTGTAATATCTAACACAATCTAAGAAACAAAAGTGTTTAATTTGTAATTAGTTTTTCCCCACAAAAGTAATTAAAGCAACTTAAAAACATGCACATGGGTACTAGAGGGGAATATGTTAAGTGAAGGAAGTCAGAAGGAGAAAGACAAACATTGGACAATTTTTGTCTTTCACTCGTATGTGGAACGATATATGTTTCAGTCATCTATGGAATATAGAGAAACTGTAAAACAAAGGAAGAGACAAAACTAAACCAAAACAAAGCCTAGAAATATGACTGCAGAATGAGACTACTAGAGGGAGGGGGGAAATGGAGTGGAATCAAAGTTGGGGGGGGCGCCGGATTATGGATGCTTTGATGTTGGGTGTGGTGTGGTGACATGCGCCTGAGGTGTGAAGCAATTCCCCTAAATCATATAGTGTTCTAAAACATTACTACAAAAAAAAAAAAAATCCTCAAATGAAAAAAAAAAAACATGCAAATGAAAATACATCATTTAATTTTCTTCCCCCACAGTTATGTAGTTAGTTGAACCTTCAGTTTTTAGTTTCAGAAATGTTCAATAGCTCTCTGAAGGTCTAGCATGGAGAAGTTTTCCCAGATTTTCTTTGAAGTTGTAAAGAAGATACAAAAGTATAATGTAAACAACTATAATGTTACCTTCAAGAGCACTGACTTGGATGACAGAAGCCTGGAGTTCAGGTCCTAGCCAATTGCCAGCCAGCTAGGTGAAGTCATTGTGCTTTTCTGAGCCTTCATTTCCTCTTGTGCAAGCGGAAGAGGGATACCTGTGCTATATACTTTTGCTAAAATAAGTAGAAAAAAAATTAACTCATAGCTCTATTGTAAGGACTATATAAAAATAGAATAATGTAAATGTTACACCAGTGTTATTGTTGCTATCATTTTTTATATTAAAAGCAACCATAATAGTAGCAGAGTACGGGAAGTATGGGGAGCAGGGACTTCTGACATGTATATGTGCCCCAGCAAGATGGCTCCAGTGAGTTTTATTTTCCACAGTGCTGGCAAAGCCTTACTTTCCTTCCAATTTCCTTTAAAAGATAGAGAGGTCTCCCCTACCCTAATCCTCTAATCTTGTACAGTGCAAAATATGGTGGAGGAAGGTTGAGCTTAAACTTAAATCCAAATTTTAAATCACCGAATTTCTTTTTTTCCAGTGTAAAATGCACAAATGGGGCTCTCTTATAAGATTTTTCACTTTCGGATTTTATTTCCTTCGAGATGAATTGACTTTCATCCTTCAGTTTTCAGGGTTATCTACATTCTAGATTTATGAGATACTACAAATCTATAAAACGTGGCTATTATAAAGTTCTTTTTCTTAACAATTTTTCTCATCAGGCCAGTGCCAAAGATACAAGATATCTGTATGCAGCCATACACCATCGTCTTGTTGCACTTCGAAGCTTTGACAAACAGAAAGATGGAGGTCAAGTTGAATGCCAGTCAGAAACAGTCCTCCAGCAATTAAATTGCGATAGCTGTGATGAGGACGAGGATGATTTTATCAAAGTCACTAAAAACAGATCGGGTAAGTAAGTTTTTTTCCATTTTGGTCAGAGGTTTAAGAACGAAATCTTATACACAATCCTATTATATGGAATAGATTTTTTTAAAGTGAAGCTAATCTGTTTAAAGTGGGTGGTGATGGGAGCCCTAGGTGTTTGGATCTCAAAAATCAGTCTTATATATATGGCCTTCATTTGGGTTTTACCAAAAGTCAGCCTCATTGTGTTACCTGCATTCATATGCACTGAATTTTGTAGAAGCCCATATTTACACTTTGGAGTATTACATGGCTACCCTGAAACTGACCATTTATTTTTGTCTCTCTCGGCTTGTTCTCATTTTCCCATTATTGACTCTAATAGGAGAATTATAAATACATGTAATAGAGTAACCAGTTATATCTATCTTGAAACACTAAAAATTGTTTATTCCCTTTTTGGAATTTGATTGCTTCATTTTCAAGGACCTTGTTTGCCTTGAACAAAAAGTACCATTTCTTTTATTGTGTCAGGATTTGTAAAGTGAGCAAAGTTGAAGTGAAACATATTTGAGTGGTTGAGTAGTTAACAGATTTTAAGGTTTCAAAGCTTATCCTGATGTGTGGATTTGAAACTATAGTTCGTCATTATGACTGGAGAAAAACACTGTCAAGGAACTATTAAGCCCAGTTTTGTAAATACAGATGTAGCTATTCTGATAATTATCCAAGTATTTTCAGAAATAGCTTCATTTAGCCTTGATTTCTGTTCTACAGCAGATGGAGTAATATATACTTACTCTGTGTTAGTAAGCATTTTCCTAACTTTTAATCCTTTCATATATTAAAGCTACTTTAGTCATATGTAATTTATCTGGAAAAGAACATGTGTAGAACTTGATGAAGTATCTTCCTAACCCTAATACTAAAAATGTAATCAAGTAGGGCCTCCCCGGTGGCGCAGCAGTTGAGCACTGGGTTGCAAAGCTGCCCACAGCCTCTGTAGCACCGGTTCGATCCCCGGCCACCAGGTGAGGGTCCCACATGGTGCGCAGATCTCTACTGCTGCGCCCTCTGCTCCCCTCAGCAGTGTATTTTGTCTTTCTGCCTGTTCTATTCCCCACTCTGTCTCTGGTGAATTCTCTCACCCTCCCACTTCTGACTGTACCCAGTGCTTGTATAAATAAATAAATAAATCTTAAAAAAAATGTAATCAAGTAAAAAAGCACAGAGCGTACAGATCGGATTTGTAAACTGCTTGACGCAGTGAAGCCAGAACCTTCAATGAACTTGCTTTCCCTTATGATTAAACAAGTGGTTTATTGTTCTTTGAAATGTATGAAATGTGCAAATACAATTATATTTTATATTGCTATGTTTATATGGACAACAATAAAATGGAGCCTATCTGAAAATGAATTGGTGCTCATTAAAAAGGTTAACTAGAAATAAGGATTAAATGACAAAATTCATCAACAAATGTTATATATATATTATAGTATTTTAGGACATGTTAATATGTAATTATCTTAATACAAAATGATAAACAATGGAAATAATATAAAGTAAATGTCAATCACATAGATTCCCTGACTCTTGTCATTCCTCTTGCTTTTGTCCCCACTACGCCTCCCGACCCTCCCTACCCCCAGACTTTTCACTTACCTTTTCCAGGAGGCATTGCAAAGAATAAGAAAATATTCAGGAAGCAATAAAATGAAAAGTCTAATTTTTAAAACTCGGTTGTCAATGAATTAAGGAAGGATTTAATTACCTGAAAACGTCATGTTTAAAATTGGCAACATTTCCAAATGTTATTGCTAAAATATAGATTCCATGTACTTCATTTCCTCCCACTCCCCATTCATGACTATTCATGTGCAGCTGTATTCAAGATTAAATGTAATATTGTTTAATACAATTTTTAAATTTATATCACAGATCCCTCTAGGTGGACTCACAGACAATCGGTTGCCTGTTCATGAGCACTACCTACTAATAAAATGACAGAATCTACAAAATGATTGGTCGCCTTACTGACAATACTAAGCCAACCTAAATAAATGAGAAGATCCTATTCATTCCTTGAAGAGTTTTTATAGAAAAGCTCAAGAAATATAACTTGTTGCAAGTAAAATTTTCTTCTTATGTGGGCTAATAATTTTGAGGTTAAATGTTTTGATTATTGTGAAGAAAATGTCAATTTAAGAAATATATGAATTTTGAAGGTTTAAAACTTACCATTTTTGAAGAAGTTAATTTAGAAGAGGATTTGATAACCAATTTGGACTATTCATCACATTGATGGATACAATAGTTAAAATTATAAATTGTTAGATTTGATAAATATCTAAAATGTTTATTTTTTCAGTCATATGTTGTCTGGCCATGAACAAATATTTTCCAGAATTTCCATAGTCATTTCTTTAAAAAATGCTATAATTGTGTGACATTTCATTAAATCATGTTTCTCTTCTTAGAAATGTATATTTTCATTTAGTCTTGGATTACCTAATACTTTAAGATTCTATATTCATGTCAATGAATTCCTTTAAAGAGAGTATTTGTTCTTGGACTTGTATCCATTGCAACTTATATATATCTGACTTGTGTCAGCACCCAAAAGTTGTTGAAGGAATAAGCAAAATATATCACCTATGTATTAAAACAGTGAGTACACAAAAAATAAAATGTGCTAACTTGTTCTTTGCCTTACTTATGGAATTAAATTGTCATTAATATTTATTCTAGTAGGCTTAAATATATGGTGACCTATTTTAAAACAAATATATATAGCCAAGCAAATTTTTTTCATCAGTGCCATTGTGGTAAACTATAGTAATGTCAACAATAAAGCAACAGAGTTTTGATGCTCCTCTTTTGAGATTTGTTTTAGAGATACTCCATGAGTAACACACACAAAAAATTAGTGTCAGCACTTACAGACATATTTCATTTTTAATTTTGACTGCAATCCCTAAATAACTTCCCTGTTAGAGGCATCTTTAGGGTGGCTGCCATAATCAGATATAACAGACTAGGTGGATTAAACAACAGAAATTTATTCTCATAGTTCTGGAGGGTTGGCAACTCTAAAAGCAAGGTGCTGGCAGGGATGTTTTATTTTGTGGTCTCTTCTCTTGGCTCTATGCTCTCATGACCTCTACTTTGTGGGGGCAAGGGGAGAGATAGAAATTCTCCACTGTCTCCTCTTCTAAGAGCATTAATGCTATTAGACCAGGACCTGTCCCCTCATAATCTCATCTAACCCTAGTTACCTCCCAACCTGTCATCTCCAAATACCATCACATGGGAGGGTGGGGTTAGAGGTTCAGCATATGAATTTTGGGGGGAAAATAAACATCCAGTCTATAATTCTAAGGATGAGATAGGATCTACAATTTCAAAATGATTCTGAAAGTGTTTTGAACAACATATTTGGAATAATGGTATAACTTCACAAAATGCTACTTTGAAGAACAATGTTCATTTACATGTATACATGTGAATATTCATTTTTAAGTTACATTATTATAGTACCTTTTATAGTAATAAAAAAATTATATATTTGTACTTGTTGCCAGATCTGAGCTAATACCTGAAAGTTTAGTGTATGAAAGTTGAATTAAATCTTTTAGATTATAATTTAATCATTATGTGAATTGTTCAAAGTTTTCCTCTTTCCCTATAACTGAGTAATTATAACTTTGTAGCTACTAAGAGGGGCCCAATCATTATTCTGGTGACTATAGAATAAATGTAGTAAGATAGATTTGCTTCTAAATTAAGAAACAACTCAGGATATAGAGAGAAAAGCTAATGTGAAAAAGAAAGACAAAAAACACAGAAGGGAAAAACAGAAAATGTGAGTTGGGGTATGAAAGGAAGAATAAAAAGAATGGAAGAACAGAAGCTTAGTTAGGTTTTTGGTTGTTGTCATTGTTTTTTTTAATCCCAAGATTAACTCTGATGCAGAATATACTCAGTGGAAAATGTTCATTAGAAGATAACATTAGGGCCTCCCTGGTAGCACAGGCGGTTGAGCACCGCACTGTGAAGCTGTCCGCAGCCTCTGCAGTGTGGATTCGATCCTGGCTGTCCAGGGAGAAACCCACATGGCACAGCAGACCTCTCTTGTCTCGCTCACTGCTCCCCTCAGCAGTGTATTTCAGTCAATCTGCCTGTTCTGTTCCCCACTCTGTCTCTGGTGAATCCTCTCACCTCCCACAACTCTGGCCTATACCCCTGTTCTTGTATAAATAAAATAAATCTTTAAAATAAAAAGAGAAGATAACATTAAATAGAGAGACATTTGAAGAGGATATTGAAAAATTGATTCTCTTATAAGATTTTAGCTGATATGGGGACACTGTGAATCACTAAATGGTTAAATGAATAAATAGAGAGATCTTTATCCTTCTGACTTGTTCATTCTTGCCCTCACATTAGGGTGGAGATGAAACAATATTTTCCAGTGCCTCAAACATTTTAATATAATTTGAATTCCTTCTTGACCTTCTATGAGTTTTCTTGTACTTCTCTACATATTTATCATTTTTATCTCCAGCACCTAATAGGGTGGCTGATCCATAGAAGCCACTCGAATTTAAAATAATCTCCATCGACATGTGTTGTATGTATAAGACAGACTCGAATTTTTATCCAATAGAAATATTATCCATCCAGAAATAAGGCTTTGTTGCTTGGGAGACAGTCTAAAGAGACTGGTAATAGTTAAACTCAGGGAAAGGGGTTAATATTTGCCATTATATATACTTTGTAAGAGGCATAAGACTAGGCACTTGTACATGTTTGTCATTTTACAAGATAACGATTATATTTTATAAATGAAGAAGTAGCCTGAGAAAGGTTAAGTGCCTAGTCCAAAATTAACAAAGGTAATAAATGGAAAAGCTGGGATTTGAACCAAGGTCTTTTTAAATCTAAAGCCCAAGCTCTTTTCATTACACAATAGTGGGTAAACTCTTGCAGAAAACTGCTGAGAGGAGGGGAGGGGAGGAAAGAGGCGGGCTAGGAAGGAGAGGGAAGGGGATATATTCTGAAGATGATCTGCAAAGATGAGTTTAAGAAGGATCCAGAAGGTCACAGAGAGAGAGGAACATGATTAGGTCCTGGATTGTTGGGAGTCAGAGTGAAAAATTTCAAGAGGAAATGATAAGCATTTCAAATACTGCAGAAATATCAACATCTCAGGGCTGAAAAATGTCTATTGAGTTTACAGTCAGATCTTTTGTTAACCTTGGAAATAGCAGTAATTAGTGAAGTAGTGGGAATAAATTAGATTCCAACAGGTTGAGAAATGAATAGAAGGCAGGGATATGATGAATTCTTTCTATACTCTTAGCTGTCAAGAGAAGATAGGGAATACATAAAAAGCTAGGCCTTAAAAAATATTTTTTTAGGGCCTCCCCAGTGGCACAGCGGCTGAGCGGTGGGTTGCAAAGCTGCCCGCAGCCTCTGCAGCACTGGTTCGATCCCCGGCTGCTCCCCGGCCACCGGAGGAGGGTCCCACATGGCGCGCAGACCTCCCCTGCTGCCCGCTGCTCCCCTCAGCAGTGTACTTCATCAGTCTGCCTGTTCTGTTCCCCGCTCTGGGTCTGGTGAACTCTCTCACTCTCCCGTGCTTCTGATTGTGCCCAGTGCTTGTATAAATATATAAATAAATAAATCTTAAAAAAAAATTTTTTTTTAAATAAAGATATCACAGATATGAGCACGTTTAAATTCTGAAGAATAAAATCCAGTAAAGAATTAAATATATATTAAAGATTAACTATATTATTAAATATAATTAAATATATATTGATGGAGTAATATTTTCCAGACGGTAGAAGGGAATGGGAACCCAAAATAACAATGAACAAAGGATATTCCAACTGAGATGTCAGTGTACTGAGATCCAAATGGGAGAGAACCAAAACACTGATTTCTCCTCTGTGAAATGGAAGAAGTCTGTATATTTGTAACGCACATATGCACAACTGAAATCAGAGTTTGATTCAAAACAGGTTTTAAAAATTTACCTTTTTCAGTCAATGGATCAACTGACATTGTCTTTTTCATCCATGCTTCGAGCCTCAATTGTGACTTCTCCCTTTTCCTTAATACTAAATGAATTATAAAGTATTAGAATAACAAGAAGGACTTTGAGGGTATTCTAGTTATAAATGAGTGACTCACCTCCCAAAGAAGTTAAGAGGCATGCATAAGTTTCCACTACAAGTCACTATCAGTAACTGCTGCGTGGCAAACTTCCCGGCCAGAAGGGGGTCAATGACCTATTAAAAGTAGACTTCTGTCAGAACCCCTCGTGTATTTACTAGTCTAATATACCACCTGGGACAGAGTAGGGACAGGACAAATATTTAGTGAATCCATGAGTGAATGTCAGTGGTGGTGGCTGGCTGAAAAATTAAACTTGGTTTTAGCTCCCTCCTTTTATAGATGAGGAATCTGAGGCCCAGAAAGATGAGGTAACCTGCCCAAAGTCCAAAAGATAGTTACTCATAGTCTGGGACCACAAAGAAGCAAAAAAAGGGTGCCAAGGCCAGTGAATCTGAGGGGCAGGAGGGATAAACACTAGGAGATGATTACCATTTGATTCTTTCATTAGTGTTTTCTTCGCTTCCATTCCCACCGCCCTAGCCCAGGCCATGGGGGGCTCTCCTATCAGCCCCCGAGTTTCCCTCCCTCCTCTTGCCTCCCACCTGCTCAACATTCCAAAGCCAGATCAATAGTCATCAAACATTGCTTCCACGACTCATGTTTCCAGTTAAAAGAGCCTTCAAAGGCTAACTACTGCCTATAGGATAAAGTCCAATTTACCAATTGTCTTAACCCTTCATCCAGTTTGTCCTATATCCCTTTTCAACCTTATCTGCCCATCTGGAAGTGCGCCACTTGGCCAGAGCACACAAAGGCCTCTGTCGGATGTCTACCTTTAATAGGTCATTGGCCAGACTCCTACCCAGTATCCCGTGACTTGACCAAAGGTTACCCCTGTCTCTCCTTCCACACTAACAGTCCTTTGGTGATGGGCAGGAGTAGGGACCCGTTTACTCCCACAACTCAAGTCAGGCTGGTGCCAGCATTTGCTTTACAGCTCGCTCTCTCCCCCTTGCAGTTCCCGAGAATTTCTGGTGACCAGCCAGCTCATCTTCCCTTTGCACCAGGCCTCTCAACTCCGCACAACGCTCCCGGGCCAGGGGCTTCCATCCCTAGCCCGGCACTGGGCTTCCCAGTCAACGGATGAACCAACAAAGCATCCAGTTTCCTGTCAGTTTCAATAAAAGGGTCTGGTGTCACGGGTGTGTAGCACGAGGCCGAGCGCGACGAGCTCGAGTTCTCGGTGCAGCAGCGACAAAGCACCCCAAGGGGGAGACGCGCCGCACCTGCCCGGCCGCCAGGAGCTCGACCCGCCCCCGACTCCCCCGCAGCCCCCGCGCGGCTCAGGCCGGTTCCAGCTGGATTCCTCGGGCCGCGGGAGCGCCAAATCGGATTCCAGCACTCCCCTCGCGGCAGCCAATCCCCGGGGCGCCCCGGCTCCGGAACGGCGGGGGCCCGCGCCTGGCGGGCGGGCGGGGCGCGCAGGCCTCGGCGCAGGCGTGGAGGGAAACGGACACACACAACAAACACAGCGCCTCACCCGGGGCCGCCCGGTCCCCGGCGCGCGCCCTCCCCTCGCCGGGGCGCCCCCGCCTCCCGCGCCCCGCTTTCCCCGCCCCCGGCGGCGTCCGGGCCCGGCCCCTGGCGGCGCGGGGCGCGCTCCGCGGCGCACTTAACCTCTGCCCGCCCGGCGCGCGCGTCCAGCTGGGGCGGCTGGCGGCGGGGCGCGGGCGGGAGCCGGGCCTGCCACCCGGCCGCGCGACGATGACCTGCTACCGAGGCTTCCTGCTGGGCGGCTGTCGGCGCGTGGCGGGCGGCCGGGCGGCGGCGCTGGGCGGCCCGGGCGCGGGAGGCCCCGGCGCGCGGCCGCGGCTCGGCGGGGACGGCGGCGGCCGGCGGCACCTGGCGCAGGGGCGGCCGCAGGCGCGCGAGCTGGCGGGCTGTGGCAGCCGCCCCGACGGCGGCTTCCGCCCGGCCCGGGTGGTCGTGGTGGCCAAAACCACCCGGTACGAGTTCGAGCAGCAGCGGTACCGTTACGCGGAGCTCTCGGAGGAGGACCTGAAGCAGCTGGTGGGTCCCGGCGTCTCCCGCCTCAGGGGCCCCTCCCGGCTCCACCGGGCAGCCCGGCGGCCCCTGGCTTTGGGGGGTGGCCGCGCCCCCTCGGGCAAGACCACCCCGGACGACCCTTCTTTGTGGCGCGTCGCGGAGCGCACGCCCGCCCCGCTCGCTGTCCCCCCACACCCTCTGCCCGAGCGCGGGGAGTCGGGGGGCCGGGGAGAGTCACGGTGGCTGCAGAAACATTCCCACCCCCAGGCTGGGGCACCTTGAGGGAGCCCTGGGTGAGGACTCCAGTGGGAGGGGTTTGGGATCCGCTGGTGTCACCCCCTTGTTGAGTAAAATTCCAGCCCTGGGAAAGGTGGGCGGGAGGCAGAGGTCTGGACTCTGGGGAGCTCCAGATCGCCTGCAGAATGGGGTCCAGGGACGGCGACGCCGCGGGTAGAGAAAAAGAGGGCGAAGGTACCGCGGACACACCCCCTTTTACTCTGCGGGACTTGGAGGCCTGGGACTCTGGAGAGCCCTTCTGGGTGAGCCTGTTCCATGCTGGAACACGGTGGGCATGCAGGGTTCTTCTAGCAGCTTGTGAAGCTCCCGCGCCTTTGGTGCTGGAATAGTGACAACATTTGACTTTGAATATGTTTTTTAGTAGAAAGGTCAAGACAGAGGGCAGAAAACAGTATTGTGTGAAATAAGGAGGCTGCTTCTATAATTAGAAGGAGAAACCCCAGAATATTATCTTTCCTACCTCTCCATTTTGAAACTTCTGATCTCATGCTCCTCCTTACAAGCAGGAAAAGGACAGTGAGGATACTGTCAGAAACAATATGTCCAGGAAAATCACTGGAAATCTCTAATTGCTGACACTGCACCAGACGGTTTTGGAATTAATTGCCTATAGCCATAATCTTGTAGGATTCTGTATACAACAAGGGAGCCTGTTCTAAACTTCTGGTATGGTTTGTAATCTTCTGATTTTTTGTTACATTTGTAGAGGCATGAAAATGAAGTGGTAAATTATTTACTTAAGTACTGACTTTATTTTCAGCCTAAACGTCTTGATTCTTTGATCAGTTAAGTAAGAGGGCCCTGCATTCATATGATAGGTAGGTGTGCATTTGTTTTTTCTTTTGCCTTAAGGACTTGAAGGTAGCACTTTATAGAAAACATTGCATCATTTGAAGAGTAAATCAACAGTTTGAACAGGAGATGGAGTTGTTAAGTTTTGTTAGGGAGTGAAATTGGGGTGAGGCAGGGAACAGTAAATTCAGAAGCAAGTACATTGTTTCTACTTGGGTTATGCTCTTAATTTTGCATTATCTACCTTTTATAAATAAATCCTTCCTATAATTTTATGGAAGTCTCCCCAAACAATGAGAAATTGTGCACTTGGTTGGCATGTTCAGAGTGTGGGGTTGGGGATCCAGGGTTGGGCCTGGAGTTGTAGGCCCAAGTACTGTGTGGTTAACTTCCTGTGAGTCTGAAAGGTGAAAATGATACTTTTTCTGTCATACTGTCAGTTTTCAAAGTGCTTTCAGCTACATCAATGCAATGTTAGGTTTGGCCTAGATAACCATCTTGACCCTTTGTAGTGTTGAAATTTTTGAGACTGGCTGTCTTTTTCAAGCTTTCAAGAAAATTGATGACATCTGAATTATTGATACGTTCTTAGACTGCTAAGCTGGATTGCCACTAATGAAAACTTTTATTTAAGTGAGTCTTTAAAATACTTGAAATATCCAGTGTACCCACTCTGAGTATCTAAGGAGAAAGCTCAACTAGGTAAATATTTGCTGCTACGTAATGCAGTCCAGCATAAGAAAACTTGGGAGTAAAACTTCTGGACTATAGAGCACAGTTCTTGTCAGGCAGGCAGTGAAATAGTTGTTGTCATTTCAATTAAATCTTATTGGATTATTTCCTTACTTGAGTCTGTTTTATCATTTATATTAAGTCCAGTATTCAGAACGGAATGGCATTAAGCAGAGCCCAGACCAGAGATCAGGGACAGGCCAAATAATTTTGGGGGGTGTGTATTAAGATGGTTCATATGAAAGATAGTAAGGTAGTACTAATCATGTGAGTTGGGTATAAAAGAAACTCAAGTGCTTGCTTGAGCCTTCTGTCACTATGGCTGCTTTGTCTGCTGTGTCATGGTAACTTGAAGTTTTGTATCGTTTTGTTGTGTTGGTGGTAAATGTTACAAAGTTGGTCTCTGTTAGGTTACTTGTGAAAATGCAAATGAAAGAGGAAGGATTACATGCCAGTACAATTTTATATTCTTAAGCCTAGTGATTTTCTAACTTTGTAGAAACTTAGAGGAAATCCCTCTTAGTTGATAATATACAGAATATGTTTACATTCTCCACTTTTATCAAACTGGGCCTGAGTTTGACTTTCAGTTACAAAATGTGAAAAATTTGTGGGATATGGAGAGAAACCAGATTATATTCTTTCATACTATAATAGTTACAGAACTTTATTTTTTTTTATTTTTTAAAGATTTACTTATTTATTTGTATAAGCACTGGGTACAGTCAGAAGCGCGGGAGGGTGAGAGAATTCACCAGAGCCAGAGCAGGGAGCAGAGCAGGCAGTAGGACCGAAGTACACTGCTGAGGGGAGCAGCGGGTCACAGGAGAGGTCTGCAAGCCATGCGGGACCCTCCTGCGGTGGCCGGGGAGTAGCTGTGGATCGAACCAGCGCCACAGAGGCTGCGGGCCGCTTCGCAACCCAGCGGTCAACCGCTGCGCCACCGGGGAGGCCCCAGAGCTTTATTTTTAAATCTTGTTTTTCCTTCCCCTGACTATAATTTTTTTTTGTTTTTTTTTTTTGGTGAGCAGAGGCTTTCTAGTCAAGGATTTTACCTTTGTGGGCTCAGAACTTTGCAAGGGTTAAAATATTATTGCAGTTTACTTGTATAATAAGAGATGCAGCTGTTGGTAAATGTGAGTTTTCTTAACAGGATCCATGACACTCACAATTTGGACCTTTAGATGACTCAAAGCTGACTGGAGAGGGTTTTGAAATAGTAAATACTGCCTTATTGTAAATAAGTAAATTGTAAATATTATAAATAGCAAAAAATGCCTTATTGGCCAAAGAAAAAATTTTATTTTAAAGTATGCCAAATAAGAGCAACTTTTACACCCTCCTATTCTCCCTCACACAACCCAGGAGGTAGTCCCCCTTCATAGTTTCTGTTTTTAATTATTTTTTTAATTTGTCTTCATAATCAGATTAGAATAATTTCATTTAGCAATCTCTCTGTTTTGAATTTTTTTTTTTTTTTTAATAGAGGCATGTTTTATTTATTTATTTATTTGTTTGTTTTGTTTGTTTGTTTATACATGCACTGGGTACAGTCAGAAGCACGGGAGGGCGAGAGCAGAGCAGGCAGAAGGACCGAAGTACACTGCTGAGGGGAGCAGTGGGCGGCAGGAGAGGTCTGCGCGCCATGTGGGACCCTCCTCCTGTGGCCGGGGAGCAGCCAGGGATCGAACCGGCGCCGCAGAGGCTGCGGGCAGCTTCGCAACCCAGCGCTCAACCGCTGCGCCACGGGGGAGGCCCAATCTCTCTGTTTTGGATTAATTTATTCTTAGTTATTGCTGCCTTAGCAGATTTGCAAACTGTAGTGCTTTGGATTGTGTTTCCGTACTCATTCCTGAAAAAGATGTTGTAATATAAGTTGTCGTTCTTGGGAGATAATAGTTTTGCCACTTGATATGCAGTGAGTGTCGTGCATGCAGTGTGAATATCAAATTGAAGAAGATGATCTGGAGTGCTGCCAGTGCCTTCCTCTCAAATCTGGCAGACACAGGCGCCACCGGGCTCTATCGGAAGTGAACATCTTGGTGCCTCGTTATGCCTCTGCTTTGAGCTGCTCAAAAGCACCCCATAACCTGTAGAGTCAGAATCTAGGGAATTTATTAAAATGAAGATGCCTGAGTATTACAACCCACAACCCCCCACAGCCTGCCCAGTGAGAGTCTCATTCAGTCATGGAGAGCTCCCATGCTTTTCTGAGACATTACCTTAAGGTTGCTACTCTTTGTCTAGCATTACCCATGTTCTTTTTTTTTTTTAATTTCAATTATTTACTTATTTTTTATTTTATACATTTTTTACATCATTTTCATTTTTGCACAATGTATGCATTTTCATCTTGGTTATAGTCCCCATACAATTCCAGCCACTATGGAAAGCTGTGTGGAGATTCCTCAACCTGCTAAAGATGGCGTTTCCATCTGATCTAGCAATTCCACTCCTTGGTATTTACCCAAAGGACACAGAAACATTAATTCCAAAGGGCACCTGCACCCCTATGTTTATAGCAGCACTGTTTACAATAACTAAGCTATGGAAACAACCCAAATGCATTACACATTTTTAGTAAGCTCTTCAGTTGTTCAAATGGGCTCCAGATCATACTTTGAGAAACACTGCTATAAGCTAACCAACCATCAAGACTTTTTAGTATATCAAATAAGACTTCATGAACTGCCTCCTCTCTACCTCTTGAGCTTCATTTCTGATCAATTCTTACCTTGAACTTCATTTACCATTAATTTCAAACTTTTACTTTCCATTAGATGTGCGGACTTTTAAAAAAAAATTTATGCATTAGTAGCGTATTAAAATGTAAAAGATACAGAAGAGTATACAGTCAATCATCTGTCTTACACTTGTTACTCAGTTTTTGCCTCCGATGGCTAGAGTTATGACTTCCTTATATTTCTCTTATATGTTCCTGTGCCTTTTTGCTCAAAGACAACATACTATTTAAGTTTTTCTGCACCTTGTTCCTTCTTTTTTAGTAGCACATATAATACTCTGTTGTATGCTTAAGCCTTTATGAAAATAACACCAGGTAATGAATAATGCTTGTGTTAATTTATTCATGTGCTAATCAAACCCAAAGGTAAATACCTAAAAGTAGAATTGCTGAGATAAAAGGCACATGCAGTTGAAAATTTAATAGGTATTGCCACATTGCTTCCCTTGGATGCTGAACCAGTGGATATCTTTGCCAGCAACTTACGAAGGTGCTCATTTTTTCATAAACAATTTATCAAATTTTGATCCTTGCCAACTGGTAGTTGAAACATAGTATTTTAGGGTGGTTTGGTTTATAGCCCTCAGTGTCTTTACTTTTTCAGCCCTTTTTGCTTTGAAATGCTTCTGCATTATCTAGCCAAGTGCTATTCTTACTTTGAAGTCAAGCTGAGTCACTGCTCTCACCTACTATCCTTGGTAACCTTGCTGTGCCTTTCTCTAGCCACCAAGGTTGCATTAGGCAGTCATCACAATTCTTAATGTTTTTGAACTTTCTATCTTAGAGTATAATTGGTGATTATTTTCTTCTCTAGACTTTAAACTTTTTGAGGGTAAGAACTGCACTGTCTCCACTTTCTACTTCCTTCCTTTTACACACCAGCCCTCCCCCCCCCCCAAAAAAAAAGAAAAGGTGGTGAAATGTTTCTGATGTTTTTAAAAATCATTTTTAGTCCATTTCTTCTTGTGGCTTCTTATCTATTTTACCTTTTCTTTGCCAGGTTGAGTTAGTCCATGTTAATGAACCTTACTAGCCCAACAAGCTGTGTCTTTAAAGAAAATAATTACTATAGAAACTTACATACATATCAAGCATGAGTTATTAGATAATTAATTGACAAGAAGAAATTTGAGTGGGAACAAGAATTTACGAAGAGACATTTTTGTTCCAATATTAAGTATTGTGATGCTGGATGAGCTTTGTATTTAAATTTGGAAGTTTAGTGTTGGTAGCAAAACTTACTAAATCATGGAAAACTTAAGGGTTTTTTTTGTTGGTTTTCCAAAATTATTTTCCCCACAAATTCAAACCCTCTTTATCATCTCAAATGAGTTTGCTAACACTCAACTGTTGAGTAGTATTAATTTTCTGGAGTTTGTTGAAGGCCAGGAAATTAGTGAATCACCAGACTAGATTTATAGTACTCACACAGTAGGACTTTATTTCTACTTTATTCCCCAAAACTGAAACATTGAAATCTGGGCAGGGAATTGGTCTGATAGCCAGCTTTCCTTAAGTTTTATATATAGCAGGTTAGAAGAAGAAAAATTAATGAAGCTATTATATTTACTATACATTTGAATTTGTTCTCATTGTCCTTAACAGTTTTCAGTGTTACATTAATACATTTGATTGAGCTCAAATAATGCTTAAATGAGTATATAGTAGGCACTCAAATATTTATATAAATTTAATTTTTTACAACTTAATTTCTAGCTGTGTAAAAAAACATTTAAAATGGGCTTAAAATGGGCTCATCAGAAGTAATTGCTGTAACAAAGTAATACACCATGGTTACTAATCTGCTAGAAAACCAGGGACTTCATTTTGAGCATGTTTGTTTCAGATGCCAGTTAGATACCCAGAGACAGATCAAAACAGAGTTGCGAGTATACATTGGTTTGGCGAAATCAATTGGGGATCACTAGCCTCAGCATATAAATCTCTTTTAAAGCCTTCAAAGGACATCTCCAGGGAGAGACTAGAAACAAAAAGTGTTTTAATCCATATTCATTGAAAAATATTGTTGCATTTTTAGTAAAGTCACAGTTGGATAATGATAGTAAAAATCTGGATGTTATTGGTATATTCAGGAATTTCACTCTTAGAATAGATTTTTCGAAACTGGTTTGTTGATTGAAATGAAGAATTATCTAATTATTATCTAGGTTATTGCTTTCCTTAAAAAAGTAATCCTGCTGTTGGTTTGTTTTGTCTAAATAAAATGAGACGTATCTACGTATCTGTCTAGTATATCATTGTGAGTTAACATCTGTGTGCTAATTTTCAAATAGCCAAATGCATCCTAAGCTTCTCTTTTGAAGAGCTTGCATTTCCCTTCAGATTATAGAGGACAAAATCATTTTAAAACCCTTAGCTTGATATTTATAGACCAAAGAGTGGAAACGTAGCTATCAAAATATTGATAGTAATTATCCTGGAGTAATAAAATTTAAATTTTCTTTTTATATGATTTTTACACTTTTTTTTTTAAAGTAAAATACCTGTTTTTAAAATGCTATCTAGAAATTGGCTTTTCTTTAAAATTCAGTAAGTATAGTGACTTAAAACTGAAGACTGTACTGAGGACTAAATATTGGACACATACTTGAAAACTGTTCTTGTATCATAAAGAGGCTTGGTGTAAGGGAATTTAGAGACAGAAAGAAAACAACATACTTTTGAATTCTATCATTTAGTCTAGTAGACACATTTCCTACTAATTGATTAAATAGATGTTCATTGAGTGTATTTCAAAACTTCTCTCAGCATTTTACTTTGGATATATACTTTTGAAAGGAGACTATTAATGGTAAACTAATAACGTGTCACTATAATCAATTAGGAAAAGACAGCTCTTGAAGTATATATGTCTTTATATCTGAAAGTTACCCATTTTCAGAGTGCTAACCAGCCCTTTGGGTAGCATATCCTGAACAGAATTCATATCTGAACACAAAAGAGTTTCAAATCCAAGCGGAACAAAGGCCCTCTAACTGCCTTCTAAAATAGCCATTTATCTTTGTTTTTCAAGTAGCCATATGCAATATATTAAAAATCCATTTCAAAAAATAAGGAAAAACACTCAAGCTGTAAAACATGCAAAATTTGAAATCATGTTGTTGACATGATTTAGGAAACATAATGCTGTATTTGGTATAAAAATGAAATCATGGTTTTATGAAATCAGACTTTCTACTTCAGTTTAAACTTGTAGGTTTAAAGTATAAGCCCCAGATAGTGTAAACAATCTTGAGAGAGAAAAGAAAAATGGAGGCATCACATTTTCTGACTTCAAACAGTATTACACAGCAACAATAAGACAGTATGGTACAGGAACAAAAACAGAAACTCAGATCAATGGAACAGAATTGAAACCCCAGAGATAAATCTACATTAATATGGATGGCTAATTTTTAACAAAGGAATTACAGCCATAAGGTGGAGAAAAGAGAGCTTTTAAAATAAATGATGCTGGGAAACATGGGTAACTACATGCAAAAAAAAATAAAGCAAGACCCATATTTAACATCATACATGAAAAATCACTGAAAATGGGTTAAAGATTTGCACATAAGAACAGAAACCATAAAGTACTTGAAAGAAAATATAGAGGGCTAGAAACATCTACTGCAAAGATATATTGATATTTTGGGGAAAAAACAAGCACTGAGGGAAACAAAAGGAAAAATAAACAAGTGGGAATATATCAAACTTAAAAGCTTTTATACTTTAAAAGAAAGAATCAAACAAACCAAAAAGGCATCCTACAGAATGGGAGTAATTATTTGTATACCACACAGGGGTTAATCTCCAAAGTTTACAAAGTTCTTAATCCAACAACAGTGAAACAAATGACCCAATTAAAAAATGGGCAGAAGACCTTAATAGGCTTCTCTATAGACATATGAAAAAGGTTGAACATCATTTATTATAAGAGAAATGCAAACCATACTGAGATACCATCTCAGCCCAGTAAGAATGGCCCATATACAAAACAACAGAACAAATGTTGGCAAGGTTACAGTGAAAAGGAACTCTCACTCACTGTTGGTGGGAATGCAAGCTGGTACAGTCCGGTGGAAAATGGTATGGAGATGTCTCAAGATAAAAATGGAAATCCCATTTGACCCAGCAATACTGCTATTGGGTATTTAGCCAAAAAACGTGAAAAAATTGACACGAAAAGATTTATCTATATATATGTACATAACAGTACTGTTTGCAATTGCCAAGTCCTGGAACCAACCCAAGCACCCTTCAACAGATGAATGAGTAGAGACACTGTACATACTCGTTGGAATATTATACAGCTGTGAATAAAGATGAAGTGGTAACATTGGCTCAAAATGGATAGATCTTGAGGTGATTATGTTGAGTGAAATCTGTCAAAAGTGAAAGACAAATTTCAGATGGTTTCACTCATCTGCAGAATATAAATACCTAAATAATTATATACAGTAGAAGAAATAAAAATTTGAACTCAGCAAAAAAGAAGAAAATGGTTACCAGAAGGAATAGGGAAAGGGTAAAGGGGGTTGGGGGAGGAGGCAGACGGGATTTGGGCACAGGTGGTATGGTGGGGGGGTAAAAAAAATTCCTGTGACTTAACACCTATGTGATCTAGGAGGGCAGGGGGATTTATGATTACTGGCCCCCATCCTGGACGTCTCATGCAAAAAAAAAAAAAAAAGAAAAGAAGAAAAACTTGTTGGTTCTAGAAATATAATAGGATGTAATGAGACAAATTTTGTTTTATTTTGATATAGCTTGCCTTGAAAGGTTCTAGCTACAGTGGACTGCTTGAACGACATCGTATTCATACCAAAAATGTAGAGCATATTCTAGATAGTTTACGGTAAGTCTGTGGGATAGGGATTGGATGGGCTTTTGTATTCAGAAATTCCAATTTTTGTTTTTTTTTTTTTTTTTTTACTAACAGCTAATCTTTAGGTGGTTAGTATAAAGATTGCCATTATAAAGTCGTTTTCAGAAAATTAGATCATTGGTTAATGGACCTTATGTCATAGTGTTTCTAAAGAAATTTTTATCATACACTGCAAATTTTATAGATTTTCAGTTATTTGGTCTGCCTGAGAAGTGCCTTTTCTAAAAGAGTTAATTTTGTACACAGCAGGCTTCAACTTGTATGTATAGCTGTTTTATCTCTTAAATAGAATAATAGTTTATAATGGGTATTCATTAAAATAGTCCTTGAATGACTAAAAATTATTATAGAAACTTCAGTTATTTGGGACTAAATGAAGCCAGTGAATAAGGTTAGATAAGAGAATCAGTATGAGAACATGTAAATTAGGGTGTATTAGTGTTCACTGTCTGCCATTAGTGAACATTTGTTGGATTTAAAATAATAGCTGTTCAGTTTCATAACAAAAAAACATGTCTGGATCTCAATCTACTAGGTCATTTTTGTGTTAATGAATTTTAGCATCAGAAGGACTAGAGAATGTAAAATGAAATTCAGTGAACGTGGCTATTTGTTAAGGACTATAAAAGGTGTTTTTAAAGCATATGGAGATTTAGGATAGTCATTAAAGCCAGTCATTCACTGGCTTTGTTTATTCATATGCTTCTTGACATACTTGAATGGCTGTTGTAATTAAATGAAAAAACCTTACAAACCTATATGTTTATATATACAACAGATTTCTTTGTTTTGTTGTAATAATCTGCCTCTTAGAAAACATACCCCTTTATGTTAATGGAAAATTTATCTAAGTTTTACTTTTTATTGTTAGGAATGAGGGGATTGAGTTTCGTCTAGTAAAGAGGAGAGAATATGATGAAGAGACTGTTCGATGGGCAGATGCTGTCATAGCTGCAGGAGGTAATAGTTTTACAGAGGTAAAGATGTTGGAATATGGACATTGCTCTTGAACACACGTATATCCAAATACCCTGTGATCTAGCTATAATGAGATTTACAGTTTCCTAATATAAGACAAATTTTTGGATTTTTGGCATCAGGTTTAGGTCTAATCTGTTTTATACAATGTGTTTTTTTTTTTAGCAAATGATATTACTGTGAGGTTCCTTATGTGTATACGAAGGTATGCATTTTACTTCAAATGTGGTTCAAAGGACTGCTTGCAGCTATAATTTGGTTTATAATGCCAGTCTTTTTTTTATAATTATTTTTAAGATTTATTTATTCATCATACAAGAACCGGCATACAGGTCAGACGTGTGGGAGGGTGAGAGGATTCACCAGAGAGAGTGGGGAGCAGAATAGGCAGACTGGCTGAAATACACTGCTGAGGGGAGCAGCAGGCAAGACAAGAGAGGTCTGCCACACCATGTGGGTTTTTCACCAGCCGGCTGGGATTGAACCTACGCTGCAGAGGCTGCGGACAGCTTCACAGTGCTGTGCTCAACCACCTGCGCCACCAGGGGAGGCCTTATAATGCCAGTCTTAAAAAAAAAATTGAAAATATTTGGCCTCAATATACTTAAAGATTTATTAATTTATGCATACAAGAACTGGGATACAGGCCAAAGGTGTAGGGGGTGAGAGGATTCATCAGAGACAGAGAGGGGAACAGAACACGCAGATTGACTGAAATACACTGTTGAGGGGAGCAGCAGGCGAGACTGGAGAAGTCTCCTGCGCCAAATGGGTCACGACCCTGGCATGACATTGAACTCCTGCTGCAGTGGCTGCGGATAGCTTCATAGTGCTTCATTTTCACCCCTTGCACCACCAGGAAGGCCCCTCAAGAGCTTTATTAAGCTTAATTTAGTGACCATTCTTTCTAAAGCTTTAACTAGACAGCAGTTGTAGAGAAAAATCAAAGTTCGACACTTTGTTGGATACATTCTCACTAAAATAATTTATGAATTTGGAGTAGTAGTATGAGAGAAGGAAAGAAGATTGGCTAATAGAAGAATGGGATTAGAGCAGTGGTTCCAGCTGAGGCATTTACTGGGTAGAGTCCAGGGCACTGCTAAACACTGTAGAGTGCACAGGACGGCCCGCACAGCAGAGATTTATCTGGCCTAAAATGCCATTATTGAGAGGTCCTGGATTAGAGTGGGAGAGAATACAAAGGGATAGTTAGTAGAGAGGAAGTGGGGAAGACTGTGGCAAACAGCAGGAGAGGGAAGTGAATGTTTAAACCAAAGTACCAGTGTTGAAATGTTTTTAAAAATTGGTTCTGTAATAGAAGTCTGGTTATATATTTTCCCTTCAGGTGATGGCACAATGCTTCTAGCAGCAAGTAAAGTCTTGGACAGACTTAAACCAGTTATTGGAGTAAACACTGATCCAGAACGGTAAAGAAAAATGTATTATTTTGGTTTTTCATTTTTTTTGCATGTTTTATATATATAAACATTTATGCTTTTCTTTGCATAACATCTATGACTAATCTTAAAATTTGGAAGCTTCTCTTTATTTTCTTTACTGGAGTCACTTTGCTGGGCTCTTGCTAAAACAGTTGACTGTGGTACATGATGTTTAAGTGCAAGTTATCATTGCTCTTGACTATAATGAATATTAGAACCATGTACCAAAAACATTTCTATGATAAAACTTAGTTATGTAGAATTCATCCCCACCTGTTTTCAGGGACGTAGCTCATTTTTTAGCTCAAGCATGAGAATATGCATTTAGTTGGTATTAGAAAATTATGATATGGGATGGACCAGTTCTTACATTTGACTTCCCAGGTGGTTCGAAGTATTATTTGAAGAGACCTGAGTCATTGATCCAGATGTGTATTGATAACCATTGGTATTGCTGAGAAGGATGAATTAATAACGTTCCATCTTTATCCTTCCTATGATTCTCATTTACATTCCTGGTTATGCCTTTGTTGTTCTTCTGGGTAACCTCAGTGATTTAATGAAGGCCAATCCAAATCCTGTTCTTCCCCCCCACCCCTTCCTCACCTTCACTGACATTTATTCTCATTAAATTCTAGCTACCCACAGCCATAACCATACCCAGAATTAATCTGGAATTTCCCTTCTAATCACAGATCATATAATTCTACTCTGACTATAGCCTTCTCCCTTAACAGTAATCTTATTTCCTCAGTCCTACTAAATCTTCCCATTGACTTTCTGTACATTGAACTCCTTTATCTTCTTCCCTTAATTCTCCCTCACTTTATTCTTTCTTGACAATTTAAAAGAAAAATATTTTGTACCATTATCTATCTGCTCACTCAGTCCTTTCTTTCTACTCACTCTATCATTCATTCTGTTCTTACATCAGCACTATTGAGACTGCTATGGTTAAAAAAAAAAATCATAGAAGCTTAGGTTTGATGGCCCTGTTTGGTCTTTGATAACCCAAATTTACTTCCAAATTTTAGTTTCTAGCATATAGAATTGGACCACCAGAGTTGCTTAAAAAACTTTCTTTGTGGTACAAGTCATCTCTCTTCCCTATTCCCTGTGGTAGCTACTTCAAGAGTATGTTCTCCTTGTTTCTCCTTCTTTTTGAACAAACCCTCCCTTATCTTATAGAGGAATTGGAACTCACTGGATTGGAACTTCTTCAATTTTTGCATCTGTACCATTGTGGCATTTATGACACCCCTTTCTTCCTGTCTCTTTATCTCTTGGTCTCTGTCTTTTGAAAGACCTTATGTTTTGGTCATGTAGATTTTCAACTGCATGTTGTTGGCACCTCCAGCCTCCACATTGTTCCAAGGATCAACTATGCAGTCATCATGTTCTGCATTACATCACTAGTACTTATTTTATAACTGGAAATCTGTGCTTTTTCATCACTTTCATCCAAATTGCCTGTCTCAGAAGTTAATGTTCAGTTTAAGTTTCTTTTCTATATTATCAAATGTTGCATAACAAATCATCGCCAAACTTAGAGGCTTAAACAGTAATAGTCATTTATTAATTAATCTCTCATGGTTTCTGTATGTCAGAATTCAGGAGCAGGTTGGCTGGGTGGTTTTGGCTTGGAATCTCTCAAGAGGTTATGGTCAGATGCAGCTGGACTGCAGACATCTGAAGACTTGACTTGTGCTGGAGAATCCACTTCCGGGATGGCTTACGCACATGAACTCATCTAAATTAAATATGTAGTTTCTGTATGTCTCTTCTTTATTCTACACTAGTAAGTAGTTGAATGCTTAGTAGTAAGATGGACTAGAAGGCATGTGGTAGCTAGCTTCCAAGGTAACCTCCTGGAATTTTCAGTTTTATGTGGTTCCGGAATCCTCATATACAATCAGGGGTGGATGATGTGAACAATAAAATATGGTGTGACTGTGTAGATTCCAAGACTAGGTTATTAATGGTATTTTAGCTTCTGTATTGGTCTTTTGCACTGTTTGTTCTGGGGTAAGTCAGCGACCATGATGTGAGGACACTTAAGCCCAATGGAAAGGCTCACATGAGGAGCCAACGGCCATCACCAGTTTGTTAGCCATGTCAGTGAGCCATGTAGAAAGTAAATTGTCTTGCCAAGTCAAACCTTAAACTGCTGTTAACCCTACCTGATATCTGACTATAACCTCACAAGAAGATCTTTTATCTAGAATATTTCAAAACTGTAGTAGACTTCAGCAGGTATTGTCCTATCAAGTGACTGTTGATATATTTTATATATTTAGCAATGTGAGAAGTATTGTAGTGAATATAAAAATTAAAAACTTAGACCTTACCTAAGTTTCTTAACCTTGGCGTTGATCCTTTCAGATAAAGAAATTATTAACTAGTCATACTTCGTAAAAATCTTTGCCTCTGCTCTTCACACTTTTATAATAATAGGTGGACAACTTCCTTCATGTTAGATGCCATGTTGTCTCATAGCAACCTATATACAACTTACCACTTTGCAATTTATAATCATTTGTCTTAATTTCTGTCTTTCATGTTAAACTATTAACTCCTTGAGCGAATTCATTCTCATATTTTTTGAGTACATTTTCAGGATTCTCTTTCAGTTACTTGGAATTTCTTAAATGACATTTTAAAGGGATTTATGGTTCTAAACAATTTCATATAAACAGCTTAACTTCTCAGGGTAACCTTTGGAAAACGGTAGTTTTCACGCCCTTTTAGAGATGATGAAGATTATGTTAAAGTGACTTAACCAGAGTTAATAATTAAGTAAGATGAAGCACCATCATACCATTAGATAATTTTACAAGGGATTCAATCAGTGGATTTGTTTTTATTTTTAGTTTCACTGTATTGTGGAAACAGTATTGTATTTTCTGACATTGAGTTGGATATAAACTGTTATTTCTGTGTGATCTTTTTTGTTCTTGTTGAAAATACAAACAATTTTGTGGCAAAACATGGAGTAAAGAATAGAAATTTCAAAAAATACCTGATTTTTGTAGTTTAGTGATATTTTAAAAAGTAAGTGTTCTTTGTTTTCTTCTTCCTTTTATACCACCCCAAATCCCTTTGAAAATAAAGGTCTGAAGGTCATTTATGTCTTCCGGTTCGATATACACATTCCTTCCCAGAAGCCTTACAGAAGTTCTATCGTGGTGAGTTCAGGTAGGAATTTCTTACTGTAATTATATAAATATGTTAATAAGTATGTGTCAGAATAAATTAAGATAACATTTGGATTAGTAAGTTTAGTCATAAAAGGTAAGACATTAGTTATGTCACAAAAAAAGAATAACTTACTTTTTTCTAGTCCGTTCGGAACTGTGGAGAAGCACAACATGCCACTTGACCTGTAACTGAATTGCAAATAGAGGTTTTTCTTCTTTGGTGAGATAGGGCCCATATCTCTACTGTCTAATCTTGTTACAGGTTTTAAAAGTTTAGTAGAAAATAGTTAAAACTGTTACCTGAAATGGAATGTTCAAATTCTTCAAGATTTTATATTTTTAATCCTCATCTCCTCTGATCTAGAATGATTGATGTTTAGATTTATTCCAGCCACACTTAGATACTGCTCTCTCTTCCTTGCATGTTAAGTGTTTCTTAAGCACAGTGGGTTTTTCACATTCTTTTCACATAATATGTTCAGTGGTTAGTCTGTCAGGAACAGGAAGGAGGAGAGGAGCTGAGATGATGAGAAAACCAAGTTGAACTTAATATTTCCTGACTTGGACTAGATTTCATAGTTTGGAGAAAGCTTTGTCCCAGGATATTTGTGAAATTATATTAAATCTTGACTTCTGGAATCATTTTGTTAATAGTGATTCTAGTTTCTAGTCATTTAAAGAAGTTTGGTACCTCCAGAAATGGCTACTTTATCACCATTAAGTGGCAGTACATATTTATGTACATATCTAGCAGACTCTGTCCCATAGGCTTTTTGATACATTAGTTTTCATTTTGAAATGAATTAAACCTGTTTTTTCCCTTTTTACCAAAAATGCCATTAAATTTTTTAGGTATAATCTTAAATGTCATAATATTTGTTATTAATCTCTTTTTTCTGTTATTGTAAAGAAAATTGCACACTTGGGTGAGGGTTTTTTTTTTCAATCTATGACCACTTTAACACAATATTATTTTAATTTAAAAATGCTTTTTTTGTATATATTTTTTGATGAACAAAGTACAACTAATATCTACCTCATTATCTTGGTTCAATGGATACTTGATAAAAAGTTTAACTTTAATTCAAATAACTTGGGAGCTTTTGTTTAAATTAGATATTTGTGTTATAAGGGAAATAAGAAACATTTAAATTTGTCTTGAGTAAGAAGAACCTGTAGTCTTTTGGTCTTGGTATTCCTGGTATAATTTGTTCATGGAATTACTTGTTTTTTAATAATGAATTTTTGAATTTGGTAAAATTCTAGGAATGTCTAATTCTTAGTTTAATATATCCTTTTTAACATAATTTGCTTTTCCTTCGCTTTTCTAAGATGGTTATGGAGACAGCGTATCAGGTTATACCTTGAAGGGACAGGCATAAATCCCGTTCCTGTGGACCTTCATGAGCAGCAACTAAGTCTGAATCAACATAGTAGAGCCTTCAATATTGAAAGAGTCCATGATGAAAGTAAGTGGATTGGGAGTTAGAGGTGTTTCGGGCAGTCATACCATATTTGGTAAAACTTGTAGTTATTTTGATTTCTATTTTTAGAAGTAATACTTTACGATTAACTTATTCTGGGATTTTAGTGCCACTAACACCAGGGAAGAAGAGACAATGGGGGGATTTTAAGGGAAGTTTTAGGGACCAGTCCTTCTCACTATCTTCTCCCTATTCCATGTACCATTACTCGGCTTGGAAACAGAGTCTAGCATAATGATAGTGTGAGAGGGGGCCTCCTGGTCTGAAAGGGGTTTAGTCTTAGCACTATTAGGCTATCACCAGCTACTGCAGCATGAGTTCGAGCCCTCACCAGGGAGCTGACCCACATGGCACAGCAGACCTCTCCTGTCTTGCCCGTTGCTCCCTTCAGCAGTGTATTTCAGTAGATACACCTGTTCTGCTCCCCACGCTGTGTCTGGTAAATCTTTTTACCCCCTGCACCTCTGGCCTGCACCCCAGTTCTTATATGCATAAATAAATAAAAATCTTTAAAGAAAATGATTGTGTAAGGGAATTGAACAGTGTAGCAGTTCTTGTCACTGGTGACATCTTTTCTTAAAAATACAAATTATACTTTTGTAATCCATTCTCTTGGGTAGACAGTTGTAAACTGATACTGAGTCCATCTTTTCATGTTCTATTAAATCAAGCTATAAAACAATTTTGTGATTAGGTAACATTTGGAAGTCAGCATGGAAAAAAATAAAAGCAAAATTAAAATGATCGAGACTTGAAGCAGTTTTACTTATTGTTTTCCTTTTTGACAAAAGAGTTCATGTTAAATTCAGTAAGCACAAATAATAAAAGTGCAGTATGGAAAGGAAAACAGGGTGATGGGAAAATGAGAGTAGAGGATTGGCATTTCTGTTGGAGGCCGGTAAAACCTAAAAAGTAAAAGAAATTATTTGAAGGTGATAATCACAAGTTTGATCTAGAAGTGGGAATCCACTTGTGTGATCTACGTAAGTTGTGTATACAACTTTATAGAGTAAAAAAAAAAAAAATTTAAAGTGGAGCATGAAAGGATGTGTGCCTGTTTTCCGCCAGTGCTGCTGTTGCTGAAAACACTCCTGAGATTTTATGTTTGAAGAAAAAGGTCTGACTTCTAACATAACTGATTTGGTTTCCAGCATGAACCATGGGTATATTTTACAGGTTAAATTCAAAATTGCTGTCCTTTGGAAGTACTAGATCGGGTTCTACCTCTGAAGCTTCAGTGTGAAACTTACTTAGTGACAGTAAGAATCTTATGAGCTGGATAAATGTATTTCATCAATCTCTAAGAATTGTTTCAAAAAGCAGTCAGGTCCTACCTTAAAAAAACTGAAAATGGATATGCCATATGATTTAGCAGTCCTTCTTTGGGTGTCCAAACATGAACTCAAAAATCATATGCTCCACAATGTCTATTGCAACATTGTTTACAACAGTGAAGGTTTGGAAACACTCAATGTGCCCTCTAATACAGAATTGGATAAAGAAGATTATGCTATATCCACACAATTGAATACTGTTAAGCTCTATGGAAAGTTATAATGTCACCATTTTTAACTAAATGGAAAGAGCTTGAGGGTTTTATGTGCAACAAAACAAGCCAGGAAGATAAAGACAAATCTTGGATGATTTCATATAGATGCATAAAATAAGGAATCAAAACCAATGAACTTATAAAGCAAAATAATTATAAACTATCAGACTATGCCTACTGAAGTTAGGTTTCTAAGGCTGAGGAGGGAGAAAGGGCCAATAGAATTAGGTGGTGAGAGGAAAAACTATTAACTAATGCTATAGCAGTTAATTTTACAGGCATATGGCTATGCTTTACACCAATTAATTGCCTTATCAGAGAATAGAGATTTTTTTTCTCCTTTGGTTAGCTTATGAAGAAAGAAGCTGTTGAGTGAAAATAGCAAGTCAGAGTTTATATGAAGTATGATACCATTGTCATACAGATCACTGACATAACTAATCTGTTGTGTAAAGAAACATTTGTATGTAGTAAACCTATATTTAAAAAAGGTTTAATTGAGAGAGACGGGTTTCACTGCAGGTATCTTATTAGGTGACTAAGGTTTATATTAGGTTACTTTAAATGAGAGGTGTTTGATTGTATGTTAATGTTAAAAAACATGATTCTTTTAAAAACAAACAAATACTCTAAAGTAGTATTTTTAAAATTTAAGGAGCTATCTTGGATTTTATGTTCATTACATGCAGGGTCTGAGGCTTCAGGACCCCAGCTTTTGCCAGTGAGAGCCCTAAATGAAGTCTTCATTGGAGAAAGTCTATCATCCAGGTACTTTTAAATGTGTGATATTGAGTTTGGGATTTAGTATTTTAATATTTTTTGATATTCAATTTCTATAGGCTGAGATTTGTGAGTATGTGTTATGTTGATATAAAATGGAATTATTTAATGAAGTATTTCCAAAACCTTCATACATGTTAATACATGTTAAGAGGAAAGAAGCTCTGATCAAAAAAGTTGGTGAAATCCTAGATTAAACAGAATTACTTAGTTTTCTTTATTGCAGTGTTTCCCAGAGCCTTTATCTATCATATAGATGCTTTATAAATGTTTAGGAGAATGATAGACTAAACATAGGTTTTGCACTTGATAAAACTTTTTCTTATAGACAGTTCATATTGAAACTTCCCTACCAATTGTTTTAATGATGTCCTTTAAAGCTGATCAATTTGCTTATTTTTATCTAGGATCCAATTAAGGATCATGTATTAGCATAGCATTTGGCCATAATGACCTTCTTAGAATTAGGAACTGTCTTGTTAGCCCACCCCTGCTTTCATTCATGATAGTAATATATTTGAATGTTCAAGCAAATTGGTTCGCCCTTAATTTTTATTTGTATCACTTATTTTTTCCTCTGTGATAAGATTCACATTCAACATTTTTGACAGGACTAATACATAGGTGGTATTGTGACCTTTTAGTCAATATCATAAGGCAAGCATAGTGAGAGTTTAAAATTTATAACCATTTTGGCAAAAGTACAGGTAATAAAATTCTTCATTAGGAGTATAAAATATTTATGTATTTTATTGCTGGTGAAATCTGTTTTGTGATGTTGAATGTAACTAAGACTTAAATTAGCATCAAATTGTTTTTTGCAAAATTGTGTTTGTGTGACATTAGCTATCAGTCATAAAATGACTTCTATAATGTAAAGTTAATTTAACTGTTGGCAGTACTTTAGAACCTGCCTCCTCATTTTTATTAGCTGTAAACTAAATCGGGATGGAAGAGTAGAGATGAGTCTGTGTCCCACTTTTCTGCTGCCAAACTATGTGACTCTTCGAAGGCCATCTAATATTGATACCCTAGTTTATTGAGCATTCCTTATATTCTGAAATTCTGTTTGTCGTAAATCATATCCTTTCATAAGAAGTTTATGGTGAGAAAAGCCTTAAGGTAGCTGTGTTTTAGGCAATGACTTTACTGAGGTAGGACAGAAAAGAACAGGCCTGATTCAGCAGAATGATTTTATCAATCTTTTTGAGTTGTAATTGTTTTGATTAATGTAATGTAAATTTGATCACTAGAAATACATTGTATATCTGTTATGTGTACTAGGGATACATAGGTTGAAGGTTTATCACCTTGGAGTGTGGCAAAATACATAACTAAAAAATTACTAAAAATTTATTCTTCTAAGAAATCAAGTAAGAATATAATCTTTAAGAAACTTAAAAATATAGTAAAGTGTAAAATATATTTATTTTAACATAGTAAAACTTATGCTATATATACAGTCTTGCTACATATCGAAGTTGAAACATTATGGAAATGAACAATGGGTATTTTATATAATAGAATAGAGAATGAGGAAAATGTAACTCTAGTGATATAATTTAGTTATTATTGCTAAAGACGTGAGACAAAAGAGAGCAACTTTAAATGGGATTGGAGAAAGTCTACATTAAAATAAATAGATGACAAAGGCAACAATCTCTTGAGTTTATGATTTCTCGAGGTTGACATTTCTGAGAGCTTCTACTAGTGTTGCTTAATAATTTGTACTTACTAAAAAGTTAAATAATTTGTCAGGGGAGGAAAACTAGGATTATCAACTTTTGAGAATTCAGTGAAGCCCCACTAGGAGATGTCACATCAGATGCTTTTATTTTCTGTGGCAAAATTGATTTGGTTGGTTTATCTCTTATATAATATCTGCTGCTGCTGCTTTTTGTATTCTTTGATGTCTCATCTTGTATGTTTACTAAGATAATGATGGCAATGGGTTAGCTTCTGATGCAATTGCAAAAGGTCTAACTGCTGGAAGTATTAGAACTTATTTTAAAAGATTATGTGACATAGACCCTTGGGCAGAAAAGCAATGAACATTAATTGGAGGCCTGGTGTGTATGGAGCACTGTGTGTATTTTGCATGTTGTCACATTTAATATTCAAAGCAACCCTGTAAGAAAGGTAGCTCTGTTTTGTCAGTGAAAAAATTGAGATTTGGAGATTCAAATATCTTGTCCTATGTTGTATAATTTGTGAGCATCAGAAGTATTATGTAAACCAAGATCTATGTAAACCCTGAATCCAGATCCTCTGTTGAGGCTTCACTACGCCTGGAAACTTGAATACTTTGCTTGGAAAATGTGAAGTGCAGCAATATTATTCCTGCCTCACTTATAATGTTCTTAGATTTAAGAACATTTAAAAGCCCAATTTTTTTTTTCTTTTCTCCTATTCTAACCTAGAATGTCTTATTCTTGGGCTGTAGCAGTGGACAATTTAAGAAGAAGTATACCCACTCTAAAGGGACTGTGAGTTTTATTGCTGCCTTAAAAAAATAATTTCCCTGAAAAAAAATCCTGCTATGAGTTGACTAATCTTGATAAACTTGCATGTGAGAATGACACTAAATTTACTCATTTTATTTTGGGCTTCAGCATCTTTCACCTGAATATATTTTCTTCCTCTCCACCACTGCTTCTTTTACACCTCTACTTAACTTCTTTGCTCCTTTGTTTCTATGTGATTCTAGCATAATAGCAGTCATTTCTATAGATTTGGCCAGCTTGTCTGTATGTATTAGTCTCCTAATGTACCTAAATTCCTGATTTTCTAGAAGACATAACAAAACTACAAAATAGATTAAATGTGACTATTAGGCTAGCTTTCTTTTATTTTTATGAAGAATGCTCTCTAACTTAAGAGAAAAAATGAAAAGAATTATGTCATGTAAAACTTTCACAGATTAGGAAACTGGCAGGAGAAATTTAAATTGGTAGACTAAGAGAGAAATTATCCATACAGTGTTAGTGCTTGTAAGCTTTGTTTAATAATTGTCATTGTTTTAACTTTTTTTAATTTTTGGAGAAAAAGAACCAGTGTTGATCAGTACTACACCATTATTTTTAAGATGTAGTTTACAGAATAGGCTTCCACATGTTTCCAGAATTCTTTTAATAGTTGCAAGTCATACTTATGTATTATGCACTTAAAGAATAGTATCACTTTTAATAGTGTCAGAATACCCACTTGATTTCATATCTGTGAAATACACTAAGTAGTATGTTTTTGTGGATTTATGAAACTCTTAAGTAAACAAGAAGTTAGTAGAAACTATTGGTGATTCAAAGAATTAGACACAGACTTAGATATATCAAGTCTACCAAGAATGAAACGTACCTAAGAAGGTATTTTCTTTTTGAATTCTGAAGTAAGGTGCTGGATGTGTTAGATTGGATAAAAGCAGTAGTAACAATGTTAGGTCAAAGTTTTTAAGAAGCCTTTGTTTGAAATACTAGTAGTGATAGAAAAGAACAGATAGATTGGAGAAGGATGTAGGTATGTAGAACTAAAAAAAATTTTTTCACTTAATCAGTATTGGAATTAGCCCATAATATGTGTCAAGTCAAGCTGGCCTACTTAGACTTTATTAGTTCTGAAAAATACTATTTATTTATAAGTTCAGCAAATTAAGTTTTCGAATTCTCAATTCATAGGGCTTCCTACTATGAGATTTCAGTTGATGATGGTCCGTGGGAAAAACAGAAGAGTTCAGGGCTCAATTTGTGTACTGGAACAGGATCAAAGGCCTGGTGAGTAACTTGGGATCTCGCTTATCAATTTTTGTGAAATATTTTAAGTAATATAATTTACTCAAGAGCTCATATTGGTGTGTCTAAGGTCTCTAACATGTAAGAAGTAGCCTGATGGTGTTATGTTGCTTGGCTTAGTCTCTGCTTCACTCATCAGCTGGGTCCAAGAGTCCTGCCATGACTTCATAGATTATAACTGCAGTCTGTATTTTGTCATTATTTGATCATCATTTAGCCTACTGCATTAGATTTGTAAAGAGAAAAAAGAAAATGATAAATATTTTATGGAATTATATATTTTTTAATTAAAACCTTTTCAAACTATAGTGAAGAAAGGAAAAAAGTATAATACAAAAAATATGCTGGAGGTTTGTGTATTGAAGGCCTAATTGGAGATAACCTGAGGCATTCTCTGTCTACCCTATCACCTTTGCACATATGTATGGATATTATATGGATATTATATGTGCATCTTCATATATGTGCAAGAATAGTTAGTCTAAATTACTAGATTTTTTTGCTAAGTGACTGGATGTCCATTTGAAATGTCAGTAGTGCAGAATTGTCCTCCAACTTCAATTTCTGTAATTCCATCAGTGTATAAGAACAGTTGTTTTTCCATACTCATGCAGGTGTTTCCCAAACTTCTCTTTGTACCTATCTTCTCACCTCAGTACAATCTTCTATTCTAAAGTGACCTACTAGATAAAATGTTAGTAGCACTTAAATTTAGCACTTTCAAAACTGAATTTACTGCCTTCAACTTTTCTTCCTCTGCTCCCTGTGTTATTAATGATATCACTGTTTATCCTAACTTCATGCTATAGAGAAAAAGCATTATTCCTCAAAACTTTGCTCTTACCTTTGAGTCTTCCTATTCCCTTCTACATTTATCGGTCTGTAAAGCCTGTCATGTATACTCTGAATCCTTGCTTCTCTTTTTCTGCTTCCACTGCTGTTTCTTGGTTCAACTCCCATGTCCCCATCTTTGTGCCGCATTCTTTATGCTTCAGGCTGTCATCTATACTACTAATAGAGTGATATTTCTAAAATGTAGATAAATCTGACTATATCCCTTTGTGCTTTAATACTTTTATTGACTACTGACTGTGCTCAGATTACTTCATCTGTCATAAATCCCTTTAAATATGACCTAAGTATCTTACCAGTGTATTCCTGCCCTTTCTATACCCATCAGCTCACTTGAGACACTGCAAGCTATTTGCAATTCTCAGCACAAGCCATGTTCTCTCTCAGCTTTTTGTTTTTGCTCAGTGCACTTTATTCCTCCTTTGAATGCCTGAGCACTCTCACTTTCTATCCACTAGCTGGAAAATTTGGTCTTAAGTGTCATTCTCTGATGAATATTTTTCTTAGGACCTAGATCCTTTTGTGAACATAGTCCCTTTGTGTCCTTCCCTAGCACTTTGTCCTTAAAGCACTATGATAGCACTTACCACATTATTAGTTATCTAAAAAGTTAATTTTTTAGTTAGTTTGAGTAAATTGAGATGTTTGGGATGGTGACCAGTGATTGTCTTTTTGTTGTTTAAATTTTTACATGCACAGCATAGTACCTAATATGTATTCACTCAAATATTTTTGACCCTATACTTACAAATAAAACTAAAAGTCTTTACTGAACTGTGATTTTAAGTTTAAGTTTTAAGACAATTCCTTTTCCTCCTCCTCATGTGATTCTGTGCTTTCAGACTTAACTCTAGAGGTGAAGTGTTCATAGTGACAAAGTTACTAGGTGATGAAGAGCTGAGACTTAAGTTGCTTTTCTATTGGTTGTCTTTAGTAGAAGTTATGTCCAAGTTCAAATTATGGTAATGTTTAGAATGGTGAAGGTTGTAGGCCTAACAAGATAGTTACCATAAGCTGGCCAACACCTGCTTAGGCACACAGTTTGTCTTTAGTGTAGAAAACTTTACTTTACCTTTACTCATAAAGGTAAAGTTACTTGACTGAAATACAGGTTACAACATAGGAAGTTAGTCTTCACTTAACACTTCAGAGGAATTAATTTTTTGGATTTGGTAGTGGTATTCTCAATACGTCATAGTTCTAAGATGATTAGAGCAGGTCTGTAAGACTTTAATCCTGTTAAATGAAGTCTTACACAAAAGGGTAAATTTTTTTTTGCCCATTATATATTTTAATGAAACCCTGAGGAACATAGCTCATTTTCATGTGACTTTTACATTTAAAATAGAGAGAATTCCCAAACAGTGATGATGTGGATAATCATAGGAATTAGACTGTAATTCACATATGTCCCTGCATTTGACATTGTCATTCATTGTTGAGTTCCTGCAGTAGCCAGGCAGTGCCTTCTGTGCTTTATGTCTTAGAGTGTGTAACAATAATACTGATGAGATGGGTATTTTGAACCTTACATTAAAACAATAAAGTCAGGGGCCTCCCCAGTGGCGCAGCGGTTGAGCGGTGGGTTGCGAAGCTGCCTGCAGCCTCTGCGGTGCCGGTTCGATCCCCGGCTGCTCCCCGGCCACTGGAGGAGGGTCTCGCATGGCGCGCAGACCTCTCCTGCCGCCCGCTGCTCCCCTCAGCAGTGTACTTCGGTCCTTCTGCCTGCTCTGCTCCCTGCTCTGGCTCTGGTGAATTCTCTCACCCTCCCGTGCTTCTGACTGTACCCAGTGCTTGTATAAATAAATAAATAAATCTTTAAAAAAAAAATAAAACAATAAAGTCAGAACACTTCAAGTATTTTACTTTATAACACATAGTAACATAGTACGTATGAGCAAAGAATACATTTGGTGTGCTTTGAATATGAAATTGGAGGGAAGATAATCGTGAAAATTTAGAATAAGCAAGCACCAAATTTTAGATTTTTTTAAGCATAGGAATTAGTATGAATAACCCTAAAATTCTAATGTAAAAATATGTGTATCTGCATTTTTTTAAGATAATGTTCAAAATGTTTTCATAAAATGTAAAAATATCCCATTTCTCAAAATGTAAAGGATACTCTTATATGGGAAAGGGAGTATCCCTTCCCCTCCAGAAAAAAAGCTGAGCCACTGAATTAGGTTGCGTTGTGTGACTCATTATATTATTCCTATTCACTGATACTATATGTTACGACCATGACATAGTAGAATTATTCTAAGTTGATTAGAAGAATTTAAAAAAAAAAACCACCCTTTCCATAACCATTTAGACCCCAGGACAGTACTACTTTTAAAAGTTACTCATGTATTTGTGTTAACATTTGATTTTAAATGGTTAAACGAGGGTTCATACTGGTTAAAGAATTCTCATCATCAAGGAAATTATTTTATAATTTGTTACTTTTTACTACTTTTTTAGTTATTTAAAGAAAAACTTAAACATGTTTAAAAATAGGTTAAATAGTACAAAAGCGTATACAATGAGCGCTAATCTCTTTCATTTCCTATTGCTAGTACTGATCTCCAGACAGAACAATCATACATATGTATAGTTTTTTTATTTTTTTAAAGATTTATTTATTCATGCATACAAGAACTAGGATGCAGGCCAGAGGTGAGGAGGGGTGCGGGGTGGGGGTGCGGGGTCTGTGTGTGTGTGTGTGTGGAAGGTGAGAGGATTCACCAGAGACAGAGTGGGTTGCAGAAAAAGCAGATCTACTGAAATACACAGCCGGCGAGACAGGGGAGGTCTATTGTGCCATGTGGGTCAGCTCCCTGGCCAGAGAGAGAACTTTGCTGCAGTGGCTATGAATAGCTTTATAGTGCTGAGACTTAACCCCTTTGTGCCACCAGGGAGGCCCCTATGTATAGTTTTTTATATACAAATAAAACAGGGTAACAGTACACACATACACACACATTGTAATATGTTTGGATTTTAAACTTAACATATTGGTTATCTTTCCATATCAGCACATTTAGTTCATTCCTTTAATATCTGTGTAGTAATCTGAGTAGCTATGATTTATTTAACCAGCTTTCTATGGATATTAACATATTTCAATTGCTTTGCTCTTATAAACAATGCTTCAGTAAATACCTCTATACCTTCTTTGTATATTATATGTGCAAGTATAGTTAGCCTAATTACTAGATTTTTGGCTAAATGTTTTGGATGTCCATTTAAAATGTTAATAGTGCAGAATTATCCTCCAACTCTAATTTCTATAATTCCATCAGTGTATGGGAATATTTGTTTTTCCATATTCATGCCAATACATTATTAGTTTTAAATTCTTGCAACCCTGAGAAAAATCATTTTAATTTGTATTTTTTTAAGTATGAGTAAGATTGAACATTTTTTCATACAGGCCTGTGAACTGTTTGTCCATGTACTTTGCCCACTTTTTAAAACTGGGTGAAGTATTTACTGTCTTTTACTTGTTTTTTTCCTGATAAATTTCTAAGAGTACTTTTGTATACTAAATAAATTATTCCTTTTTCACCTTTAGCATGTTTTTAGAATTAAAACAAGAAAGAATTTATGTGGTGTTTGTTTCTAGGTCATTCAATATTAACAGGGTTGCAACTCAGGCTGTGGAAGATGTTTTAAATATTGGTAAGTACCGAAATAGCTATTTATATTATATTTGTAATAAGCAATATAATGTATATCTTTTATTGCATCTTACTCATTAGACACAGTATTTTGTTTAATCAAGATATTTTCTCCCTTTCCCCTTTCAATAGCAAAACGACAAGGAAATTTAAATCTTCCATTAAACAGAGAATTGGTAGAGAAAGGTGAGTGACAGATGATCATAATTACTAATAGTTTCATTAAGTTCTGTGTTGCTTTTCAGGATGTTACTGAGAAGTGTACTTGCCTAATTAGCAAGAGCAAGTATTTTTTAAAGTAAAATATACTCTTACTAGAAAAAAGTATTTTAAAGTGGAACTTTTTTATTATAATTTTTGTCAATCATGAAAATACCACCTCTGTGTGAAAACATAACTTCAAACATGTCCTCTGGGAGATAGCATAATATAGAAAAATACAGACCTGGCAAATGGAAGTATATACCTAACCCTCTGTGTGCCATTTAATATCCTCTGAAAGAGAAGGAATTCTCTTAGTTGTGAATACTTACCATCACAGTCACTAAAATGTTCCCTTTAATCTTGTCTACTTCTATGCACTTAATTCAAGGTTTGTTTAAGAAACTAGAACTGTTGAAAAAAGGATGCTAAACAAAGAATTTGAAGATGTGGTTTCTAAGCCCAGACTAACCATTCCCTGAAACTGGATCAGGCTGATTTTTCCATGCGTCTACTTCCTCAGCTGAAATAGGGAATGGATATAGATCGCTGGTACACAGGAATTCTTCAGATTTACTCCTTAAAATTTATCTTTTTAAAAAATTTAAATTCTTAAAAATCACATTCATTTGCTTTGCATACAAAATTTTGAAACATTTTTGAACCACCTCAAACTAAAGCTTTTCTTGCGGTCTGTTGGTCACAGAGAAAGTGAATCTGATGAAAGAGTTCTACAAATATTCTGCATAATGACAGCTTCATTAGAGAAAGCATGTTGTCTTTATTTGAAGACTTTTATCAATGCTCTTAACTTACGAATTTTTGACATGGTATTTTGGAAAAGAACTTGACCCAAAGGGGAATATGGCAACTTAAATTCCATTTTTGAGGGCTATTCAAATGAGTTTCTCTATTTTTGTTTAATTGCTAACTTTGTAGTTTTTCCCAAATGTACCATTTCTGCTATATTGTGGATTATGTGGGCTTCTGTGGGCTACTGAATTAATTCTTATTACTAAGGTTTAAAAAATTTTTTAATGGAATGTGTTTTGAGTTCCAAGAATCTTGCTATCAAACAGACCTTTAGAAAGAATAGCATTTAAGGGCCTCCCTGGTGGAGCAGCAGTTGAGCGCTGGGTTGCAAAGCTGCCCGCAGCCTCTGCAGTGCTGGTTCTATCCCTGGCCACTGGGCGAGGGTCCCACATGGCGCGCAGACCTCTCCTGCCGCCTGCTGCTCCCCTCAGCAGTGTACTTCATCAGTCTGCCTGTTCTGTTCCCTACTCTGGCTCTGGTGAATTCTTTCACCCTCACGCACTTCTGACTGTACCCAGTGCTTATATAAATAAATAAAATAAATCTTTAAAAAAAAAAAAAAAGAATAGCATTTAAGTTGGAAATAGTGTCCATTTTTCACTTTTCAGAAGTAACCACCATTTATTGAATGTGCTATTTTTTTCCCTTTCTAGTTACTAATGAATATAATGAATCGCTGCTCTACAGTCCAGAAGAACCAAAAATACTTTTTAGTATTCGAGAACCAATAGCAAACAGAGTTTTCTCAAGCAGTCGTCAGCGTTGTTTCACCTCAAAGTAAGGTCCCCAAGTTTGACTTACGATTGTCTTTATCCCATGTAATTATAAAGCATTTCTGGTTTTAAAAGTATTCGATTTTGTTAAATTCACTCAATCATACTTAATCTAGCAGGAAAGAAGGTCCAAAGGAATAAGTGAGGTATCATACTAACGTGGACAAAATGATTTTCTTTCAGACTTAATGTGCCATCTTAGAGAAACTAAAATTTAAGTGAATAGACAAATCATACTTAAGTGGGGGATGTGAATTCGTTGGCTTTTTTCTTTTTGTAATAAGACACAGTGAGACCAAATTATCACTGTAAAAGAAACTTTTAGAAAAAGAGTACCTTTGTCTACTGATGAATGTCTAGATGAATGAGCTATCCTGAATATTTACATTTTGGTAAGTTACTAATTTATTGGTATAGTCACTACTTATGTCATTCCTGAGAGCAACTTGATTTTTAAAATCTGCCAGTTTTGATTAATATCAAGGGTTTTAAAGAAACTTCCAGTTAGGAAAACTGTTAATATTTAATGAGATATTTCTTACTGCATAGGGTTTGTGTTCGTTCTCGTTGTTGGGATGCCTGTATGGTTGTGGATGGAGGAACATCTTTCGAGTTTAATGATGGGGCAATTGCTTCCATGATGATCAATAAAGAAGATGAACTTCAAACTGTGCTTCTGGAACAGTGAAGGATTTCCTCAGATGATAAGTTTATTACTGAATAGTAACTTCCACTGTGGAAACAAACTACAAGTCATAAAGCTACTTATTTTTGGTTATTGTTGAGACTGGTTAGCCCTGGACTCAAAAGTGACCAAAAAAGCAAGATTGTCATTATTCTTCTGTTGGATCCTAATGAAGAATATGTTCACTATGTAAGAAAATGGATGGACTAAACTGATTAGCATTGATACCAGTGAAATTTTTGTATTGTTTACAATTGGTATGCAAGAGTACTGATATCTTTAAATTTAGAGGTAGGCTCAAATAAAGGATTAAATGTTTAGGAATTGAAGTTTAACTGTACAAGTTTTTTTTTTTTTTTTTTCCTTCCCTGCCTTCTTACTTTGCGGAATTAGATCAGACACATATCATTTGATTGATACATATTTTTTATAGTACTTAAGAATCAAGATTTTTAACGAATTTTGATGATGATGGGGAACTTTGATAAATCCTGACATTGACTTTATTGCAGTAGGTAAATATATTTTATATGTGCCAAGGATTTTCTAATTACAGAACACAGTGATATTATGAGTCTTTATTGATTTAAAGTTAAAGCAGACATTTTTGAAATTATTTGTAGATTTTTCATTTAATTGACTTTCAGATTAATTTTGACAATGCTGGGTAAAATATAACTGGACAAATCATGATGCTTTTATAAATGTGTTAATTATTCAATAGTTGTTTTAGGTCATAGATGATTTTAAAAAAATGATTGTGTCAGATAGATTTCTTCCACATTTTAAACTCTCTACTGTGGATTAAAAGACTAAAAGGATGAACTGATTAGACATATTCTATTATGAGTTTGGTAAAACCTTTAAAAAATATTTTCATCTAATGTTAGGAGTTTTGTCAGAAAGAAAATATTCTTTAATATGCAAAACACATTAGTTTTGGAACTGCCTTACTAGTTTTCACCTAGCTCTTAATTCAGGTTTCACACATTAGCTTTGGAGGATAAAATGTAATGGTTTTTCTTTTTCCCCCATTATGAGAGTTTATTTTTGGAGGAAATTATTCTTACCTAATTCCTGCTCTACTTATATGTAATCCTAGAACCTTTTGCTGCCTCATGAGACAGATGGTATTCTCATGTCATTTATTCAAAGTTGAGCCTGTTTTTCACTTAAAGAATTTTTTGTTTAATCATTTTCATTGAATACCCATTCTGTGCCATATACTGTGTCTGGTGCTGGATATATGTTGATGAATGAAACAGACTCTATCCTGATAGAACTTGAGATTAGAAGTAAATTCTGTGAAAGTATGCATAATCAAATTGAGTTCTCTTAGTTTTGCCAACATTTTACATGTTCTTGTCCAATTTATGTGAATGTTTCTATATAAAGGTATCTAGGTTTTGATGTATATCCAGAATTTTTTTTTTTAGTTGAGTATTTGCATAGACATGCATAGCAAAGAGTTTAAATGATGCATTAAATAAAGACTAGTATTTTCCCAGAGCTGGATCTAGTTTCTGGTTTGATTTACAAATGATCTACTTAGATACCATTTTTATAAAAAAGTGGAATTCCACACTATAGAAACTTCCCTAATAGGTTTAAAATACCTTCTTGACAAAAATGCCTACTCTATCTTTAATATCAAGGAAATCTAATTGTCCAAAATGGCACCATAGATCTATTGTGTAACATATTAATAGGTAACCTACTGTGTAAAATTGTTCATAAGCCATATTTTTAAAGGTTTTGAAAATGCCTAATGTGTTCCATGTGTGATAATTTCTAACATTTCTGCTGTGTGGTGGGGATTCATATGTAAGGAATGATGAGAAGCAAAAGATGTTAGAATAGTGAAAATGCTTTTATGAATGAGTTACCCTTTTAATGGCAACTAAATGTGAATAAAATGAAAACACTGTTATGTTGTCTTTTTTACTTCATTTACTGCCTTAACTCTTATGGGGTCAGATTTTACCAAAATGCTTCAAAAGTCTTGTTGTCTGTTCCCCACTGCTAAGTATTACTCTCTGACCTGTTGACTTTACTAATTGCTAATATTTGGAACAAAATCATGATGTTATATAATCAGGATCAAGGGCTCACCTGATAAATGTAGACTCTTCAGATAGTTTTGACTTACTACTTTTTATGTTCCATTTGCATTTATATTATGATCCCAGTAAATCAAATCACGTTACATATTTTACTGAATGTGTAGCCTTCAGAAAAGGAAAAATATTGGACGGTTTCACTCATAGGGAAGAATATAGGGGAACCAAATAAGACATTAGGGGAAAAAAATAACAATACAAAACACAATACAATGAAACAAAAACAAACACAATTATAAACCAGAGACATCCTGTAGGGGAGGAGGAGGGAGAGGGATCAGAGGGAGGCAGGAGCACAGGGGACTGTGATGGAGCACGGGTGCATTGGTGAAGGATATTCTATGGGGACTACAACTGGGGAGGGAGGGAAGCAAACATTGTTTAGAAATGAACAATGATGTAAAATATATAAAAAAATAATTAAAAAATAAATGTATAGCCTCCAAGTATGAAGATTTCCATCTCTTTTAAATACCAAAATAATGAGTAAAATTTGTAAGAGCCAGCTAACAAATTCATTGAAAGATAGTCACTTGAGTTGAAAAGACTCAAATATAAATTTAAGAACATATTGTCTATTGCTCTGCTGTGAAAATAATCTAAATTTTAAATGTAAATCACTATTCATTGCATTGTGCCAGTATGCCATAATATCTGCATCATTAGACTAGGAAAGAAGCCACCAAGACAACTGTATAAAAAAGACCCCAGGGACAACGTGACATGCAAATGACATTATGAAAAATATATATGGGGGCATTAGAATAAAGGTACTGTGAGCTATAAGAGGAATCGTTTATTTCAAGTAACAATTTCTAATTGTTTATTTCAAATGCAGCTTATTCTTGACTTTAACTTGGGATGCTGAAAAGACTGTTCGAGGAGACCTCTGAACAATACACAGCTTTCTATACCAGAATGTAAGTTTCTTGGGAGTGGGGAATATGATTTGGGCTTGTACTTTCACAGTGAATACTTAAAACTGGCATAGCTGAGAAGAACTTGCCTATTAATAATGGTTTCATGATATTGAAACTTAACATTTCTTAAGGAGCTTGTGAGAGGGGATTTGATGTATGGATAGCTGAAATAAGGACAGGATTCAATAACCAGGTTTTTAACAAAATGTTCCCTCAACTGCAACTATTTTATCTCCCATACTTGTTTTCTTTGATTGAATATCAGCACACTTTAGTTTTTCTTGGCTTTCACAAGATAATTAAAATATTTTTCATAATTAAGCTTTGTTATATAGTTATTTCCCCCTGCCTCAGGTCTTCCCTTTAAAGGCTTTTGTGAAATGATTCTTCACAAAATGACCCTATTAACTTTTCAGATATGCTCGTTAGATGCATTGTCGTGGATTATTCACTTTACATGTAGTTGCAGATTAAAATATTGCCTAAGCCATACTCCTCTGTATACTTCCTGGCTCTTGCAGCAATGCCATTGTAAATTTAATAACATTATAATCTACTAGTTTTGAGTGAAAAAGGCACTTTACAAGTCAGTATAAATGACCATGTGTTCAGCAAGTGTTTATTTAAAAGATATAAATGCAAGGTCACTGTTGAGATATAATACAGTCTGATGTGCCTACTAAATGTAAGTGGGTGTGGGAATAAGTTGGCTTTATAGTCTTTTCTAAAATTACCATAGTCCCAGCTATTTTAAGACCTCAGTGATTTTAATGCTATAAATTACAAGTTAAATATTTTGGAATTTGGTTTGAGAAGTACCAAATTATTTTAATATTTAAATTTATCAAAAATAACTCAAATATTAAAGCAAAGCAAATCTGTAAAATGAAGTTAATACAGGCTTTAGAGCTTCAATTTGTATGATAGTTTCTTGATATAGAGAATTTGCTGACTTCTTGGTATTATTTGGGTAGGCAAGGAGGGGGAAAGGCGTGGTAATGAAAGGATATTGTCTTTTTGTTTGTTCCAGGATTAGGGTATCCAGTGGAAAGCATTTCTTTCTAGCTTACCTATCCCCTGGACTACTTAGTGCTTCCAAGTCTCTTTACTCCCCTATGCTACTGTTCACGGTATCCTCATTGTAGGTCTTCAGTAAATACTGGATTGAAATTGAGTTCACCAGTGTAGAAGGGAAAAAGATTACTTTATCCAGAACTAAAAATTCTGTACTTGGTTAGAGTGCCCTCATATCTGGAACATGTGACTAGGGTATAAAAGAGGGAAGAATCAAGGGCCACAGTTACATCATAAAAATGACAACCAGGTGTTACATGCTTCTTGATAGAACATAACTCACTACCTATCAAATATCTCCTTGCTAAGGAAAGGAAGCCCCAGATTAGGGTTTTGCAGCACCAACATTACTGACATTTTAGAACAGATAATTTTATTGTGGGGCACTGCCCTACCTATTAAAAGGGTAGTTAGCAGGGTCCTTAGCCTCTGCCTGTTAGATGCCAATAGCACTGCTCCACTTATGACAACCAAAAATGTCTTCAGATGTCTGGGGCTGGGCCAGTGTGGGGTGGAACCACCTCTGACCTAAGCTTTTTTGCTATTTGATTTACCAGTTTAGAGAAATAAAGGCCAGAATAAGGATCTCATTAGCAAAACCCAGAATGTGACACATGGGGCAAATAACAATTTTTTCAATTTATAAACTGCAGACAAAACTAAGATGTGAGAATGTCACTCAGGTACAAACAACAGACCATGTTTAGAGCCTGATCAAAACAAACCCATTTTAAGCAAAAACCAAAAAAAACCATGTTAACACTTGAGACAACTGAGGAAGTTTCAACACCATTTTGATGTTCAATGTTTCAAAATTAATTCAGGAGACTTATCTTTTAGAGAGAGATACTGAAATATTTAGGAAATCATAGGTCTAGGTTTGGCTTCCAAATCGTCTGTGACACTGTGGGGGAGGGTAGATAGATGAGATTTACCATAATCACTACATTTTGCATATATCTAACATTTTTCAAAATTTTAAGGGAAAAAGGAAGCATATGAGCAATTATTTTAAAAAAGGAGCAAAAAACCTGGGTAACATTTAAGAAGAATCATTCTACCATTTGAATGGAGGGGTTCAAAAAGAACTGAATTTCTGAACACCTCTGGGTAGGATAAAATATAGGGTGAAATATTCAAATAATTTCCTAATGAGTAAAATACACAGGATAAGCTGATCAAGTCTGTATTTAAAAAATGCTACTACCTGACTTTTCCTGATAGTACTTGACTGTCACACACTAATCACTTGAATTTCAAATGTTTTATAAATATGCTAGTTTTGGAAGCACTTTAAAGATAATAAGCCTGTATTTTAGCACCCTGTCAAAAAGTATTATAAACAATCATTTAAATTTGACAACAAACATGAAATAGATAGGGCAAAAAGGAGCATTTTAGGGCTTGTTTTGAAGGGTCTTATTTAGAGGGCCGAGACAAATGGCATACCACGCCAAATGCTTTCTAATTTCAACCCTAGTACTTAAGAAGAAGAGAAAAAAAGGAACGTAAATTAGTAGCACGCTCATTTTTATAAAAATGTATTTTATTTTAAAACAAGTCTATAAAAAGTATAAAAGAAATCACATACAAAAATACAGATTACTCTGACATGTTAGCAAAATAGCTTATGGCTGTACTTGAATTCGGAAGTATGTCATATTTGAGGGTATCCAGAAGTCAGAGTCCAACCGATTCTATCGCCAGCCCTTGTCACTAATCTGTAAACAATAATTTCAAGTAGTATTTAGCACTTTTAACTACTATGAAATTGAAACATTATCATTTCCTGTATAACACTACAGTATTTTCCTTAGGTCTCAGCAGGTAAGGGCACTTCACACCATCATTTCTAACATTTGATGGTCTGATTTAAAAAAAATGAATGTTAATAGAAGTGATGGATTTGGCTTTTTTTCCCCCCACTTTGAACATAGGGGGACCTCATCAATTTAAATATGAAGCTAGTGTTTTGTGGTTTTATTTTTTTAAAATAGAACTTAATCCTTTTGCTTCTCTGTACCATTAAAAAAATATTTCTATTCAAAGGTTAACACCTGAGTTTGAACTTTTATGTAGGTGCAACACATGTTTACTGAGCATCATTCTGATCGAAAGGAACATGCATTTCTTCTTAGGGGACTTCAGATCCAGTAACCTTACAAAATGAGGAGTTTCAAACAAATTATTACAGAAGACATTAAAAAAAGGTAATTTAAAATACCTGATTTCAGAGTAATATAAAAATAGCTTCAAGAACTCAGTGGTAAAGGAAAAAGGCAACTTCAGTTCAACATTCCATCCAACATTTAACAATAGAGACTGCCTGGTTACTGCCACCTTTCTAAAACAAAGCAAGTCATTTTAAAAGTTAAAAGAGTCCATGTTAACATAATTTGATCATGAAGTTAGAAGACCATGCTTATATTTCCTCAGCTACCACAGAATTCCAGCAACATAGTACACTGAAGGATGTTCATGTGCATTAGAGGATACTTCACATCAACCTGTCATACAAAACTGCCTTTTGAGCCTTCAAATTCTCCACCAATTCTATACCCCTGGCTGCTTTGTAATTAGGTTTTAAGGTGAATTACCCAGGTAGGGCTATTTGTTTCCAAGAATCTTATTTCAAATCTCTAGGCAAAGTTGAAATGGTATGTTTTTCTTTTCCTAGCCCCAGAAGAGACTGCTTCAAATGCTACAGTCCTATGATTCTTTTTGTTTGCCTCAACACAAATAGCTTATTATTCTTCCAATATATGTCATAAAAGCAATACTGAAAAAGAGAAGTTACCATATAGTCTGTAGATGATTTCTGATGATTTATAAGCTTGATTTTAAATAGATATAATAAGAAGGATACTTGGAAGAGGTGGGTCAGATTTTACTGTTTAAGGAGCCTTGAAATGAGAGGTTTCTCCTAAAATATTAAAAGGCCTACAGATTAGGCTCTAAAGGTATAGCAGTGACAGCTCACGGCAACTCTTCACAGTTTTCTCTCAAATGATTTCTCTAATACACTTGCAGAAGGAAGGCAAAGGGAAAACCAAGAATAAAAATAGCTGAGCACGCGCGCATTTGGGCTTCCTGCCTACTTCCCTGTTCCAAAGGAGACACCATCCGACAATAAATACTTCATACACAACTTGGCTTTTGAAGTGTCAGTCGGCATTTGATGCCCCATATCTCCTGGTTCTTTATGTTACTAATGGTCGGCCTGGCAATGGTGGTGAAATGGGAACAATTAATCTGTAGATGAGGAAGGGCTTCCTTTAACAACTGAAGGGTATTCTCTGGCACGATTCCAAAAACTTGCAGTGTTTTTAGTGTGGGAATTTCTCCAAGTTCACTGGAAAGAGAGAGAGAAACTTCAGAGTCATGGTATCTATGGAAACGGTTCTATTAGAGTTACACAACCCAATTGTTACAATTTGTATCATAGTTTTATAAAATGCAAAGTGACAGCATAATTTGTAATCAACATTGAGAACACAGTAGGGGGACTCAAACCAGAAGGCAGAGGCCACAGCTTGGACAATGAGTCCCAAGGAAACACAGCAGCAGTGAGCATTGTTGTTGCATAAAAACTCCAAGGTCCATTTATCACTAGAATCCAATATTTGCTTCCTTTCTCCATTTTTAATTTATACTTTCTCCATTTTTAATTTTTACTGTGTTGTGAGAAGTAAGCAAAGTAGGGATAGTAAACGTTTTACTGTGCCATTACCTGGAATCACCACAAATTACATGTCTTTAAAGGATATGGATTTATTCTTTATTTGAACTAGGTTCCCCCTCTTAAAAGGAGATGTCAGAGGGTTGACAACTTAATACTCTTTAATAGTAAGTGGTAAAACCTAGCAGTGAATTCAACCAGTGTGTTTTAGGCTGGGTTATGTAGATGAAGAAAAGGATGCCCAACCACACCTTTATGTGAAGCAGTAGTCATCTAACCTCTCTGAACAGTATCATTTTTCTTCTGTCACAGATAAGCCTCATTTTCTCATCGCCTTTGGAATCTCACAGTAGATGAAATACATCTCTGTCAACAGGAAATTCTGGTACACAGGAAAAAAAAGGACCACTTCCCCAAAGTAAGCACTTCTTGGTAGTGATTCTTTTTTCTTAACCCATCTCTGTGTGCTTAGAATTTCATCTCTTTGATCTGTATTTGCTCCAGGTTGGGACATACAGTACAAAGTCTCAGGAAAGGGAATATTTACTTCGGAATTTCAACAAAATTCCACTGCAGATCAATGAACACATCGGTGACCTAGAACTAGAAACATTCTTCGTATTTTCATACTGCCAGTAATTCCTTGAAAAACAAACTTCCCTTATCACAACTATTCTATATATCAATAGCCAATGCATTTTCCTCAAGCCTACCTCAGCTTGTGTTTCTCTCCTGCTCCATACCTTTTGTGTTCCCTTGGTGTTTACAGAACTCAAACTGTTTTCAGCTGTCCTTAAGACCACCCATGCCTAACCTGCTGTCTGCCTCCCCATTCCCCCACTAAATTATTTATTTGGCATTCAATTAGTGTCTGAAACACCATAGATGTTTAGTATATATGTCAGCTGAATACAAGATGAAGGGTAATTTAGAAAATTTTGTCCAAATAGAATAAACACACTTGCACTCAAAAGGAACCGATAGGCTTTGGAAGTCACAAGAGCCTGCAAGAATATCAGGAAGAACAAATTGCCATTGATCTTTCAGTTACCTAATTTCTGGAATATAGAAACAGGAAAACAAAGAAAGGTCGTAATACAGAGGTGTTTACAGTTTCCACTTAAGAGGAAATCCTGCCTCATCCTTAAATCCCCCTTATGTAAAAATTAAGAGTACACAAAAACCTGATAATAATCATGGTGATTTTAGTTCTGGGATATATAAATTAGCTAAATTGTAAGGGACTCTGCAGTCAAAGGTATTATAAGAAAAAACTGTAGGTAGGATTAAAAAACGGAGGTATAGCAAGAGACCAAATGTCCTTGCAACAATATGGAAAGAGCTCTGGTGAGAAAGGAAGGTGCATCATGTACTTGGAATACATTCCCCAGGCAAAAGGGAGTGAGCTGCACAAAATGGGATTATGAATGAAGGACCATTCCCAAGTCAAAAAACAAGAAAGTCTTTAAAGTTTTAAGGAGATCAAATAAACCAAAAAACAAACAAAAAAACCAGTCTTATAGTAGGTGTATCACCTATAACAGAGCAGAGCAAATCTATAAGATGCTAACCACATAACATTGAGAAGTTTTGAAGGAACTTAACCTTATATTCTAGGACAGTGAATCCAGACAGAATACTTTAAAAGATATTTACTTTAAAAAATGTTTACTACATTACCTCCTTGTATTATTTTACTTTTGTAACAACAACCAAAAAAAAATGTTTTGATCTCATCTTGAAAAATAAATCTCTTTCAAACTCTAAGAGAACTGGAAAAGCAAAATAAGACAGTAAATAGAAATGAATCATTTAAGAGCCATTATTTCAAATTTAAGTATAAAAAGAAAATAATGCTTTAAAGATCTGTTTAGTCAACAAAAGATATCTCTAAACCCTTTCACAGGTTCATGATTTCCCTCATCTACATAACCCCGTCTTCCTTATAAAGTCTCAGATTCCTCTACTATAAAATCTACCAAAGGAGTCTTTATTTAGTCTCTCTTAATCTTAGATTGGGTTACTACTATCTCCAGTTTAGGTTTCTTACTTGAATGAGAAATACAGAGTAATTAGAAGTCAGTTTAAATGGAAATGAGACCAATCAAGGAGTAAGGGAGTAAATATAATGAGGATATATGCTTAGCAAGAGAAACCTACTTTCTTAAGTAAAGCATTAATACTACAGAAGCTTCTCAAATTTTCTTTTCCGCTTCTGAGATAAGAAAGAAAAATTTTTTATATGGCTCTCTGGAAATTACTGTTGAGGGCCTCCCTGGTGGTACAGGGGGTTGAGGCGCAACCTATGAGGCTGTCTGCAGCCCTGCAACATGAGTTCTATCCCCAACTGGGAAGCAGCCCACATGGAGCAGCAGACCTCTCCTGACTCGCCTGCTGCTCCCCTCCACAGTGTATTTCGGTCAATCTGCCTGTTCTGTTCCCCACTGTTTCTGGTGAATCCTCTCACCACCCACACCTCTGGCCTGTACCCCAGCTCTTCTATGCATAAATCAATAAATCTTAAAAAAAAAAAAGGAAATTATTGTTGAGGATTCTAGAATTTTAACCATGAATGTCAAATATATCAGTTACCAGAATGACTGAAATAAGAGGGAAAGTCATTTTACCTTGAGAAAAGATAAATGTATAATTACATTATGTCCAACACAACATAATGTTTTTTTTTACCTTAAAGTGCAAAGACCGCATCTATCTTCTCTGTTTTTCACTCTATTCTGGGTGATCTGATTTGTAACTAAACTCTTTTTTTTTTAAAGATTTATTTATTTATGCATACAAGAGCTGGGGTACAGGCCAGAGATGGGGAGGGGGGTGAGAGGATTCACCAGAAATATAGTGGGGAACAGAACAGGCAGACTGACTGAAATACACTGCTGAGGGGAGCAGCAGGTGAAACAGGAGAGGTCTGCCTCGTCATGTGGGTGCTCCCTGGCTGGCCAGGGATTGAACTCATTCTGCAGAGGCTGCAGATTGCTTCATAGTGCAATGCTTAACTCCTTGAGCCACCAGGGAGGCCCCTGATTTGTAACTAAACTCTTAATGCCCCTGTTTCTCTTACTTCGAGATGAGGTTTTGACAAGTCATAATAATGCAGGGAGGGTTCACAGATAGGGCTGTGATTTAGCTACGCCCATGAACAAGTCACACCCCTGCAGGGATTATGATACTTTTATCTTCATGGATAAAAATATCAACATGTGAAGGCTCACAGGCTTCCCCTAGTCTCTGCTCAAAAAAAACATTTGGAGATTACTTGCTTAGCTTCTTTCTCTTTGGCAAAAAAGAACAAAAATATGACACACGGGCAGATTCTCTTGAGACAATCAACCAAAATAGAACAATCACTGTATTCCCCAGGGTCTATACAGCCAAAGCAGCACTATGGCAAGGACAGGAAAGAGCAAATGGCAGAGAGACCTTTTTGGGTAGGTGGGGTACAGGCCCCTTGGATTTCTGGAAGCTAGAAAATAGAAGGGCAGGAAATTTTAGTAAGAGTTCCACATCAGTGAATGTAAATTTAACATCTGAGAGCCTGGAAAGTAAATTTTGGCATCCCTTTTAGTCAGTGCTTCTCCAAACGAGAAGCTCTGAGCTCCAAGATTAATTCAGAAAGTGATTAATTAAAAATATAATTGCTGGATTTCTAATTCTACTAATTATCCCTGTGTAGCTGAAACATCTGATTTATTCATTCATTTTGAGACTAACTTCTAAGAGCCAAGCCAATAATTTGAGGACTACATCAATTCTTCCTTCAAATTCACCTTCTTTGCTGGGAACCAGAAGGGAAGTTACCATCGCTGGGATAGTGAGCTACATGGTCTCATTTGGGCGATATTGGTTGGAATAAGAAAGAAGGGCATGTGACTATATATCTGAGATACTGACTTTTGGGGGTTTTCAAAAATTACTATAAACATTTATACTTAACATGAAGAATTTTCTAGCCCTTTGAAAGGAAGATTTTGTAAAAAGATGATACTAGATGACTTGGGTAAAGCATGGTCCTAATAACAAAGGTGGAACAGATTCCTTGTTTCTTTGAATTCTGTGATTTTGTGCAGCTACTCGTCAGCTAAAAAATAAACCTAAATTAGATACAGACTATTTTATATCTGTCCAGGTGACTTAGGATGTAGACTCAGCTCAGTCATTAACTCACTATATAGTTTTGGGTAAGTTACTTTACATTTTGGACCTCAACCTCTCTACTATTCAAAGAGAGTATCAGACTGTTGTGATACTCAGCACTTATAAGTCCCTATTAATCTCCTCCCTTGGCTGCCCAGGACAGACATCACTAGAATACAACAGAACTTCCCCTCCATGCTAAGATGATGGCTTTTGGAATCAACTGGAGTTGATTAGAAAAATTTGGGGGAAAAAATACACTATGGGTCTGTCTCCCTAATTATATTCTGAGCTCCCTGGGTGGAGATAAAGGCTATATATGCTACTACCTTTGTCAAGTCCTTGACAGATATGGTGTTCTAAGACATAAACCCATTCGCAACTAAATAATAAATCTTTAGCGAACATTAACAGTCAACTTTACCAGACACATCAAGCAAAAAATTCTGCCTTGGATTTCCTATTTTGCTGGTCTTTACTAATCAGTTTTTCTTACACTAATATTCACTGTTAATCTACTATTAATAATTTTAATACTACATGACATCTCTTCTGGTCCCTGCCTTCAGCTACTTTTAGAAAACAAAAATACTTACAGTAAAGTCTCAGGTATTATATCATAGCACCGACTGAGAGACAGGTGTTGGAGGTAGCTGAGCTGGTAAAATTCCTCAAAGCAATCATTTGTTAACATAGCACTATCACTGTAACAGAGCAGAAGAAGAGATTCAAAACCTACCCATCCACCCTAGAGGGAAAAAACTATAGAAATAGTCTACTACTTAGTTCCTTTAATTCAACATACGAAGATTCTTTCTTCATTCAATGAGCTATTATACTTTTCAATTTTTATTTTTGAAATCAATTAAAAAAATACCTTAAGTCTAGGTGGACAAGATTGGGACATCTTCCAACTAAGGTAGAGACATCTAGGAAAAAAAATGATGGTCATCATGAAATAATGAACAAGACAAGGGCATCTGCTAGCAATATCGTTACTTAACATCATGCTAGAAGTTTATTAGAACAATGCAATTAGAGACAAACATCTTTAGAAAGAAAAAACAAAATTATCACCTTAGCATTTAAGATTTTCTATACAGAAAATTCAAGAGAATCACCCGAGGAACTATTGGACATCGTAAGAAAACATAAAAATGACAAATAATCCACAGATTATGTATCAGCAATATCTACCTGGAAAAATAAAAATAAAACAAATCCCATTCACGGTAGAAAAAAAAGGCAAAAGCAAACACCACTATATATAAAAAAACCCACAAAGATAGCACTTAAAGTCAAAGGGGGCACTCATGGATTATTAAAAGATAATACTGCTACCAAAACCTGAAAAATACATTTCTCAATTCAAGCAATATATTCAAATAAAGTCCACATATATTAAACAGTTCTACATACAAAAATATTGGTAATTACTGACTGGATCTTGAGACAAAGGGTTTCTGTACATGGAAGAAAACAAAGGAAACACTGATAATTCACTACGTAAAATCTTAAAACTTTACCATGTTAAAGCAAAATGAAACATAAATAGAATTAAAGTATCACAAAAGTTGGAAAGTACAGACAGTTGTCATATATAAAGAATAATAAAGATAAGCAGTGAACATGACAGATACTTTGCAAAAATAGAGGAAGAAATATAAAATAAAATATTGCTTTTCAGCCAGTGAATGAAAAAAATTCCATTATAATACTCAAAATTAGTAAAATGTAATAAAGCAAGTGCCTCCAGTATATAAGTAGATATTTATTTGCAAAGATTTATTTTTATTTATTTATGCATACAAGAACTGGGGTGTAGGCCAGAGGTGTGGGGGATTCACCAGAGACAGAGTGGGGAGCAGAACAGGTGGATCTATTCAAATACACTGGAGGGGAGCAGTGGGCAGACAGGAGAGGTCTGCTGGGCCATGTGGGTCACTTCCCCAGGGATTGAACTCTTGGCAATGGCTGGTGATATCTCGATAATGCTGAGACTTAACCCCTTGCACCCCCAGGTAGGTCCATAAGTAGGTATTTAATTTTAGATAGATTTTTCAGGATGGCACGCTGTTTTCTGTTTTTTTTTTGAGGATGAAGTATTTCAAACACATAAAAACTCCCATTCATCCAAAGAAAGGGAGATGGGGGAGGAAATATATTCTGATGTTAACTGCAGTTGTCAGGCTCGGTGGGATTATATAATTTTTCAGAATTTGGAACAAAGTCACATGAGCTACTTTGTAATCAGCAAATCAATCAATCAATGTCATTTATTTAAAAAAAAAAACAACTCCATTAATGTTTGAGGTTTCTCTCCTGTACCTTTAGTCCCATGCCCTCCTTGAATCCCAGGTTTGCATTTTCAATGTGACTGGCATCTCAAATTTATGCCTAAAAACAAATACTTGATTTCTCCCCTAAATCTGCTCCTTCCTTAAAGTCTCTGCCATCTCAGTAAGTGGTGACTTCACTGATCCAACCAGTTGGGTAAAAACCCTGGGAGTCACACTTGACTGTTTTTTCTTACATCCCACATTCAATCTGCTCCTAAATCCTGCTGAGCCTGTTTTCAAAATAGATCCCAAATGCGATCATTTGTCACCACCTTGAATGTAACCACCCTGCTTTGCTACAGCCTTTCCTCAACAAGGCACGAGGATAAGACTTTTAATAAAGCAAGTCAGATCATATTATTCCTTGCTCAGAATACGCCCAGGGCCTCCCATCTCAGAAAAACCCAAATCAAGCTTTTGTTTTGGATTACAGAGCCCTTGGCTATCCCATCTACTGCAGTCTTCCTTCCTCCTTCTTGCTGGCCCCTAGTTCTAGAACCTTCTCTGCTCATATGTCTATACAGCTGCTCCTTCACTCATTCAGGTCTCTGCCCAAATGTCGCTTCCTCAGAGGGGCTTCATCCAGCCCCTTGCAGTCACACTCCGCCTGCTTACTTGCTTTCTTTTTCTCCCTCAGATTTCCCTGCTTTCATTACATTTAGTTACTTGTTGATGGTCCGGTGCCCCCACTAGAAGGTCAGCATCACAAGAGTGACTTCATCTGTTTTGTTCACATCTCCTGAGCCCAGTGCGGGGCTGTGTGCATTACAGGAGGCGATGACTGTCTGCCGCATGGCCACGCAGTGAACAAGAGCGCACCGCCATCCCGAGTGACACCCAGCAAGCCAGCAGCAAACCCCAAACCAGACATGACTTTATGTAGACACCAAGTGGGAATGAACGAAACCACCGCCCCACCCTGGTTTTATTACTTTTTTAATATTATTCTATATAGCTTTTATTATTCTATATAGCTTTTATTCTATTTTAATTTTTTAAAATTTTGATGTGCTAACATTGGTCTACAACACTGTATATGATTGAGAGGTGCAGGTTCACATGCCCTCAGGCCTGTGTTCCGGCACCACACCCACCACGGTCCACTGGGTCCCCTCTACACTTTGCTCTCCACCCTCCCAAGAACAAAGTCTTGGGGGCAAAAACAATCAGTTTTCTTCTCCAGTCCTCACTGAAGCCCAGCTGGTCCTCAGTGAGGTTAGCAAACAGCACCCCCTCCAGGTTCCTTCTTCATTTCATCACAAACTAGAGATCCACTTATGCCCACACCTAATCTAACCTACCATTTTAGAGGACAAGCAACTTCAGCTAGAGAAGTCAACTCTGAGGCCTAAAGATTTCACTCAGGGCTTACCAATCGCCCACAGGGAGCAGCAATCACAGCTTGGAATCAATGACTCCCCCTTTGTGCCAAGAATGGTCCAGCCTGGCATTGCTTTATCAACCCATTTACTCCTTACTGCTACTATAGAAGTGGGTTCTAGTACAGTCTTCACTTTATTAATGAGGAAACTGCTCAATAGGGAGGTTAAATAAATTGCTGAATGCAACCTAGTAAATGGCAGAATGGGAACTTGAACCCAGGCAGTGGGCCCCAGGTCTAGGAGCTAAAACAAAGTCCCAATTAGCATCTGGGTAGTGATAATGTGTGCCACTGTGAAAGACATCGATTTAAATCACTGATTCCCACTTGTGTATAATCGAGAACACGAACATGTTCCCTTTCTTCTGCATCCTTATCCTTGCCCCGATGGCAGCTGGTATTTTATTACCTACTATTTTTGCCAAAACTCGGTAAACAGGCGATCTGTTCTTTTGCAGAGGAACAAAGAGAAGTGTTATAAGCCAAACTTGGACAAAATTAATAGCTGCTTGCCTACAGCAGAGTTTCTTGACCTTGCACCCAGAACCTCCATTCATTTCAGGAGAATTCTCAGTAAAGTGGGAATTTTGGAGATTCTTCCCTTCTTGTCTCCCGAGGATAAAGAAGGCAAAACCGACAAAGGGATTCACCGTGAAGAGGCTGCTTACTGTGGGGAATTCAACAGACCCAGAAGAAATTTGGCAGGAGCTGCCCAAAGCTTGAGAATGAGGCCTAAGACTTGACTCGCGATTCCACTTGAGAAACCTTGCGAGTACACACAAAGCTTTGTCTGTCCTTTAATAAAGGGAAAGGCTGGAAAGATTCTAAATGTCCACTACCAGGAGATCAACTGAGTGAATTATGGTTGAGTCGATACCAATTATTCCATATCTACATAAATGAATATCACACAATCACAGGAAACAGGGTTATCTGAGAAAAAGCCTATTAGAAAGTATGCCACACACTATGTTCCATTTGAAAAAACACTTTGTACAGGAAAAAGTTGGCATGGTGCTAATGAGATCACTGATAATTTATCCTTGTGTTTGTCCCCCTTGTCTTTTTCCCCCAAGAATATTACATATTCTAGAGAATGACTATATAATACTGTACACAGATCTAAAATAAATTAGTGCTTAAAGGGGAAAAAAAGTAGATTACTATGTGTGGAGGGGAGGAATTAAGAAAGACACACAGGGGCCTCCCTGGTGGTGCAGGGGTTAAAGTCTCAGCGCTATCAAGCTATTGCCAGTCCCTGCGGCATGAATTCAATCCCCTGCCAGGGAGCTGACCCACATGGTACAGCAGACCTCTACTGTCTCACCCGCTGCTCCCCTCAGCAGAGTATTTCAGTAGATTCACCTGTTCTGCTCCCCACTCTGTCTCTGGTGAGTCCTCTCAACCCCCAACCCTCCCCACCTCTGGCCTATACCCCAGTTCTTGTATGCATATAGAAGTAAAAATAAGCCTTTTTTTTTTTAAAAAAGACACACAACTGTTGCTTATACAGATCTATAGAAAAATGTCCCCCTTGTCTAAGACAGAGGCGTATAGTTTGAGCAAAGGACTCAAATCTCTGGCTGCTGAGGAGACACTAGTTCATTTTCTGTATTCTGACCCATCTTACTTAGCGAAGAACCACCCCATGTCCTTGAGAAGTGGTTTCCAACTACTACTTAAATGTTAAAGATACATTCAGCAAATGATTGATTCCAATCTTTTCAAAAGGAATCCAAACTATAATAAAACCCACTCAGGTGCTCTAACGCCAACATCAGATCACCAAATAGGACTGAGGTGCTGTCTGTGCTTAACTAATTCGACTTTGTGCAGGAAGTCCTTCTGCTTGAAATACATTATTTGAAAGGATAAAGGTTTCCACTTTTAGACTCTGGATTCAAATTCTGACGCTACCCCACTAGCTGCTGGCCTTAATCTAATCCTTCTAATCAGCTGCTGCCCTCTGCTGAGAAAAACGAGGAACAACACTACACTTCCTGGCTCAAGAGAGAGGTGATGTACAACAGCACCTGCTATTGCTGCTGTTGTGGTTAAGAGACCACAAGAGGTCTTACCTGATCTCTGGAGATTCTTTCTGTAACCGCTAAGATTGATCTGGGTGATGGTATTTGACACATGCGCAACAGCCACTTGCACATGCTTTTCAGTGAAGTCAAAACACCAGGAGAGGTTCAGCTCCTCCAATCTGTACACAAAGCAACAAGGAAAGCATGAAATCTTCGCATAGGAATGAGCTCTCTAAGCAGCACTGGCTCAAGCAGAAACAAAAGAAAACACAAGCCACAGACTCTTATTTTACACACAGGGCCCCTGCTTCTCTAAGCAGCTACCTTTGCTCCAACTTTGCCCCAGAAAGTTGTCAGGGGATCTGAGTGACTGTCTTAGTGAATGCCGCCCCCTTGTGGGAACAGAAAGGAGCACGTGCCTCAACCTTCAAAATTGGTTCCAGAACTAGAGGTAGATATTCCGGCCTTCTTGTTTTCTTTCCCAACTCAAGTTGGTAGCAAACCACCACAGAACTGAGCAATCACTTGAGATGTTTTAAAAAGTTGATGGGGGCCTCCCCGGTGGTGCAGCGGTTGAGCGCTGGGTTGCGAAGCTGCCCGCAGCCTCTGCGACGCCGGTTCAATCCCAGGCTGCTCCCCGGCCACCGAAGGAGGGTCCCGCATGGCGCGCAGACCCCCCCCTGCCGCCCGCTGCTCCCCTCAGCAGTGTACTTCAGTCCTTCTGCCTGCTCTGCTCCCCGTTCTGGCTCTGGTGAATTCTCTCACCCTCCCGCGCTTCTGACTGTACCCAGTGCTTGCATAAACAAACAAACAAATAAATCTTTAAAAAAATAAAAAATAAAAAGTTGATGGACTTGACTAAATAAAAGATGCTGACACTGCAAAAAAGCGACTTCATCTTATTTGGCCTCAGCTAACTCAGCAAACGAGGGGCCTAAAAACAATGTCTAGTCATTAAACCGCATACCCCTTCTGGCATTACTGAGTAATGTGGACTGTACCGCTTACTTCACTGATAGTATTTTGTGAACTATGTCTCCCCTCACTTAGTAACACCCTAACTGTATCCTTTATTTATGATGGTTTTAATCCTAGCACGCAAATTTAAGGAGTATGTTTGCTATGTACCAAATTTAACCAAAACCTCTAAGCTAGGTCTGTAGATATTATAGGGAGAAAACCGGACCTTGTGTACAGTCAGGTGCAAACAGATTAATTTCAATGCTACTAGTGAAACCTCATAGCACAAGTTGTGCGAGAAGACTGGTTCTTTTCCTCCAGCTCCAGGAGTTGCTGCATGCGGGCAGCCCCTCCCTCTGTGCTTGATCCCAGAAGTTGCTTGTGGACAGTGCAAGCGGCAGTGTCTGATGGGCATTTTGCCCCAATGGCCCCACTGGGGCTTGGGCTGCAGGCGGAGGTCAGCAGAGATGGCAGATGGTAGTGGTTCTCCTACCACACCATTCCTGGGCAAGCAGCCATTGGTTCAGGGATGCAGGGAGGAGCACGGGGCCCCTCGGGGCAGCTCCAACACTGTGGCTCCTCCAGCTGCAGGCAGTAGAGAGCCATGGATTTGGTGCCTGGATCGTGGAGGGACAGATCAGGTGCGCGCTGTGAGCTGGTTAGTGCTGTGGTCCAATCCGCCATAGGATTGAAAACGGCCTGCTTGGAAGGCAGGCTCTGATGTACTCTTCCTTAAAAAGGCTCTGTTCCTGACCTCCGAAGAAGAAAGAAGGACTAGCAGCCGACCTCTGAAGAAAGAAAAGAAGCCGAAAACAGCTTCCCAAATCCAGGGCCACCACCCTCAGGCCCTGCCTCTGACACCGCCACAAAGGAGCCCCAGGGGCCAGGACTGGTGTCCCAAAGAGCTGTTTGTTGTTGGTGTGGGACAACGACTCCAAAGAGCTATTGACACAGTGATTTTGACAGTGCTGCTTCTTAGTGACCACTGGTGACCAGCACTACTGGTCAGTGCTGTTGATGGGTGACCGGAACTCCTTGTCCAGGTCACCTGAGAACTGTTAGCTTCTCCTGATTATCGAGCAGCACCTTTGGTGCTGCTGCCTTCACTGCTGACTGGTCCAGTGTCCGGTGCTGTCCAGTAGGCTTCTGCAGTATCATCTCAGTGGCCCTGCACGTGAGCACCTCAATTGTGGTGAGTTGGATACTGGCCCCCTGCTTGCCAGCAATGCACGAGCTCCAGGCCTCTGCTGGTGGGGCAGCGCAATCTTGAATGAGCAGCCTTTTGCTGGGATATCCTGAACACTGTGGACACTATCTGGGGTGAGAGAGCCGACCACATGTGGCCTTTGAAACTCTTCCCCTGTTTGCTAAATAAGCCCCATTGTTGTTGTTCCCTGAGTCTGAGTGGTCTTGCAATTGTGCATGAGGGTGAAAAACTTAGTGACCTGTCCTCTACTGGGTACAATCTGTTGGGTCCCCATGGCCCCTCCAGAGCACTGTTTCACTAGTGATAAACATATTTCATTTTCCTTATTTTAGTAATTTTAAAAAATAGTGGTCATTTTGCAAAGTAAAGCATCCTTTGCAAACCTAACCAGTTTGGCTCCTGGATTTGGACAGGGTTTAGAGGAAAAAAGGATATTGCATTATCCAAATCAGGAGCTGGTAAAGTTAAAACTAGCTTTCAAAAATCACCCAATTCTGTTCAGATGTGAGGAATAATTGTCTATTTGAAATAACAGCTCTACAATCAAGTCTCAAATCTTTCCCACCTGCAACAGCTGCTCAGCAAAGTCTTCAGGGCAGAATCGGAAAATCCGGAACACCCAGAAAGGTTGAGGCGCACTAAATTTGAATTCTGCGCAAGATGACTGGGAAGAGAGAAAAACGTCAGAATACCATTAGGATACAGCGAGCACCGGAGGAAAGCAGGATAGTGAAGTGGTAAGTCACACAGGCCTTTGAGTTAGAAGTGAGTTCAAACACACATCTCACTATCTGCGTGAAACCAAGCAGGACGCTTTGCTGATCTAGGAAATGGTAAAAGCAGTGCCTCTTGGTAGGGCTGATAACATGAAATGATCTAATTTAAGAAAGAATGGAGTGGTTGGCACAGAGGAGTGCACTAGAAACACTGATCTAGGTACTCTTGAAATTAAAAAAAATAATGAAGCAATGGAATAAACACTTCCATTTTACCCATAATTAGAATTAGATGACAGGCAACCTTCTACAGGGAAAGTCACTGGGTTCTTGCCCTTAAAGACCTCTCCCGCCCGCTGGGGTCCTCGACGCTCCCAACTGCTCATGTTAGAGAACCTTAGTAAGAGCAAGAGTCACAGATCTTGGTTCCTCCCACTAACTGTGTGACCTCAGACAAGTCACTCAGTCTCCCTGTGCCTCGGCTGCCACACAGATAAATAAGGGAATAGTAAGAACTCTTTCGCGGGGTAGTAAGAACTCTTTCGCGGGGTTGCTGTGAGAATTAAATAAGCAATCACCTTTGAAAGAACTGGTATTCGGCCCGCACTAAGTGTTCGACAGATGATAGCTACCGTTATTGTATTTTTCACATCTGGTGTCATCATTTCTCACCTGAATGAACCCAAGGACATCTGACCTAGTCTAGCTTCTTCCATATCAGATTGTCCCCCAGAGGTGCCAAAAGGAATAAAATGTCTAAATTTGAGTTCTGAGATGTTCCTTCCATTCTCAGAACCACTCTTTTCACCATGGAGTCAATAGACTTCTTACCCCACAGCAGAGGTCCACTAAGCTCTGACCCCAACACACCCTGTCACTGAGCCCTGTGACCTAGCTCCCCCCACTGTGACCCAGCTCCCCCCCTAACTGCTGCAGAGCTTCGAGCCACACAGGCAGCTCTAACCAGACACTTCCTTTGCCCAGCACTTGAAGATCTCCTACCTGAATATCTTTAATACTTAGCTTAAAAGTCACTTCCTCTGAGGTGGTTGCCCTCCCCAGCCATAATTAGGCCTCCCTGTGTTGCCACATAGTCACCAATGCAATTAACAAGACAGTGCGCTGTCCTTATGGTCCCACCCAGTGTGAGGCAGGGGCCATGCCTGTCATCCCCGTCTGCCTAGTGTCCAGCATGAGGCACGGAGGCTGCAGGCCTCAGTGAGTCCAGGGAAGTTCTGCATAAGCTGGAAGAAGCATGTGATATGTTCAGAGTCCGCCTGGCTGTGGACAGAAGGGCACCCCATGTACACTCAGGACACATGTGAAAACAGCTGCCTTTGTGACCACTCCTGGCTGCACTCACTTGACAATGGGGTCCGAGAGCTGCAGACCTTCCAGGCTCAGATTCTGGAGCTTGGAGCAGGGAGACAGAATGCCGAGGAGGGCAGACACGTTGATCACTGAGTTGGACAGGTCCATGTGCTGTACACGAAAAGGACTAACACAGAAAGAGGGGCTCACCCATGGAGATCACATCAAATCCAGCCCCCCCCCCCAAATGTGCAGCCAATCACAAACAAAGCCCTCCGGACACAATGCAAGTATCGGCTAAGATCTGGTCATAAAACAAATAGCCGCTATTTCCATCCTCATTCATTTTCAAATTCAAGAGGATTTTTACCAAGTGAAGAGGTTACTGCCAAGGCAGTTCCACTTACAAAGTTAATTAGTGGGCACCTGAGAATGAGCTGGATGAGGCTGATGAGGTGACACCTCGTGAGGGTGACTGGGTCAAGCGCAGGGCATTTACTAAAACAGGGAAGACCTGGTTAAGCAAGGGGCAAAGGTTGGCTGTCTAAACTTAGATATGCTAACACTGGGGTACCTGGAGGAAATTCTGGTGTGGAAGTTTGTAGGTGTTAGAAATAGGAGTTTGAGGAAAAAGAAAAACATTGGATGGCTTCACTTATAGGAAGAATAAAGGGACAGAACAAAGTAAAAAAAAAAAGATAAAACTAGCAGGCAAACTATAGATCTGATGCTTGGGGGGAGGGAAGGAAGAGAAGGGCATAAGGGACTATGGTGACGGTTCACGGGTGATGTGGTGGGAAGAAATTTACGGAGACCACACCTGAGGGGATAAATCAAATATTATATAAATATAAACAACAATGTAAGGAAATAAAAAAGTTCAAATGGAAAAAAAAAAAATAGGAGTTCGATTGAACTAGGCTAGAAACGAGGACTTGAGAGAACTGGCATCATGGAGGTGGAGAGCAGACCCAGCTTGTCCAAGGTCAGTGCCTGGATCGAGAAGGGAGGGTAGCCAGGCACATCCAGCCTGGTGTGAACAGAGTACAGCGCACGTGTGAAAGAGGCCGGTGGGAAGAGAGGGAGGAGAAAAGGACTAGAGCCGGAGATACATTTTGTCCTTAGCTTTGTTGTCCTAGTGCATTTTTCTGTTCTGTATCAGTTTCCTCAAGTATGAGGCACAAAATCACATTGCAGAATTACCAGTTACAGGGAAATATTTTTCTACAACACAAATGAAGAGGGCCTACTTCTAAGGTTGCAATTTGTCCAGGATAAGATCAGAAACTCCAAGTTACAAAATCTGGGTGATGACTCATACTTGATTCTTTATCAGAGGTGGAAAGTAGGGAGGTGGCTGGCGGCCTGGGCTGTCAGTGTTTGCGTGGTCCCTGCCTCATCTGATTCAAGAAACCCTTCTCCAGAGAGCCCGACGAGAGAAGCTAAATGTGCACCTGACTCTGAGAATGCTGCCATAGGCCTGAGTGAAATGGGAATGCTGCTGTTGAGCTGGACCAGTGTCAACACCAGGGCCATGCAGCAAAACATGCAATCAGCATTTCACACCAGTGACCTGTCACAAGGCTGGGTCTCAAAAGAAGTCTTTGATCTGTTCCCCACCTCGAGATTTAGAAATAGGGGATTTCTCTTTTTTACCTGAAATGTTCAACTAATGGTTGGTCCATAAATGATCGTGGGCAGCGGAAGGCGATCACCCCTCGAGACAGCAAGCGACCAGTCACGTCTGGGTGCAGGTTTTTACCTGTGAGGTCTAAGGTCTGCCAGAGAGATTCATCAAACCTGGGAAAGAGGAGGTGCTCTATTGATAAGTGGGTACACTGGACATAGAAGGGTCCTAAACACCAGGATGTGCCTTTAAATTGCCTCGAAGCAAATTCTGTGGGAACCTTTATTTTTGACTCTACAATTAGCTATGATGCTTTTAAGACAGAAATGTATATTTCTGGGTCATATCATGGATAAGCCTCCATCTTCCTGGTTTTACATACTGTCGGTTTAGATAGCCTGATGCTTTCATTAGCAAGGCCATCATCTAGAACCAGAGAGTAAAATTCCAGCATTCAATTCAACTTTATAACTTTAAAAATGATCGTTAAATTTTTTAATTGATTATCAATTAAATTGGTAGAGTTCAAATGGCCTAAGTAATTCCACTAACCATTTTTATTAAGCATGAATAGTGTCCAACCACTATCCTAAATAACAAGTAATATATAGCTACAAGAAGCAAAGCTACACTTCTTTATGATGAGATGTGGCTATTGAGCATCTACTGGAAAAAGAAGTCACGTGCAATTCTGTCTGAGAAAACCCTGTAAGCTTAACAATATATATTTACATGCACATGGTGTATGTGTGAATTGGAACAAATGTGAAAGGAAAAGGGAAAATTATCACTAGATTTGGATAGCGTTTCTAAAGCAAGAAGGAAGCACCAAAAGCACTAAACGGCATACAAAGGAAGTTTTACCACTTGCAGACTAAATCAATTCAAAAAAAAAAAAAAACACAAAATTGAGCATGAGAAGGAATAATTTCAGTGCCTAACTAGAGTCTTATTTTTTTACTACTGCTTGAAATAAGCAGACTGGTGTTTAGGGCTTTGACCTTCCCAGCATAATTCTGCATACAGCTGTCAATGTTATCTGACCTCCATTTATTAAAAAGGCAGAACTGTAATGTCTGGTATCTAAGTGCTTAATAAATATCAGTACTTTTGTGACGACTGAGATGAAAATTAATAGACTGCATGAAAAGGATGTTTGGCAGAAAAAGACGCAAAATGGGGTCTCTTGGGTGAGAATAAGTGAGAACTTGGCCTTGTGTGTAAACCTTGTTGACTCTTCTAAGCAAAGGGCCCATTCCTGTAAGTACTTACACATCTAATTGCCAGCACTCCCCTGGACGGGAGGCAAGAGGCCCCTGCTGGCTCATAATGACAGTCCCAGATCCCTGGAGGGAGAAGAGGTGCCTTTAGCACAAAGCCAAGGGTGGCCTGGGGTTGGGTAGTGATGGGAAAGGGTGAAGATGGAAAAAGTTCAAACTGGAAACCAAATCCTTTTTTTCCTCTGCTGCTTCCAATCCTATGGCCCATTACTGCTTTCCCAGCTCACCGAGACTTTCCAGGTGAAGCTCTCTGTCCACACCTGAAGTATCCCCCCAAACCAACGAAAATACCAGTAACTGTTGGCTGACATATGCTAGATGCTTCCAGGAGTCAGGTGGAGCACCAGCAGCTCTAGTTTGCAACTTCATAACTGCCCTGTGGGTACCATTGCACCCCATTTTATACATGGGGGTGTGAGAATCAGAGCGTTAGGTAACTTGATCAGGTCACAGAGGTAAAGTGGCACAGAGGCTGGGCTCAAATGCCAGAGCTCCGAGTTCTCTCTCCCCATTGCAGACACTGCCTAGCTCACCCCATGTGAGCATGGCTGTGCCCCTAGGCACCCCTAGAACTCCCTTCGCAAATGGAACACCGCATGAGCCAGTGGGGTCAGCATCCAATGGGCATGTGTATGCACCACTGAATACAAGGAAAAGAACTTCCAGAAGTGGCGCAAGGAGACTCCCACCTTTCACTGGAAAATCAAGACACAAGAAATACAAAGATAACCTGGTTTACCTGTGCTGCTGTATTTTTTCTTGGCTTTTAGCTTCACCATACCCAAAGGTATGAAGGAATAACCCTCACACCACTTCCTTCTCCACATATATCCAAGGGGTTTGAGAATACTTACGCTAGGTGATACCACCTCTTACAAACACTGGAGACTTTCAGGAGTTCGGGGAGGCAGAGACAGGAAAAGATTCCCAAAAGCAGTTCATCTGGAAGGGAGTCCCATGAAACACCTTTGAAGGAAAAAAATAAGTGTTTTCCATGACCGTTTTTCATCTCATCAGGTCTAGAGGGTAAGAAGACCTGCAGCACTCATCCAATTACTCATCCTTGCAATTGTTTTTCTGCTTGTCCACTATCTGTGTACCCTGAGGTGAGCACCCCACTTTGTCCATAATAAGAATTGAGAAACCCAAGAATACTTTTCACCACCCTCTCTCCTTCAGCGCCTGCTAGCCAATCTTAGGTGAGGAGACTCTTACTGGTTTAGATCAAATCCCCACCCACCTTGGCATCTACATCAATGTCTGAGATACTGAGGTACTTGTGATCACTAAGGATGCCACCTTTTTGTCTGAGGGGGATTCAGTAGTGGATTTACCAGGTAGCGATCTTCTAGAAAAGACAAATGACCCTTCTTCCCACTTCTTTTAGGTTTACAGAAAGCACGCAGAAATCAATTTACCTGAAGAAGCAATATCAAAAAGGTACTCTCCATCTTTTTTTTTTTTTTAAGATTTATTTACCTATTTATTCAAGCACTGGGTACAGTCAGAAGCGCGGGAGGGTGAGAGGATTCACCAGAGCCAGAGCAGGGAACAGAACAGGCAGACTGAAGAAATACACTGCTGAGGGGAGCAGCGGGCGGCAGGAGAGGTCTGCGCACCATGTGGGACCCTCACCCGGCGGCCAGGGATGGAACCGGTGCTGCAGAGGCTGCAAGTAGCTTCGCAACCCAGCGCTCAACTGCTGTGCCACCGGGGAGGCCCTCTATCCATCTTTTAATATAATATTTGCTAAGCACCCTCAGAGTGCCTGGAATTGCTTTAAGGTTGGGGAAAGAGCAGATAACATACCTTCATGGAGTTCATATTCCAGTGGGAAGAAATGATCACACCCACAAAAAATAAGCCACTTGCATGATATGAAAATTGATTAATGCTATGCAGAAAAAGCAGGTGAGGAGAGGATGAGGGGTCCAGGGCAGGTGATCAAGTCTAAACAGAGAAGTGATTGCTGAGCAAAGAGAGGAAGTCAGCCCTGTGAGGACCTCATGTCCTCTACTTAAATTTGGGATCCACAGGCTCTGATTGAAAGTCATTTATTTGGGAAGTGATTCCAGGAAGCAGGAGAAAGAGTGAAGAGATACGAAAAGAAAGGGAAGCAAATTTGAGTATGTTAATAAGCAATGTCCCATATAGCACCTGTCCCAGACAAGGGATGGTTGCTGGGGTACCTCAACTACTGGTAGTCACTAGTTGGGGGCTCTTGGGAGGGGGGCAGGAATGTTAACTCCCTAGCATGATTGTCCACTGAAAGCCTTCAAACAGAGTCAAAGCGGCATGCAGGAGAAAATCTTTGGCACATGAGGGCATGATGCATTTCACGGGATTGTGTCTGGGGCATCAAAGTGTTTATGGCAATTAGGAAGGAAGAAAAAGGAAATTAGGGAGGCTTGTTGTGAAGTGCAAGATGAAAGAAACAAATGAACAAACTTTCTATTTTGCCCTGTGACCACGCCTCTTTTCCTTCCATCTCTACACTGTTCTGCACTGACACTTTGCTGTTCCTCAAAACAAACATGCCGGGAAGACATAACTCAAAAACACAAGAGCAATATGAGAGATGTCATTTAAATGCTTAGGAGAATTTGGCTCAGCAGTAAATACAGAGGTTTGCAGAGGGCAGTCAAGCCAGGCAAGTAAGCTAAGCAGAGGACCCAAAAGGCTTTGCTTGGCGACTCCCATCTTTGCCTGTTCAACTCCTACTCATCCTTCAGCTCTCAGATTCAATGTCACTTCTTCAGAGCCCTGCAGGGTCACCACCACCGCCCTCACATCCAGATATATGCACTTAGGACAAAACAGGCCTTTGACTAATCTTTGCTAAATGCATATATTGTTTACTCACCCCCTTATGCAAAATGGGAAGGTGCTAATTCTCTATCTATCTTTACCAATTAACTACATGTCCTGTGCTAGGACAGAGTCTGGCAACGACTGTGATAAAAGTGCTCCACTGATAGATCACAAAGGAATGACTGGCACCCGAGAGAAGAATGCTGCCTCTGCCTTTTTGGCTTCTCAAGGCCAGCTTCCTCAATTGTGAAATGACAGGTTGGCCTATGGCTTTGATGTAATAAACATTCCTGGGTGCCTAATTAGTGCACTAGTGCTTGGAGCTGGGTGTGAGGCAAATTTAAACAAATACAAAACAAGACTATTTACCAAAAGCCCTAAAAAGTCTTAGGCATTTTTAATAAAAAATAAATTAGCATATTGGTGCTAATCCTGGCAGCAAGCTTGTGTTGATATTATCCAGTTTATAGATAAGGAAACTTAGTGAGTCAATTAACTTCACCAAGGAGATATCAACTATTAGGGAGAAGAGCCAAGAGGAAAACTTGGGTTGGCTTTTTCCAAACCCTCTGTCCCAAGGTGAAGGTGCAGAGTCACCAGGGGGCACTGCAGGTGGGGAACAGAGGCTGAAAAGGGGGCGGACAGCACCTTCTGGGGAAGCTGAGATGAAGCTAAAGACAAAACCCAGAACAAAGGTAACAGTCTCTGAGGTGGCAGGGGCTCAGGAGAGGATGCAACTACGACAAAAGACACAAGGTCACGCAACTCGTAAGTGGCACAGTAGGAATTCAAACCCAGGTCTGACTCCAAATCACGCTCTCTCCCAAATGTGCTCTAAGAGTCTGTGTTCTCCCAGATGAGTCTTTTTTTTTTTTTAAATAATAAATTTTATTTTTATATTCCCCATACAATTGCAACCCCCCCATTCTGATCCCAATCCCTCCCCTCCCGCCCCCAACCCCCGAAAAGTGTCTCTGGTTCATAGTTTTTTGTTGATTCTCCCAGATGAGTCTTAATGATCTGCAAGTTTAAGAAAGGTGAGAATTAAATGACTTGCTATGCGAAAAGAAGAAAACAACCAGCGTTAGGAGGGAGGAGAGGAAGAAAGGGGGACTAAAAGCTGCCCGAGAGCTATCAGTGGGTTAGCTACCCTATGGAGGGAGCAATGCTCAAGAAAATGCACAGCTTCAGCAGCAGGCATCTGGGTTTCCAGCAACTGACCCCAGGACATGGCTGTTTCTAGGGCCCCTGAGTGGGCAGGTGTGTACTTTCGGGGGATGCCACAGCCTGAGACGGGCTGCTAGCCAAGCAGATGAGGCAGAAGTCTAGCTGCACATAGCCGCTTGCACGGCTGGTATCCAGGCTTGGGATATGCTTAATCTAATTTTACTTGCCATTTTTAATTTTCAAAACATCAACCATCTGTTTCCTGACTCCACTGCTGCCTGCTCTGCTTGCCTACAGTGGGTGGAAAAGTCCAAAGCAGGTCTTTTCTTTCCATTAGCCTTTTTTAACCCCTTTGGGGCTGCACACAGCCTCCTGGATGGAAAGAGAAACTTCAGAGGCCAGAAAGGTAAGATTTGGCCAGATTCATAAACCTACTTGTCATCCCCCGTCAATCACCATGTCCATGTTCGTCACAATCCAAGCCAGCTCTTTCCCCTTCTGTAACCTCATCGCCATCCATCCCTCTTAAACTCCCCTGCTGACGAGTTTTCGATGCATAAGACTTGCAGTCTAGCTAACTCATCTTCTTTGACACATCCTTTTCTTGGATCACCTGCGCTCAGATTAAAATTAAAGCTCCAAAATAATCTTAATCATAAAAAAAAAATTGACTTTTAAATATGCTGCTCTTTAAGCATAGATGAATTCTACCTGAGAAAGAGCAGGCTTTGGTGCCCACAACTGACTGGCACTGGGGTTTTATTTCTTTAAGTGGGGAGGCATTCATCTCATGCTTGCTCTTTGGTAGTTTGCTTTTAGTAATAATCCAAACTCCCATTCTGGGAAACTATAGATTCTGACCCCATTTGTGGGGTCCTCTTCCCACAAATGATTAAGAGAAAACAGCAGGCCAGGCTAGGTCTTGGTGTGCCAGGGGGAGGGGAGTTTGGGTAGGTGGGTAAAACTGAGAAAAGTAAAACAGAAGTAGAGAACCTGACCCCACTGATTTCTGAGACTTGCTCAGTCCTGAAGTATGCAGAGAATAACAAAGAAACCATAGAAACTGGGGTTTGGAGACTAAGGCACAGCCACATATAAGCTGTCTGAGAGCAGGATCTTTGGCAGTTACATTCTTTCCCAGTCTCTAGAGTGGTGATCAGTAAATGTTTGGTGAAAGAATGAATGAAAGGGAGCAAATGGGCAAAGGCGTGTGGTGAGGGTATCCTAAAGGCTCTTAGGGAGCTGACTTTTGAGAGCTGCAGGCTGAGATTCATTGGTGAGTCATGAAATCAATTTAGTTTGATAAACAACTGCTTTGAAAGACTAGAAAAAGAACAGAATAGAAAATCTCATAGTTTCATGAAATCTCAGTTTCAGATATACACCCAGGATAATGTAAAATATGCATCTTAGTGGCAAAATCATACAACAAAATGTTAAAAAAAATGGAGGAAAAACATTTGCCTGCTGGTCGTAAAAAGCAGATTTCGGGGCTGAAGGTAGGACTTGTGGAATCAAAATCTCAGGAATTGTATACTTTAAACAAGTTCCCCTGGGGACATCTCTGTGCTCTACAAAACTATGGAGTTGCCAGTCTGAGAACGACTGTAGGATCTGATTTCAGGCCTTTAACAATCATAGAAGAGCTGATCAACAAATTAGTTCAACGATATTCCCATGGTCACCCCCAGTTTAAAGGGGGGAGTGGAGGCATTTAATGACCGTGACTAAAAAGGCAGTGATGGTCTTTCTGCCCATCACTGAGCTCACCACTGGACCATTTCCTCCCAACTCCTTGCACACTCACCCCTAAGGCCAGTCAGACCTGTAGTGGCGTGAGTTGGCCACAGAGTCTTTATCTTCCAAGGTAAATAGATGAATAAGATTTAGTCGCCAGACGTATGCCAAGCTGGGGGCCTGCAGGGAGACTGCTGAGTAAATAACCAAAAAAACCTCCCAGTCCAGGGCCACTGTGATCAGATAGCTGTGTACAGCAGGCGTGGCCCTCCTTCCCTAATCCTGGCAGAGCTGCTCACCATCTGTCCTGACAACTGCAGGCAAGACTCTTTGGAATGATGGCCTGACTACCCTGGAGCTCAGACTCCTGGAGCCCACCGGGAGTCTCTATACCAGCTGTCCCTCCCCTGAGTTACTGTATCTCCCCCCAAGCTACACTGCATGTAACCCCACACACGTACAAACTCCACCATTAGTGTCCTTCTGCGCTGCTCTCTTGGGTAATAACAAACATTAAAAAGTCACCATTTTTTTCTCTCACTTTGTAAGTATTTTTTAAGTTAATTTTAACAATGTAGACTTGTTGAATGGACAATTTCCAGATGCTACTCAGAGCTTTCACTTTTGCTTAGTGGTGGCTCTCACCTTGGAAGCCCTTCTGCATGTGGAAAGCTTAGGGTCACTTTGGCACAAAGGGGCTCCCTCCCCTGGCCTGAACTTCTCAGCAGCTGCTAGTGTTGGCCGCCATCTTGTTGTGAGTGCCTCTCAATGCACAGTCATCGGTCCTCTCAACTCAACTCGCCTTGCAATTTCCTCAAAGACACCAACTACCCCTGTATTTCTTATCTTACTTCCACTAAACTTTGCTTTAAAAAATAACTTTTTTCTTTACATTTGTGTGTGGATGTGGAAGGAGATACAGCAACTATGTGTCATGCTAGAAGTTATTTTCACTGGAAAAATAAATCCAAATCTGTTCATCTCAGCAGGAAGTATTTTTTACCAGATTTGGTTGGCCAATCACCAAATTGCTAGCGTTGCATTCCAGACACTAAATATAGCAGTGACACTAAATTCTGATGAAAGAAAAAAAAAAGTACACTGAAAGGATCATACTGTCACAGTAAGAACAAAAAGAAAAGTGAAGTAGTCTCCTAAATAGGGGTCAGACATCTTGTTGACCAAATAACTGGGTGGACTTACTGAGTACGGTATGCCAGTCAGCTTTCTAAGAGCTTTTTGTATACTCTTTAATTTATTTAATCGTCACAGTTACCCACCTAGAGGGTTATTACCACTTCACGTAGAAAGTAAAACAGAAAGCTTAAATAACTTCCCAAGGTTGGTAAACAGCAAAATTGGGATTCATAGCCAAATTGTGTGATTTTACTATCAATCCTTCACTGACTTTCTAATTAATCCAACTCTTGATGTAGATTTCCAGACCATAACTTGAAAGTTATTTTTCCTAAAGAAAGGATTAAAAATGAAAAAACAAACAAACAAACAAACAAACAAAAAAACCCCAGATTCTCTTGAAGGAATGCATGCAACCAACCAATCAAAACTACTGCAAAAAGAGTCAGATGGGGAGATTTAGGAATATATTTATTTACCTTGGCCTTGTACGATGTCATCTTTCTTTCATCTGCCTGTTCTTCTGCACTACCACCCACCTAACTTAGGTTAGACTATGATCACTCTTCTACAATTTCTGTATCCTAATTCTGCTGAATGTAATGTCAGAAACCATTTAAATCTGACCACTGTTATCGCCACTCCTACACCTCTTCACAAATCTCTAAGCTTCTATCCTCAACCCCAACACAGTTAATCTCAACACATCAGTGTGTCCTTATTAAAGGTTACATATCACAACTCTCGATAATATCACCTCTAGCATGATTAGCTACTGCTCTCCCCTTTGTTCATTCCACTCATGGAATATAACTTCCTTGTTCTTTGACTGAATATGAAAATGCTTCTGCCCTTAGGTCTTTGTACTGGCGGTTCCCTCTGCTCAGCATTCTCTTTTCTGGATAATCACGGCATAATCCCTTACCTTTAGGTCTTATTTAAAGCTTACTGTCCAAGTGAGGCTTTCTCTCAAATTACTATTTAAAACTGCAACCCATCTTCCCACCCCAAGATTTCCAAACCTTCTTGGCTTGCTGTAGTTTTGTTGTTCGCCATGGCATTTATCATCTTCTAACATACTGCAGATATATTATGCTTATTGCATCTAGTCTTTGGTATAGACACTCCGGATGGTAGCAATGTTTGTATTTTGCTCACTGCTGTAAGCTCCACACCTAGAAAAATGCCTAGCACATAGTCTGTGCTCAAGCAAGTATTTCCCGAATAATGCTTTAAAAATTTTAAATGCATCATTACACACTTCATTACATGCTTGATATGCCATCCAAATAACATCCCTGAAACAATTCAAGTGCAATTTCTGCTCAGAGCACTATGCAGTGACTTGTTTTCTTATCACCATTCTGTGTCCCTTGTCCTTCTCCACCCCTCCTCCCATGCCTTAACCCTCAGTGCCCTCAGGTTGTTTATTATGAATTAATGTTTAAGTGATTAGTGAGAAAAACTGATAATCCCAGGTCAATGCACTATGTTTACCCTGTAGTTCTGAGTGCTGCTGGTTCTGATCTACTCTGGCAGGCACTTATTCACGTATTGGAGAAGCCTGGCAACGGGGAGCTTCTAAGAGGGCAATGATACTATGAGCTCTACATTTTCAGCCAGTCTACTCTAGCTCTGGGTTATGAGGAGATATGAGATATGAGGAGGATAAGGCTGAAATGATGAGTCTATTCCAATAGTTCAAGCAAGAGATAGTAGAGTTTGAGAAATATTTAGGAAACAAGAATGAACAGCTCAGTGACTGGATGTTGGGGGCTGGTGGGAATCTGAGTGGCCATCAGAATTTTGGGTTGTGCAACTTATGAGATAAGAGTAGTAATGGAGACAGAGCATACCAGAAGAATTCCATTTGGGAGTGTATCTGGGCAGGTAAGCCTCTTCCACTTGGCTAAGCATTCACTTTAGTAGTTCTTTGACAAATAACTAGAGTGATTATGAGGACAAAAAAAGCTCAACCAGGGCTAGGCAGCAGAATATAAACAGAATCCCACAGGATCACTGTTAACATTTCCATTTATCAGTGGAAAGGGCACCAGGCTGCCCTTTGAGCAGCTGGAAGTTTCCCTTCCAAGGAAAAAGGCAGGAATGTCTTCTTTTGGGTTAAATTTCACATAGGTTACAAGTCACCTGGGCACCAGAAGATAATACCTACTGAGGTTCCTACAGACTTCAAAGACAAAGAATTGTCCGATTTCTTTGGAAAATAATTTCGTAACTAGGCAATTTTAAAAGGTCCCTATCCTAAAGATCCCTGAACATATCCTCATTTTGCACAACAAAATTCACCCTCTATGTGACCGACATTTTTATCCTCATACATTACCTGGAGAGATCTCTTTATTCAGCTTGGGTCTGCGGACGATCACAAAGTCTTTGTCATTCCCTTTGCTCTTGAGCCGTTTCCGTGGGGGGCTCTGCGAGTGGCTGAGGTTTGAGAGCAGTTCCTGAGGGATGTTCTCACTGTCCACGTCCTCCTTCTCCAGGGCGGAGACGCCCATGCCTGAGAGAAGTTCCGAAGTCTTGCTAGAATCCCATCCCCAGGTGAAACTAGTGGAAACGTTGCTACTTTGGTCTGGAATCTCCTGGAGGTGTTTCCTGCAGAAATGCACAAAACAGTTCTCCTTGCTTTACAAAACACATCCGTAAAAAAATCCCAAAATAGGCCAAAGCAAAACTGCAAGTTATGTATTGTAGAAAGCTTCACAGCAGCCAATTGATTGCATTTTTACGTGCCTGTGACCAGTATGAAAGATAAAAAACAAGTCGGAAAGCTTTTTGATTTACGATCATGCAGGAGGCCTCAAGAATTTCTTGAAGTGGAGGGAACAGACCGGGGGAGGGGGAAGCGATCATACAATGACGGAAAACAGTAGCAGCAAAGCCCAAGGAAGGAAACCCAATAAAACCGCACGCTGATCGCTGCACTAACGCATCCATCCACCCACGCCTTCCCAAAAGGGGCTAAGCAACCACTGATATTACTGCATTAGTAACAATATTAACAAGCAGCACTAATCGCGGCCTAAAAGAATTAAGGCAATTATTCATATTCTGCCCCATTTTTGCAATCGCTTTACCTATGCATGCTGTCCACGGGTTCGGGGAGTTTTAAATGCGTGCATTAATCTCAGAGCTGCCCGCCTCCCGGATCCCCACTTCGGCGCAGGGCGGCTCCCGGCGTGCTGCTCCGACCCCCGAGACCCGCGAACTCTACCAACGTTCCATGCCCGCCGCGCGCGCAAGCCTCTGCTCCCGGCCCTCCCCCGCGGCCGGCTCTCCTGCCCCGCTGCCTGCTGGGAAATGTAGTTTCTGCGCGCCTCGTAATGCGGCTGGGCCTACAACACTTCCGGCCTCTGCAGCTTGGCCCGCCTCCGGGATACCCACAACCCTCCGCGGGGGCCGGGCGGGGCCGCCCGCGGAGGGGGCGGGGAAGCGGAAGCGGGCGGCGCTGCGGCTGACGGGGAAATGTCAGCCGCCTGACGGGGGACGGGCCGTCCCTTCCCGGAGCCCGCAGGCCTTCTGGTGGCCGCCGCCGCTGGCGCCGTGGAGCGCGCGCCCCCGCCGCCGGACAGCTGTGGCGGACGCAGCGTTTCCCGGCCCTTCCAGACGCTGTCGCTGGCGGGAGCGCGCGGTGAGGCGGAGGGGGGCGGCGCGAGGCGTTTTGGGGTGCGGGGTCTGGGGCCGGGCGCGGGCGGAGCGAAGGGGCCCGGGAGAGCGCGGGCGGCCGCCGCCGCGGGGCCCACTCCCGGCGCCCCCGGAGGAGGCTGGAGGCCGCGCGCCCGCCAGGTGAGAGGCTGCGAGCCGCGGGGTCTCACCTGCCCTGCGCCTGCCGGAAGGGCGGCCCTTGGGGCTGGTCCCAGAAAGGTCCTCCCCGCCTGTGGGAAGGCGCTGCCCGCGCGACGCCCGTCGCCAGCTCGCCGTGAGGCTCAGGTCTGATGCGGGTGGGGACGCGCTTTTGTAAATTCAAGCGCAGTTGGAAGGAGAGACGGTGGTTGGGTGTTAGAAGAGCTGGAGGCCACAGTGGTGCCTGTGCGCGGTGGGCAGCTGGGCGTCCCCTGCAGCCTCGGTAAAGCTCACGGGGGAGCCCAGGGGAATAGATAAGGTGACTGTGTGTTTGCAGAGAGCTGCACGGTGCTGCTCCAGGGGCAACCAGCAAAGCCATTAGGTTGCTCTCGCTGCTGGCTGCGTCCGCTTGTGTCGCTCCCTAAAAGCAAGCTCGAGCTGCTCGTAGCCTGTCTCTGCTGAGAAGAGTTTGGGGGCGGCTAGAGGAGGGAGCATGGCACATTCCGGAGAGGATGACCGTGCGAAATGCATTGTGCAAACTCTACTCTCTAAGCGTGTAACCTGGGAGAATGGTGAAAGAAGGAAGGGGAAGTGGAGGGGAGTCATAAAGTCCAGAAGCCAGCAGGCCAGCGTCATCACAAAAACTGTGGAGTATTAGTTCAGGAAGCTTTTTGACATACCTTTTTTTTTTTTGGAGAAATGATTGACTTTACATTGGCATGGAAGCTTTGCTGAGGCATATGCTTGATTCAGGTTTGGTGCTTTGATTAAAAAATAACCACCTCCTTATTTCCACAAGTGCAAGGAACTGAATTCAACCGATCCTGGATGAATTTGGAAGCAGCTTCTACCCCAGAGTCTCCAGATAAAAGTCCACCCAGACTACACCTTGATTTCCTCCTGGGGCCGACAGAGGAAATAAATGTTTCAATAATGCTGCAGTGAATTATGATATTGTAGATAAATCTATGTTCCCGTTTTGGTCTTTCTTTAGATTAAGTTATTTGAAGAGGACTTGCTAGGACAAAGGGTATGTACTTTTATTTAAGAATTTTGATAAATATTGTCAGGTTGCTGGCAATGAAGTTTTTGCCATAAGCTGAATTCGAGTTGCCCCAAATTGCTTATTTTTACCAGAGAGTAACTGTTAATTACTCTATACATTTAATATACAAGTAACTGTATTAAATGGAGAATAAGGCACCCACAGTTTAGACAGAAAATTATTTAGTTGAAATAACCAAATCAGGCTATTGGAGTTTATAAGGAAACTTGGAAATGACTATGTCATTCTGGACTTTAAAAAGACATTTCCTCACTTGAGTTTAAATATAAGGTTAATGGTGAGGACCTTGAAAGTATTTTCTCATATCAGGTTAGGAAAATTTCAGTTTATTATTTTTCAGTTGTATGGGACCCACAGGCATAATAGTCTTGTGTCATAACAGAACTATAGGAGCTCAGCTTGAGCAGAAATAGATATACGGTATGTGTGGTAAACAGAATAGTAGACCCCATGGATATCTATGCCTTCATCCCTAGAACCCGTGAATATGACTAGATTGTCTAAGGACCCATAAGATAAGATGAACCCTTACTAGCTGAGACTGGAAGAGGAGGTCAGAAAGATTCAAGCATGGACTTGGAGAGGGCTTGACAAGTTTTGCTAGCTCTGAGATATCACATCAAAAGACTGGAGAGAGGCCTTAGAGAGGGGAGGGCAAATAAATGCCTACTGAAAGCCAACAAGGAGAAGGGGCACTCAGTCCTATAGCCAGATATTCTCCAAAAATGAATTTTGTGAATGCCCTGAATGAAGTTAGCAATGGATTCTTCTCGAGAGGCTTCAGAGAAGAACAAACTTGCTCACACCTTCATTTTGATTTTGTGAGGTTCTAAGTAGAGAACTCATTTGAGCCCTATTGTGCCTGGACCCACAGAAACTGATAAATGACCTAAAGAAACTATAAGGTATGCGTGTTATAATGCCTTGAAGTTTATAGCAATTGTTTACAGCAATAGGAGACTACTGTGCTGAGGGTGGGGAAAGTAAAGAGATATCAAATCATTTGCTGATAACTATAGCAGTATGTATAATCAAAAGTATTTTTAAATATATAACTTTATTAAATATCAGTGATAAGTTTTTCTGCATATAAAATAGTAATTTTCCTTAAAGAAAATAAGATTTATATAGATAAGTGGAAATCATCTTGTATAGCTGTAAATACTTTGTAAAGCTGTAAATGAATGAGAATTTCAAGTCTTGAAAGTTCCTAGACAAGATTAGCTGTTTGAAACAAAGGAGAGGTTACTTTCAAATGCTCTGTCTCTTTTTGAAAATCTTAAATAATGGGCTATGGATGACTTAGAAAAGTTTGTTTTACAAAATATCTATTTTCCTAGGATCTAGTTAATAATGTATTTGTATAAAATATTCTGTTAGGACATAAAATTAAGGTGCAAACATCAAATGGCACTGTATTGAAAATGTTCACAGCTAGTGTTTTTATTTTATAATATTTTTAGAGCTAGTTTAATTTTTGTTAAAATTACTTTTTCCTAAAGATAAAGTATATGTGAAATTATTAAGATATAATTTAAATAATAAGATGTGAATACTTGAGAGTAGAAATTAGTCTTTTCCTCTTTTCATAGTTTATTGTAAAGCTATAAGATATGGGTGACAGTTTTCCAACTCTATGCATCAATAAACAAATACTTAAGAAATTTCCAAATGATCATTTCCTGTGTTAATCCCACATTTTTTTTTCTTTTTTCAGTTTTTCAGATATGATCCAGACCTGTACGTGAATTACTTTGGTTAGTCAGAGTGAACATCCGATAATGAGTGGTGCAGCTTTGGGACTCGAGATTGTTTTTGTCTTTTTTTTGGCATTATTTTTACTTCACCGATATGGAGACTTTAAGAAACAGCATAGACTTGTAATTATTGGAACACTGCTAGCTTGGTATCTCTGCTTTCTTATTGTCTTCATACTGCCTCTGGATGTTAGCACGGTAAGAAGTGAAACAGTTTAAAAGGCAATTGTCATCATATATGTTTAAAATATGAGTCTTGAGACGGCTAAATAAGGTTAGACTTGAAGATTGAATTTAAATATTGCTATATGAATTTGATCATTTAAAAGGCATAGTGAGAAAGGTTGTTTGAAATAGCTCGGTTGGTTCATCCCAGGATCCCTTAAGTACTTGGCAGCCTTATGATTTCCAGCTTTAAACCATGCATTCTTTGCTTTAGACAATATACAACCGGTGTAAGCATGCTGCTGCAAACTCAAGCCCCGCTGACAACAACATTACAGGAGTGTATGCAACTGCTACTCCAGCTCCAAGGTACTTTCTTTTAATACGGTGAGAGGCAAATTATTTTTCACAGTGTTTACCATTTGATTTTTATCTTTTCAGAAGTTTATATTCGTTCTCTCCTCACCCCTCCCACAACCCTCCTATACCCCTCCCACTCCTTTGCTAGTAGATTACTAATTACTTTGTATTCTATTTAATTTAAATAGTATAAATGTTAAATATTTATTGTGCACAGGCTTTTCAGTAGATAGGAATAGGAAACTTGAGGAACACCTGATGTTTTAGTTTTGGTTCTATCCCTTACTAGTTATATGACTTCTAAAAGCTCTTTTCCTCTTCATCCTGTCTCCAGTTTGAAAAAAAAAAACAGGGCATGCATTTTCTCTTTTGTCTGATTTACAAGGTTGTACTAAAGGACAAGGTTAACATGTATGTGGCATATTCCTTTCATATTTCACATCCTTTTAGACCAAGAATGAATAAAGTTCAAATTATCAAAAGATATTTGATGCATATTAAACTTCTAAGTGAGAAAATGTTAACTATAGCTGTAATCAATGATTTAATGTTTCTGTATGCAGCTTTTATTTAAAATATATGAATTAAGGGTAAATTTAAGATGTATATATTATCCCCTTTAAAGTGCTATTAAAGATTGGCTATTATCGATCAGCAGCAATTGTGGATTGGCTAAAGTCCTGCCTAAAGGATAGCCTTACAATCTAGGAAAACTACTAATGGAAGAAACTATGGTCAGAGACACAGCATATCTTCAGAAAATTGAAGCAGAATGATATATAGATGCTGGCATATATCTCCTTAGGGACTATGCTATACTGACTGGTTTAGGTAGTGTTCCACTTTCCAGGAATTAATTAGCTAATGTCTTCACTCCCTCCAAAAAAAGAACCAAACACAAAACCTCACAAATAAGGTGAGTGTGAATTTTTAAGTTAATTGTCAGTTTTAAAGGTAATCAAATCAGAGATATGATGATAAAGACACATTTGCTTTGAAAATTTGTTGCGTTATTTATTGGGTGAGCATCCCATCCTCTTTATTCATTGACTAAAAATATACTGACATTGAACATTTAAATTGCATTCCTTTTTAGAACAAACTTTCGTTTCTATATGTGGTTTTTAGTTTGACAGTCAGCTTTGAGTTTCAAGTGTTTGGCTTTTAAGTGTTTTATGGATTTTTAAAGTTTGATTCAATAATTTGCAGCTTATCTGTAAATGAACTTTACAACACAAATTAATTGTATAACTCATTTAAGTTGTCATAATTTATGATTAATTGATTTTAAATTGCTATTAAACAGCCAACATTCTTGTTTCAAACCATGGAGTTACATTCCTGATGGAATCATGCCAATTTTCTGGAGGGTAGTATATTGGACATCACAATTTTTAACTTGGTAAGTGGTAATGAAGAATAAGTTTTTTAAACTTTGGCTAAAGTTAAAAAAAGTCACTGTTTCTTAGTAAATCTTCATATGTTAGAATTTATTCAAATTTCACTTTCTCCCCTCTTAAATCTACTTTTTAAAACATTTATTTATTTTTTGCATAGAAGAACTGGGGTGTAGGCCAGAGATGTGGGGGGTGAGAGGGCTTACCAGAGACAGAGTTCTGCCTTAAATCTATTAATCGTCTCCTTTCTCTTGTGTCAAGTCTCTCCCACTTTGAAATAAGAAAAAATAGGGCCTCCCTGGTGGCACAGCAGGTTAAGCGCAGCGCTGTGAGGCTGTCCGCAGCCTCTGCAGCACGGGTTCAATTCCCGGCTGGCCAGGAGATTGCCACATGGTGTGGCAGACCTCTCCTGTCTCGCCCGCTGCTCTTCTCAGCAGTGCTTTTGGTCTGTCTGCCTGTTCTGCTCCCCACTCTGTCTCTGGTGAGTCTTCTCACCCTCTTGCACCTCTGGCCTGTACCCCAGCTATTGTATAAATAAAAAATAAATCTTTAAAAAAAAATAGAAAAAATAGACAAGAATGGAAAACATAAGCAAAAATGTTCTTGTCACAATTAACCTTCATTTATTGCTTTTTCTCTTAACCAGTAATTAATTAGCTAATTAACCCTCTTCAATTTGGTCTTCTTCCAGCCCCATTATTACATGAAACTGCTTTTGTTATTCTCATTTCTTTGCATCTACTCAACCCAGCATTTTGAATTTACTTCTTTTTTTTTTTTTTTTTTTTAAAGATTTATTTATTTATTTATACAAGCACTGGGTACAGTCAGAAGCATGGGTCACCAGAGGCAGAGCGGAGAGCAGAGCAGAGCAGGCAGACTGACGAAGTATACTGCTGAGGGGAGCAGCGGGCGGCAGGAGAGGTCTGCGCACCATGTGGGACCCTCTCCCGGTGGCCGGAGAGCAGCCTGGGATCGAACCGGTGCTGCAGAGGCTGCGGACAGCTTCGCAACCCAGCACTCAACCGCTGCACCACCGGGGAGGCCCTGAATTTACTTCTTGACTTCCATTTGGGACTCATTTCCTAAATACTATTTTTCCCGAGGGTTCCATCTCTGGTTATCTTGTTATCTGACTCTGCCTGCACAACTTTAATTAAAGACATGGTTTCATTGACCTGTGATGCATTTCAGATCTTTAGATATCTGTAAAGTTTCCCTCATACTCTTCTCCCATTCTTACTCTCCACAAAGGTAAAATTATGATTTTGACTTCCATCACCATGGGTTAATTTTGTCTATTTTCAAACTTTAAAGGCCTTTTGTTGACTCATCTTCAGTCAGTTACACTTTTATACTGCTTGCTGGTCATTGTGACTGCCTTTACTTCTAGGTATGTGCTTCCTCCTGCCTTAAAGACTTTGCTCTCTGCAAAATTTAGTATTATAAAAAATCTTAATGATTTATTATATTTTACCTTAGTTACTCAAAATCATTTATTTATGAAAAGAATTATACGTTAAAATTAGGATTTATGTATTTCTAGTATCTTGAGATGATACAAACATAGTAAGCATTTTTTAATCATGTTTTCTCCAACTAGGATTCTTTTACCTTTTATGCAATCATATGCAAGATCAGGAGGATTTTCCATTACCGGAAAGATCAAAACTGCACTGATTGAGAATGCAATCTACTATGGTACCTATTTGCTGATTTTTGGAGCATTTTTAATTTATGTAGCTGTGAACCCACGTTTGCACTTAGAATGGTAAGAAAATTCATAACATGGTTTTAGTGTATGTTTCCACTTTTTAAAATTAATTTTTATCTCATATATGTGGGTAAACATTCCATTGAGAAAAGTATATTTTAAAGATTCTCCAAAAAGAATATCTGAATAATCTATATTGCTAGGAAGGTAATTGCATCTTTAAATTCAGTTATTAGGCAGAGAACTAATGCTTTACTAATAGGTAGTTATATGTTAAAAGTGTTAATCCTTATGATATTTGATAGGCTTTCATATTTTGTATATGAAAAATGTCTAAGTTTCTGCTTCACTGGAACTAGTGAATGTTTTTTCTTATGTTCTGATTGTATTTTTAAGGCATGTTTCTCTTTAATATTATGTTTAGATAGTGCTTTAAAATTAAAGATCTTTTACTCTATCATAAACATGAAGAGCTAGATATGAAAAATTTAGGAATAGAACAGTAATGAAACTTATTGTTGCATTACTTAAATTTGTGTAGATCTGTTTAAACAAAAGATGTAATTTTTTTCAGGCTTTGAAAATTTATGAGACTTTTCCTGGTTAATAGTGAATAAGAAATCACCTAATGAAAAGTATGTTTTCTTTAGCAAAATATGTATATATTTTTGCCATGAGTTAGATTTTACTCTTAAATTGAAGCAATGTTTCCTGTGTTAAAACCCATTTGTGCAGTCACACTCTTAAGTTTCCATTAAAACACATATTATCTGCCTTGACTCAAAGAAGAGCTGAGAATTTGAAGGTGTAATTTTTCATATAAAAATCCTACCATCTTTTCAGAGCAGTTTTCTGAAAAATCAGTTAACATTAGTTACCTTTTACATTGTGTTGGAAATTTTACCTGTCACAGCTATCTGATTATATTCTCTCTTTATTAGGAATCAGCTTCAGACAATTGGTATAGCTGCTGCAAATACATGGGGTCTGTTTCTTCTTGTGCTGTTGTTGGGGTATGGCTTAGTAGAGATTCCTCGGTCATACTGGAATGGAGCAAAAAGAGGTTATCTACTTATGAAAACTTATTTTAAGGCAGCCAAACTGATAACAGAGAAAGCAGATGCAGAGGAGACTTTAGAAGATGTCATGGAGGTAAGCAAGCTTAAGCCTTAAACCTTTTATCAATGGTCAGCTAGTTCTGTTATCTCCTTTTTTTCCCCTTTTTTTTTAATAAAGGTAACATTGGTTTACAACACTGTATGATTGAGAGGTATAGGATCACCCCCTTAAGAGTGTGTTAACACATCACTACAACTGAGGCACCCATAATACTTCGTCATAGACCATTGAACAACCTCCATACCTTGCTCTCTTCTCTTCCCTCTCCCCCTCTGTTGACCTCAATTCTACACTCAGATTTCTAGGGTTAATTGGTTTGATATTGTCTGACCCTTTGTTTTGTTTCTACATTTCACATGTAAGTAAACCATTTGGTATTTGTCTTTCTTCTTCTACTTTTGTCACTTATCATTATTCAGTCCAGTTCCATCATGTTGTCACGAATGGCAAGAGTTCATCTTTTTTTTTTTTAATAGCTGAGTAGTATTCCATTGTGTGTGTATACCATATTTTCTTAATCTACTCATCTGCCCTTGGGGATTTAGGTTGCTTCTATAACCTGACTTATAAATATGCAGTGAACATAGGAGTGCATATATCCCTTCAAATCAGTGTTTTTGAATTTGTTGGGTAGATACGTATGAGTGGACTTGCTGCATCCTATGGTAGATCTGTTTTCAGTCTTTTGGAAAAACTCCATACTGTTTTGCATAAGGACTGAATTAGACTATTTTCCCATCACCAGTATACAAGGATTCCATAGCCTTACCAACATCTGTTGTTTCTGGTCTTTTTGATATGGGCCAGTCTCACAGGTGTGAGATGACTTCACTTTGTGGTTTTGATTTGCATCCCTGATGATAAACAATGATGAGAACTTTTTCATGAGCCTGTTGGGCATCTATGTTTTCTTCAGAGAAGTGTCTTAATATGAATTGTGGTGACCTTACATCTAAACAGTGCTCTTAATCAGCAAATGTGGAATGAATCATTAGTTGAGACTGTTGAGGTTGTGGTTTTTATGACTCCCCATTGAATGAAGCCTGTTCTTCTTCTGGTTTCTTCACTGTATTTTAGCTAATGAGAAAATTGAGGTTGATGAAGAGGAATACAGTCCTTTGCTTTTAGGATTGCAATATTTGTCGGATCCACCATGGTTTTTTAATAATGCTTATACCTCTGTGTATCAAGTAAGGAAATGACTGGGAATCTTATCTGGAAAGCAAATAAAGATGTAACAATTCAATAACTTTGTGTTTTTAACTTGTTTTCTTAAAAACTTTTTTTGGTAAAAAGAACTTCGCGAATATGCTAAATAATTTGGGTTGAAATTAAACTAGCAAGAATATATATAGTACATAGAGCATTCTCATTTTAAATATCTGATCTAGAAAATGGAAATATTTTTATTTTTAATGTTCTTATAGGAGGTTCGTAAAGTGAATGAAAATATCAAGTATAACCACCCACTGAGAAAATGTGTTGACACAATACTTAAAAAGGTAAAGATAGCATATTCTTATCTGTTTTCTTGGTAGTATTTTTCTGTTGAAATGTGGGTATAGAGGTTATATTAAGAAATGTGTAATAATTGTTTGACACAACAATGGAACTGGACCTTTATGGTTTGTAGAAATCTCACTGAATATGGTTAGTAAAGGCAGATCTCCTGTACGAAAATAAAGTGGGCATTAATAATCTCCTTCAATCAGTTTCTTACATGTTATCTTATAATATGTCATATATTATAAATCATAAAAGGAATGACATTATGGAATATTTAACGCAGATATTTAATAAGCGATGCAATTAGGATTTTGATGCTTTGGGTATTGAATTCAGGGTATTCATGCTTCTGAAAAATAATTATTCCAAAAATGAGTTCCCCAGTTGTCTTCTGTGCAACCACTAAACTATTTATTTGCCATATTTTAGAAGTATTTACAGATTGTTAGTATTTCTTTGGTAAGATGATAGTCATAAGAATAATCATAACCCTCAATTTTACTACATTTCAAGACCTATTTGGGGAGGTTAACTAACTTGCCCAGTTTCATATAGGTAATAAATGATTAATAGTAGGGTAAATAACTTCAAATCGTGTATTTATTTCACTGTACTATAGTTTTAAAAAGTTCAACATCTTGGATTTGTTGTGATTCTTCATTATTTTACTAGGAAAGTAGTTGACAGTTTTGTCACATGCCTCCCTAGAATGATCCTCTCAAATACTGTAGCTTCATGTAAATAAGCTCCCTGTCTCTATCCATCCTCGGCTAGTATATTTGAGCATAAATATTCATATTAATAGAGATAAAAAAAATCTCAATTAAGTTTTGAAAATATTTTCAAGAAAATGTCAGTAACTAAAAATCCAACTATTTAGAGATGTCAATAAATGAAGATGTTTTTGATTTGAAAATTAGGAATATCCAGGAATGAAAGATTCTTAATAAAAGTAAAATTTTTATCTTATTGCATATAAGATTTTTAAAATTTACTGATTCCTTTTAGTGCCCTACAGAGTATCAGGAAAAAATGGGTAGGAACATGGATGATTATGAAGATTTTGATGAAAAGCATACTACTTACCCAAGTGAAAAAAGTCTAGTAAAACTCCATAAACAGGTAATTTTATTAATTATGGCTATTTTACTTACTGATATAGATTTATAATTACTGCACACAGAAGGGAATTTTGAGTGAATGTGTGTCTGAAATTTTATCTCATCCTTATTCTTGGAAGTGTTTTGACTTCATCAAACAAATATTTCTTTACAACAGTACTATTGGCATTTGGGGAGTGAGAATTATTCACTATGTATAACTGTTATATATATTATAGAATATTAATATACCTACACTAGCACCTTTACACGACTGTTGGAACACTGACAAATATTCCCTCTCTTTTCTTTTTTTAGGTGATTTATGCAGTTCAGAGGCACCGTCGAACTCAAGTACAATGGCAAGTTCTTTTGGAACAAGCATTTTATCTAGAAGATGTAGCAAAAAATGAAACTAGTGCTACTCATCAGTTTGTCCACACCTTTCAATCACCAGAACCAGATAATAGATTTACCCAGTATTTTTATAATCCTACAGTTGGTATGTATTTGATACAGATTTCAAAGATAATGATAATTTTTCTGAAGGAAAAAGTATATTTTTACCAATGCAGAGTTAATTATATTTGTGCTGTTTGACATTTACTTGTAATAATATTATGTATCTGATAAACTTCCCCCTAAAAGTGTTTTATGTTTTGTACAGCATATAATCTGTTTCTACTGTTGCCAATATTTCAGTTAACCAAAATTCTATGCAAAAAATATGCAATATATCCAGCATATTTTATATACATAATACATACTTATAATATTTGGAATTTATATAACAAGATTGGGTCTTTTCTTCAGTCTTGACATAATACTACAATATTTCCCTAAAACCAATAGTATTAATTATTTTATTCTCCTTTATAATTACTTATGTCACTCTTTAAATGTTATCAGTTTAGTGTGAAGAACTTAATGAAATACAAGTATCACAAGTACCACAATATATTCTTTGTAAGAAATCTCAGCTCATGCTTTGCTTTCATTGTCCTGTCTCCCTTCATCTGGAACAGTTTCTCAGTGTCAGTTTTTGTTTTATGACATCAGTGTTTTTTTTAAAGATTTATTTATTTATTATACAAGCACTGGGTACAGTCAGAAACGCAGGAGGGTGAGAGAATTCACCAGAGCCAGAGGGGAGAGCAGAGCAGGCAGACTGACGAAGTACACTGCTGAGGGGAGCAGCAGGCGGCAGGAGAGGTCTGCACGCCTTGTGGGACCCTTGCCCGGTGGCCAGGGATGGAACTGGTGCTGCAGAGGCTGCGGGCAGCTTTGCAACCCAGTGCTCAACTGCTGCGCCACCGGGGAGGCCTGACATCAGTGTTTTTGAAGACCATAGGGCAGTTGTTTATGGAGCATCCCTGAAGTGATACTTCTTTGTGATGAACTTAGGTTTTGCATTTTGGGCAAGGATACTGCAGCAAGTGATGTCATGTTCTTGTTAGTGCTTCATAGCAGCGCACACATAATGCCAGTTTGTGCCATTGATGGTGAACATTTGGTTAGGATGGTGTCTCCTGGTTCCTCCACTGTAAAATTACTATTTTTTTCTTTACAATGATATATGCTACATAGAGATATTTTGAAACATTGTAAATACCCTATTACTCTTGTCATTTTCCTAATTTTTTTTTTCTTCTATTTTCCAGAGTGGTACTGGGAATGTCTTTTGCGACCATGGTTTTATAGGATACTTGCTGTGGTGTTGTCCATCTTCTCTGTGATTGTTGTGTGGTCAGAGTGCACTTTCTTTAGCACTACACCTGTCTTATCCCTCTTTGCAGTCTTTATACAGCTGGCTGAAAAAACGTACAATTATATTTATATCGAGGTCAGTTTATTTTATATCTGTCATGAACATATTTCAGTTCTTAGTGTAATCTTTAACTTTCATAACTCTTCTCCATACATTTCTTCTAGTAATAATGAAAGCAGTGAAGTTTTCCACAGTGTTGTTATCCAGACACCCAAAAATGAGTCTCATCAACTTATACAGTCTATAAAAACTAAGAACTTTATTTGAAGAGAGATGAAAAGGTGCAAAATAGTGCAAAATTCTATAATGAGCTTTGATCCTGTTTATATCAGTCTTCATGTGGAGAATGCAAAAGGAACAGGAGGACAGGCTTGCTGGGGGTAGATTTGAAACTTATGGCTAGGAAGTGGAACTGCTGGATAAGAGGTAGATTCTTGTTATAATTTCATTTTCTTAGGTAGTTAAAAAGACACTATGTTTAAATTTTAGCTGGAAAGAAAGGATAATGTTTATGATAGTGTACAAAGTGGTAAAGTCTATTAAACTTTTTTTTCCCCCCAGATTGCTTGCTTCCTTTCCATCTTCTTCCTGAGTATCTGTGTTTATTCTACTGTGTTCAGGATTCGTGTATTTAACTATTATTACTTGGCTTCACATCACCAGACTGATGCTTACAGCCTTCTTTTCAGTGGCATGTAAGTAGGATTATATTTAGGAGCAAGGGAAATGTCTCCATTGCAGGTATTCTTATGAATCTCCCTCTTAGCCTCTTATTTTTTGTTGTTGATGGGTGTCCTGATAACACTAATTTCTATGAGCTAATTATTATGTTTAAGCATTAAGTAGGTGTTTGTTGATTGCTACCTAAGTCCTGCTTGAAGTTAAAGGTTAAAATAAGTATTCTAGGTTAGGAAGGTCAAGACATAGTGAGCTAGATTTCACAATTAGAGATTCAGTAAATAGATTAATAAAATAATTAAATGTTTGGAAGTTTAGAGACCAAGTCAGACATAGAGCATGTTCTGAGACTCAGTGGCCTTGAACTGAATTGTGTAGGACTTGGAAAACCAAAAAAAGTCATTTTTGCTAAGAGATTTAGCAAGAGTTTATAGTGGTGACTCCAGCATGGGCTAGATTGCACAATCTTATTATTTGTCCTTATTGTTAAATCAGTCATAGAGGTATTTCATAAAGGCTGGACTTAGAGAAGTTCAGAGAGAAGCATCTCCAAAACTCTTTTTTTAAACCTTTTCCCCCGCAGATGATTATAGACTCAAGAAACTGCAAATATAGTGGTACAGAGAGTCCATTTACCTTTACCCAGCCTCGGCCGGTGGAGATGATTTATACAGCTATTGTATAAAATGAAAACCAGGAAATTGACATGGACACATTATTGTTAACTACTACAGCTACAACAGAACGTATTTATTTCTCATTTTCAATTTAGCCACCACAATAGAAAGAACTGTTCTATCACCACAAATGAGCTCCTCTTATTACCGTTTGTATTTATACCCTCCATTAATTTTCCTCTCCCCCAATTCTGTAGTTCTGCAAGTTTCTCATTTTTTCTGGACAAACTGAGCTCTAATATACCTGTATTTATCAGAGTGACATTCCTAAGACCTCTTCAGATCCTTTGTATACTAAGTACAGTTCACCTTGAGGATCTTTCCACCCATGTCACTCTGCTGAGATAGATTGCACAGATTGTAGACTTGAAGAGGAACATATGAAGACATTCCACAAATTCCTGGGGTAAAGCAGTGGCAACCACCAAAACAGGCAGTTTGTGGCTGGGGTTCTGCCATGTGGTGTTAATATTTTAGGGGAATATGATTAATAGGATATTCAGAAGTCTCCCAAGTAAGGGCAGTTGACATTAAGAATTCAAAATATCCTTTCTGCCCATGAATGCCACCAAGTAAGTGTCATAAAAGTCTCCCCTTCCACTGCCATCATATCTTGAGTCTCCTAAGGAGTCAGAACAGCTGTGGAAGCTCTTCATTGGAGGTTTAAGCTTTGAAACAACCAGTGAGAATCTGGGAAGCCATTTTGAGCAATGGAGAACACTGACAGACTATGTGGTAATAGTCTCATCATGAACCTGAATAATGTCTTTAAAAAAAGAATGTGAGATATATGTGACACAAATAGGTGAAAATAATAGTTGCAATGATACAAAAAATGTTTTTGATTCCTTTTAATACATTATGAAATGTATTTGCTGCTTTATTTTTTTATACATTCTCTTCATAATCCTAATTACAGGTTATTTTGCCGTTTGACTCCTCCTTTATGTCTCAATTTCTTGGGTTTGACCCATATGGATTCATCTATCTCTCACCAAAATACACAACCGACTGCTTATACATCTGTAAGTATGGCCAGAAAACAGATAGTTTTACATTCACTATTTATATAAGATGTTATTGTGAAATTTCTTTTAATGCTGGCAGAAAAGTTTTATAACATTATTAGGATCTTTTTTAATAACTAAAACTTTAAAAATTCTATGTGCATATACTAATTTCTGAATAAAAGTGACTTTACTATCTTTTAAAAAAATGGTTTTTGGTTCACATAGATTATCTAGCTAAGTAGTATCAGTAGATTTGACCTGTAATAGCTTTTACATTTAGTCTTACTTAATTTTCAGTAGTATTTATACAATTTTAATTTTTGGAAGAGACAGCCTTACTAAGCTAATTTGTATTAGTTTAAGGTGTACTTTATGTTTGATGTATGTGTATAAATTGCAAAATGGTTTCCACAATAAGTTTAACATCCATCACCTCATATACTTAGAATTTTTTTCCATAATTTTTTCCTCATTCTTAAAGTATTTTATTTCAACTTTTTGAAAGTCCAAGTTTATCAATGCAACTGATTATGGATGAATTTTTGTATGATGGAAAAGAATCAAAAATATAGCATTATATTGATTTAACTTTTTTTCTTGCTCTTCAGATTATGGGTTCCATGAAAGTTTTATCCTTTATTGCAGATGGATTCTATATATATTATCCTATGTTGGTGGTAATCCTCTGTATTGCCACTTATTTTAGGTAAGAAACTTAACATTAAACATTTTTACCCATATTGTTATCTGATCTAGATATTGTTAATGTTCTAGATATCTCCTGAAAGTTCTTTTAAATATTCCCTGGTTGCTCATTGTGAATTTGGGGGCCTGGGGATATAGTTTAAACAGAGTGATCATGTCAGGTTCATCCTCTGAAATTATTTTCAAGAAAGGAAAGGAAGATTTATTTGTCATAAATATTTAGGCTGCAGAGTGATAGGATTAATTATAGTGTTAACTCTTTAAGTCCTTTTGACATTGCCAGCCAATGTTGCTTTTATCCAGCAACTGAAATTGCTGTATGGACTTTCCCTACCATCATTGTGGAATTTTTAGGTGTTTCAGACTGTAGTCAGCACAAAGGGTTGATGATGGACAGCTGTAATCAGGCAGTACCTGTAAACTGGAAAATACACTAATCTGAACATTTTGTACTTGGAAATTTTGGTTGTGTATGTATATTGTCAGTATTAAAATTACTGTTTGAATATAAGAAAAGATTAAAACTGCTTTTGGATTATAGCATCCTTATGTAAAAGTTTTTTGAAGGTATGCTAATAGCCTGACTTAATTTATTTCTGTAAGAATATGGTGCATACTTTGGGCAGTAGAGTATTCAGCATATAAATTTAGAAAAGTAAATACTTCTTGAAGAAAAATGTAGCTCTATGTAAGTTGCCACGATCACTACTAGTCAAACGTATGTGTTTTAGGAAATGACCATGCTAAAGAGCAATTAGAACAGTGTAAACATTTATGTTATGTGAAGTAATGGTTGTCTTTTTGTAAATCTGCTTTTATTAGTTTGGGAACTCGATGTTTGAATCTACTTGGTTTCCAACAGTTCATGGGAGATGATGATATGACATCAGATTTAGTTGATGAAGGAAAAGAATTAATCAGACAAGGTAAGGTTTGTCTTTTAAAATAAATGAAGGAATAGGGCTAGGACTCAAAATGTAAAGTTACTGCCTATAATTTGTAAATTCTAATCTATCTTAAATTATAAATTAATGGTTTTAGCTAAAAATCTCTATGCAGTCTTCATAGCAAAAATAATCTGAAAACAAAATGTTTCATCTATCTTTAAGAAATTCTGCAGCAGAAAGTATTAGTATATCTATAACTAAATAATGCCCTTGTATGGTATTGGAGTCAAACAGATTTGCCAACTTCAATTCAACTATAAAAAACTCATTTAAGTAAGAAATAACACTGTAACAGTATATAGGAATACGATGATCATTTAACAGCTGTTAGAATACATGGCACTCTATTCAAATCTAATCTTATAACTAAATGTATCAAATTTCCTAATGGTCAGGTGGTAGGATAGCAAAAAAGAAAAACAAAATTTGAACTTGGAGACATTGTTTCTTGGACATAGTCTCCCTACTGTGGGTCTGGGGCTTTTTGTGATCGTTAATTAAATGTAAGCCAAAATGTGGTAAAACTCCAAAATAAGATGGTGTGACCTTTAAATGCCCTCATAGCAAGGTAGTGTGCCGCAGACCAGCACAGCAGTGAACGATGAGGCCGTCTCAGGGTTGAGAGACTGCGCAGGGTAGTCAGGGATTCGGTGAAAGAAATGACAAACAGACACACTTCAAGAGAGAGTGTAAATCAGTGTAATTTAATTTGAGTTTGTGACCAGTATATATATGTTTTCTAAAAGCATAGGCAGTGAACATCAACGAAATCAGCTTGCTCATAGGTTTAGCTTATCATTGACAGGGCAGTGATCTATGTCCGAAATACATCTGGACCTAGCCGCATTCCTAAGTAGACAGGCTATTAACTCTTTCTTTTGTTCTATATAATTATATTCTTGTTGTACTAACTACTACTACTACCTACTCATTTTTACTCATAATTAATTGTCATGGGTGAATATTTTTTATAATGCAGTTAATATCAAAGGTACTAAAGTCAAGCACATAATAGAAAGATTATTAAACCAACAATTCTGTTGTAACACAGTGTTTAGTAATGTTTCATTTGGATTAGCCTAATTATTAAATTACGTATGTTTTTTAATTAGCAACCAATGACCAGAAAAAGGAAATATTTTAGAAAGACAGTTGTAGTAGAATAAAGTTTGTGGGCCTTGAGAAAGCGAGATAAGGTTCCAGGTGGTCAGCATTTCTTTTAACCATCTTTGTGGCGGCTTCTGGTAGTTGTTATCTCTTGGCAGGCATTCGGCTTCTCTGCATCTTAGGGAGTTTGCTGTTCTCCCCCTGCGTGCATGGTTCCTTGCCCACGCCGGACCTCAGGGACCATGGCAACAGCCATTAGCCCTGAAGGTCACTGCAGGGGGAGGTGCAGCAGTAGTGTCTAGTTGATGTAGTAATTCTGCTATTTTTAGCATTAATTAGACCTCATCTAGAAGAATCATATCCAGTCCTGTGTAAGATTTCCGAGAGTGAGATTGATAAGCCAGAAGGTATTTAGAGGACAGCCAAATTATGAGTCTGGCCAGCTACAGTCATGAATCTTTTGGAAAAAAGTCACTCAGTATATATGAAGAGACAAAGAATTTATAAGATACTTAATTTACATGATAAAGAAAAGTTACGGAAAAGCAAATTTCAAGTCACACTAAAGGAGAACTTTCGCCTCACTAAAATCATTTAGACAAAGCCTAAAAGCTATCTACAATAAGAAGGTTTTCTCTAAGGACCTCGGTGGCCTCTAAGGTCCTTTCCAACAATTGTTTGTTACCTTTGACTTTGTGGTAATTTAAAGAAAATTGGCCAGACCTGATCCCTTTACTTCAGTGAATCTGTATCTGATGAAACAATGTAATACCAAATTTGAGACAACTTTTCTGTCTTTAGAAAAGAGAAAAAGGCAAAGGCAAGAAGAAGGTGAAAATCGAAGAAGAGTAAGTACAGAACTTATTAAATTGCTATCACCTAAAGGCTAATATTAAATATAAGAATCTTATGGATCTAGAGTAATGATTAAAGACTGAAAAATAGTGGGAAATTACATAGGACATATTTTTACAGAAAGGTAATTTTATTTTATTTTATTTTTTTTGCATGGTGCTTTGTCATTTATGAAGTCCATTCTCAGATAACATTGGCATCTTCAAGTGCCCACTATTACCTCACCCTGACTAATTTTGAAGCATGCTTTGTTGAAGAATTATTTGTATCATGCCAAATGCTTGCACCCACTCCCCATCATTCCATCATTTTTTTTTAATGTCCTGTCATTTTTTTTTTTTTTTTTGGTGTATATCTGTCTTTATTTTTATTTATTTATTTTTTTAATAATTTTATTTTTATATTCCCCATACAATTGCAACCCCCCCATTTTGACCCCAATCCCTCCCCTCCCGCTCCCTACCCCCCATAGAGTGTCTCTGGTTCAAAGTTGTTTGTTGATTTTGATTTTCACTTTCTTATAGTTATTCATTTTCCTGGTCCCTTATTTAAGTTTTCTAGATTCCTGCTATGAGTGAGACCATCTGGTATTTTTCTTTTTCTTTCTGGCTTATTTCGCTGAGCATGATCCCTTCCAGCGCCATCCATGTTGCTGCAAATTGCATGTGGTTATCTTTTTTGAATGCTGAGTAATATTCCATGGTGTATATGTACCACATCTTCTTGATCCAGTCATCTATTTTTGGGCATTTGGGCTGTTTCCAAAGCTTAGCTATTGTAAATAGTGCTGCTATAAACATAGGGGTGCAGGTGCTCTTTGGAATTGATGTTTCTGTGTCCTTTGGGTAAATACCTAGGAGTGGAATTGCTGGATCATGTGGAAGCTCTATGTTTAGTAGGTCCAGAAATCTCCACACAGCTCTCCATAGTGGTTGGACCAGTTTGCTCTCCCACCAACAGTGCAGAAGAGTTCCTTTTTCTCCACACCCTCGCCAACATTTGTTGTTGCTAGTTTTTTTAATATGTGAGGATGGCCATTTTAATAATGTTTATTCCTCCAATCCATGAGCAGGGGATGTCTTTCCATTTCTTTGTGTCTTCTTCTATTTCTTTTAACAGTGTTTTATAGTTTTCTTTGTATTGGTCCTTTACCTCTTTTGTTAGATTTATTCCCAAATATTTAATTTTTTTTGTTTCAATAATAAAAGGGATGGTTTTTTTGATTTCTTCTTCTTCAGATTTATTGTTTGTGTATAGGAAGGCTACTGACTTTTGCGTGTTGATGTTGTATCCTGCCACTTTGCTGAACTGATTGATTAATTGAATTAGTTTTTCTGTGGAGTTTTTGGGGTTCTCTATGTATATTATCATATCATCTGTAAATAGTGATAGTTTGACTTCTTCTTTTCCTATTTGGATTCCTTGGATGTCTTTCTCTTGTCTAATTGCTCTGGCTAGGACTTCCAGTATTATATTGAAAAGCAGTGGTGAGAGTGGATATCCTTGTCTTGTTCCAGATCTTAATGGAATTGCTTTCAGCTTTTCACCATTGAGAATGATACTGGCTGTTGGCTTGTCATAGATGGCCTTTGTGATGTTGAGGTATGTTCCTTGTATCCCAAGAATTTCAAGGGCTTTTATCATGAATGGGTGTTGCACTTTGTCGAAAGCTTTCTCAGCATCTATTGATATTATCATATGGTTTTTATATTTCTTTTTGTTGATGTGTTGGATAACGTTGATTGATTTTCGGATGTTAAACCATCCTTGTGTCCCTGGAATGAATCCTACTTGGTCGTGGTGAATTATCTTATGGATACATTGTTGGATTCTGATAGCTAAAATTTTATTGAGGATTTTTGCATCAGTGTTCATTAGGGAGATCGGCCTGTAGTTTTCCTTTTTTGTGTTGTCCTTGTTCTGTTTTGGTATTAGTGTAATGTTGGCTTCATAGAACGTGTTTGGTATTGTCCCTTCCTTCTCAATTTTTTGGAAGAGTTTGTGAAGGATAGGCACTAATTCATCTCTGAATGTTTGGTAGAATTCATTTGTAAATCCATCGGGTCCTGGGCTTTTGTTTTTGGGGAGGTTTTTGATTACCATTTCAATTTCGCTGCTTGTAATTGGTCTGTTTAGGTGTTCTATTTCTTCTTTATCTAGCTTTGGGTGATTGTAGAGTTGTAGGAATTTGTCCATCTCCTCTAGATTGTTGAACTTGTTTCCATATAACTGTTCATAGTAGTTACTGATTATTCTTTTGATTTCTGCTGTGTCTGTTGTGATTTCTCCTCTTTCATTTATGATCCTGTTTATTTGTGCTTTCTCCCTTTTTTCCTTTGTGAGCCTGCCTAGGGGTTTGTCTATTTTATTGATTTTTTCAAAGAACCAGCTCTTGGTTTCATTGATCTTTTGGATTGATTTTTAGTTTCAATTTCATTTATTTCTGCTTTGGTTTTTATAATTTCTTCTTCTACTGGTTTTGGGTTTTTTTTGTTGTTCTTTTTTTAGATCTTTGAGCTTCGAGATTAGGTTGTTTCTTCGAGTTCTTTCTTGTTTCTTGATGTGAGCTTCTATTGCTATATTTTTTCCTCTTACTACTGCTTTTGCTGCATTCCATACATTTAGGATATTGGTGTCCTCCTTGTCATTCAATTCAAAGAATTTTTTAATTTCTTCTTTGATGTCCTCATTAGTCCAGTGGTTTTCCAGTAGTGTGGTTTTTAATCTCCATGAGGTAGGAGAGTTCCTTGCCTTCTTTTTATGGTTTATTTCTAGTTTGATGCCTTCATGGTCAGAAAAGATGGTTGGTATGATTTCAATCTTGGTGTATCTGTTGATGTTTGTCTTGTGCCCCAGTATGTGATCGATCCTGGAGAATGATCCGTGTGCGCTTGAGAAAAATGTGTACTACGTTTTTTTGGGGTTTAGTGTTCTATAGATGTCTGTTAAGCCCAAATGCTCTAGGTCCTTATTTAGAGCTTTAGTTTCTTTACTTATTTTTTGTCTTGTTGATCTATCCATTGTTGATAGTGGTGTGTTGAAGTCTCCCACTACGTATGTGTTTTCTCTGATGTCTGTTTTTAGAGATGACAACAGTTGTCTGATATATTTTGGTGCTCCTTCGTTTGGTGAGTATATGTTAATGAGTGTTATTTCTTCTTGAAGTATTGTCCCCTTGATCATAATGTAGTGACCATTGGGTTCTCTTTTTATCTTTTGAGTTTGAAGTCTGTTTTATCTGATATAAGTATAGCTGTTCCTGCTTTCTTTTTCGGTCCATTTGCTTGTAGGATTGTTTTCCATCCTTTAACTTTGAGTCTATTTTTATCTTTTGCAGCTAAATGTGTTTCCTGGAGACAGCAAAAGGTTGGGTTTTGTTTCTTAATCCAGGTTGCAACTCTGTCTTTTTATTGAAGAGTTTAGTCCATTTACATTTAGAGTTAATATTGATATGTTAGCATCTGTATTTGCCATTGTGTTTGTCTTTCCTTTGATTTTATTTATTTATTCATTTAATAACTTTTTTTTTTTTTTTTTTTTTTTGGCCTTCTTTCGTTGTTATTTGTCCCTCTGAGGTTCTGGCTTTAGGATTCCTTGTAGTATTTTTTGGAGTGGGGGTTTAGTCGCAATGAAATTCCAGAGTTTCTGTTTGTCTGGGAAGGTCCTTATTCTTTCTTCATAGAGGAAGGAGAGCTTTGCGGGATAGAGTATTCTTGGTTGGCATCTGTTTTCTTGGAGTCTGTTGACTATGTCCCTCCACTCTCTTCTTGCCCGTAGTGTTTCTTCGGAGAAGTCTGATGTCAGCCTGATTGGTTTACCTTTGAATGTTATCTGTTTCTTCCCTTTTGTCAGCTTCATTATTTTTTCCTTGTCCTGGATTCTTGGGAGCTTTACTATTATGTGTCTTGCTGTATTTTTCCTAGAAAGGTAATTTTAATACTTTTCAGTTGTATGTGCCTAGGTGTCTCCTCAGACCTGTTTTACGGAGTCATTAGCATTAAGTTGTCAATTACAGTGTGTAGTAGTTTCTTGCCTAAGGCAGGTGTTCAATAAATATTTGTGGAATAAATGAATAAATTTGTACAACCTTGCTATTGAAGTGGATTTGATTGCTTTGAAATTGCTACTCTTTTTTTTTCTGTAACATTACATTTATTGTATTTCTCAAATTTTTCTTTTAATCCTCTATTTGCTGAGGCAAATGACCCCCATTCTAGAGAGTGAAAAGGCAGAGAGAGAGAGAGAAATCTAGTCACAGTTACCGCAAATATTCAACACCTAAGTGTATTTACATTGCAGACATGAAGATTCAGAAGAGATATGATTGTTGTCTTCGTGTATTTTAATGTATTGTGTGAAGGGAGAGTTGTTCTTATTTCAGATTGCATATAACCAGAACCAAGGAGTGGAATTTACTGGAGGTAGATTTCACCTCTCTAAAAATTTCTAACTTCTACATTTTACCAAAATTGCAGTGGACTGCTCACCCACAGAAATTTCCATGTCATTGACTAAGAGAAACCAAAATCATCTGACATGGCTATTTTAGAAAGAAACCCTGCACTGTTAAATTAGATAACCTCTATTGTCCCCTACTACTCTAAGAATTTAGAGTAGAATCCCCATTAATAGGGTTTTTCTGCACCTGACGCGTGGTGCACAGTGCCATCTGAATCATGATCTTAACGTTTACAACTTTAACTCTGCTGTCAAAAATTACTTTGCAGGTCTTTAGTATTTATAGTTTATTTGGATTGAAGAAATTTTGTTAACATCTCATAAGATTCTCATAACTTACAACTACTTGTAGTTGTAATATTTCTCTTATATTTAGAAAGATGACGAAAGTAACAAAATAATTACAGAAAGAAAAATGTCTATATATGTCTTTATTTATAAAAGTTAAGTTTGGAGTGTCTATTAAAATCATGCAGAGATAATAAAATTATGGGCCTATGATTTTTGAAGGCAATATGCGAATGATATTATTTGATGAATTTCAAGTGGAAAAGAATTAAATTATAATCTGCTTAAAATCTGTTTACACTGTTGATTTATTTTCTGCTTGTGAGTTCTTTTGTTATATATTCATTTGTATTGCTTTCCTAGGAATGGAAGGAACGTTATGGACATAATAGAGAGGATTCCACTAGAAACAGAAATGTTCATAGTGACCCAAAAGAGTTAAACTTCTCAGACATTAGTACCAACCGCTGTAAGTAGTTTATTTTTTAGCTCTTTTAGAAATTATTTTTTCCTTAGATTTGCTTGCTTGCATAGACTGAGAACTAGGATATCACCCAGAAATACCTTTAAGTATTGGAAATGTGACTCTGCAGTGACTTTCCTTTTTCCTCCCTCAATATAGAAAGGAGAGGAAAGTCAAATGTGCTTTGTGGTAGAAGGAGAAACTGAAACAATAAATGAGTAGTTGTAGTTGTACTACCCTAAATAATGCTAGTACTTACCCCAGGCATGTTCTGAATAGGTACTTATTACCTAGAATTTTATTTTATTTTTTTTACTTTTTTATTGGTACATACAGCCTATTCTGTCATTTCATTATTTACTGACTAACCCACATATGTCAGGTGCCTTCCCAGGGAAACAGAGAAGATAAATTCCTGTCCTTGGAATGCTTATAATTTAGTGAGGGCAGATACCAGACAGTAGACAAATGCCAGTGAGTTGGGTTAGGAAACCTCCTCACATTTTTGACCTGTCCTCTGCCTCTGGAGAGGTGACAAGAAACCTGTTTTTGCTTAAACCATTGTACTAAGTAGAAGGCAGAGTTTTTTTGTCTTGGAGAGAGAATAGAGGAGTATACACCTGATGTTGAGGGAACTCAGCTCAGGGCTTAGAAGAGGCAGCTTTTATGGGAAAGGATTTCAGTACTTAACTGAGCATGTAGCTATGAATTATACTTAGTCAAAATGAGTGTTTGGCAGAAGAAAGAATGAGTGACATGAGAGAAACTTGGGGAAATGCAAGTTTTTTTTCCGTGACCATAACTAAAAGTATGAGGTTCCTGGTAAGAGGTGACTACAAAGATAGTTGGAAAACACAAGTTACTGAGCTCAGAAGTTTAGATTTTACTTCCAAAATAAGATTTCAATCTGGAAAGGATTGTGCTCGACTGAGTTCAGGTATAAAAAGATAACTTTGGTGACAATATAAAACATGACTTCTAGGGCCTAAAATAAGCCGTGATCCTAGAGCGGAAGCAGAAGTGATGCATTTGAATGAAATTTAGGGTAGAAGAAGTAGAAGAGAGCTGAAGTTTTAATTAGACCTGGGACTAGAGGGAGGGTTCAATAAAGAGATTTGAAAGTTTGCTTACACTGACATAGGAGTTTCCATCTTTGCAGAAGGGAAATATCTGAGTTTAGGGAAGAATTGTCAGAGAAGAAAAGACAAAGCCTAATATGATAAAATAGAAAGAACATGGCCTGTATTAGGCAATCAGTATTTGCCGACTGAAAGAAAAAAGAAGATGGGCAGAGTCCAAGATGACAAAAATGTAAGATAGAATTGGTTTGTCTCATTTTCAGAAAGAACTATATAATAAAGTTCTTTTAAAGCTACTACACAGCTCAAAACAACATTATGGAAATTTTGGTTGTTAGTGAAGAAAAGCCCTTCCATGTAGAAAAGGGCAAGTTAGTTCTCTAAATCAGTGCCGACCAGTATGGTAACCATTAGCCACATGTGGCTGTTGAGCATTTGCAGTGTGGTGGTACCCCATGTTGAAGTGATAATATTTTGGATACATTGGGTTGAATTAAATACATTAAAATTAATTTTAAATATGTCTTTTTACTTTTTTAGTGTATCTACTAGGCAATTTAAAATATGGGACTTGCACTTCATGTCTGTTGGTCGTTGCTGTCTAAACTCTTGCTTCATTAGAAAAAGATTTTGACTTGTTGAAGAGCTTGAATTAATTACATCATACAGAAAATCTTAGGCAAGAACGAGGTGTAGGAGCTGGATTGAATGAAACCAACTGAAACTTGATTTGATGATAAACAATTTCATTTTTACAATAACATTGTTTAAATATTAATTCTGATTCATATTAAGTCTTTGTACTGTGTGCTTTTGAGCGTAGACTAATTACAAGGGAGAATTCTTCCTTGATATTTTCTGTCATACTGTTTAGCATTTTAATCTGATTTTGAAGAACCCCATAAAGTAATCTTTTCTTAATATTGTCTTTTTTTTTAAAGATTTATTTATTTATGCATACAAGAGCTGGGGTATAGGTCAGAGGTGTGGGGGCAGAGAGGATTCACCAAAGACAGAGTGGGGAACAGAACAGGCAGACTGACTGAAATACACTGCTGAGGGGAGCAGCAGGTGAGTCAGGAGCGGTCTGCTGCGCCATGTGGGTAGCTCCTTGGCCGGGGAATTGAACTCGTGCTACAGCGGCTGTGGACAGCTTCATAGGTTGCATCTCAACTCCTTGCACCATCACAGAGGGCCCTTAATATTGTCTTAACAATCAAAATTCAGATCCTTCATAAACTTGATTTTTCTTCCTATAAATCCATAGACTGTGACTCATAAATTAAAAGACAGTGGGAAAGTCGACTTTTTTTTTCTTCCTTTGCAGCAGCATCCAAATATACCAGAGCTAATAACAGGACTGAAAGGGACCGTATAGAACTTCTCCAAGATGCAGAACCTTTGGATTTTAATGCAGAAACATTCACTGATGATCCTCTTGAATCTGAATCAGGAAGGTAAGTTCCGGCTGTGTCGTTCTGACTCCAGCATTCCTCTGAATTTAATAATTTACTGACTTGGCATGTAAGCATAAGAAAAAAGCATATTAAGGAGGCTTTGATGCATTTTATACCTTCTAATGCTTTTATATTGAAAAAAATTATAGGATCTGCTGGTATTGGTAATTAAAATTGGTATTGTCATAAACTGCTAGTGGTATTATAAATAAAAAAGCATTGAAATCAATAATAAGAATCTTAACAAATGCAAATGCCTATTTCTGACAATCCTATTATGAAAATTATTTAGCAACTGCTGTGTAGCTATGACTGGGTATCAGACAGTATTCTAAGCATTGTAACAGTGATATATTTTATGGTTATAAAAACAATTGGATTTGAATCCAAACAGTCTCGATAACTTACCCAGAGTCATATATCTTGTAAATGGCAAAGTCAGGCATTTAGACCACAGGAATACAGCTATAGAATCTGTGCTTTTAGCCACCATGCTATATGGAAATGATTAAACAAAAGCAAAATATCATATGCATGAATATATTTGCTATATAGTTTTGCCTAAAAATAGCAAAAAAAAAAAAAAAAAAAAAAAAAAACCCAGATAGCTGGGATATTATATATTCAACATTTGGGAGTGTTATTAAATCTCTTAAGTTCCATGATGTGTTTTACATTGTCTCACCCCTTTCTTTTTACATTTCTTGCCCTGTCACATGTGTATTCTAGGCTTTAAAACAGTTGGATGATTTATAATTAAGTAGCTCCTTCTTAGGATAATATTCCTGGAGAGTAAGTTTCTGCTTTCAGCTGCTGAATAGATTTTACAATGCTTAGAAATTATATAGCCATTTCTTCTTAATGTGTCCTTGTTTTTCTCTCCTTTATTATTTTTGATGCCTTAGATCATTTCTTTATCCACCTTTCAGATATCAACCTGGTGGACGATACCTTTCAATGTCTCGCAGCAGAATATTTGATGATGTTTAAATTTGGAAAGAATTTATGGAACAGCTAACCAACACCCAATATATCAGTTCAGTGATTAAGAACATTTCTGTGCCCAATGAAAAGTGTTAGGCTAAAAACAACACTGAAAATTAATCACATCTTAGTAGTAATAGTTTATTGTTCATTGGAAAGAATACTATCTTTTCTAATAGGATTTATTACATATCAATCCTGAAGTGTCTGCCTTAGAAGTCCAGTTACAGTAGAAGGATTTAATTCATGACAAAGAATTCATGCTAAAAATCAGTATATGTTGAGAACATATAGTTGCTTGTTTCAGATTTTTTTTTTTTTTTCAGGAAAGTTGCTTTAAAGGTTCAAGGAAAGCCATAGTCATAACTGGAAAATATTATACAATTTATTGCTTACATTCATTATTCATGCGTTATTTATGATTTACATTTTAGTTGTTTCTAAAGAAAATTTTAATATTTCCAAAGAGATGGAGACCTCAAATAACCATATTTACAAAACCCATGTCTTAAAACAAGGCTTACTTAGCAGACACAACTGAATGTAGAAAGCGCTTTTTCAACATTGTATGCAAATTAGTTTTTGCCTGCATAATTAAGGTTATATCTCTACTGATAGTACTAGGATCTTTATACTATAATCAGGTGATATATTATTCTTTCAGTCTTTAGTAGTAACTAGGAGTTGTTTTGTGCTTTTGGTACTGCTTTGTAAAGGATTTTCATTTTAGAGTGAAATGTTTATCTTTACTGTGTTTATGTGTTGATCATTCCATTCAAGGTGAACCCTAAGCATTAATATTAAATAGTAAAATTTTTGTTAATATCTGAAGGGTCCCACAAAATTATCTAATTTTTAAAGGTGCTTGTTTATGCTTTTCGAAAAAGAACATTTGGTTATTCAAAGGTAAAAAGCTAATCCATTTACTGTTACTGCTAGTACTTTAAAATTGTGGTTTATAGAAAGCAAAATGATACTAGATTGGCTATATATAAAAACTTGTTGGTTAAAATTGACTTTTTAACCTTTGTATTTGAACCGAAGGTGGTATATTCTAAAGCATCAGTGTTTTATTGCATAAGTGAATATGCTTGAGTACAACGTGCTTGCAAATTATTTTTTGTCCCTGAAATGTTTGTAGCTTGCAGAATCCATGCTGTGGAGTCACCTAATGCTGACTATACCAGTCTAAGTTTAACACCTTTTTCCTGCATAATTTTTAATAGCACTCACTTTCATTCTTAGGTGTCTATTTAAGATGAGTTATAGAATGTACCTGACAATATGACTATGTTTCTTGAAGATAATCTTTCCTCCGAATCATAATTTAAATTTTTTTCCCTCTTAAGTGTTATCATGTAAATTTTTTAAAGACAGTTTTATGCAGGTACTGAAAGAATAGTGTATCATCCTAATTATCTGATTTTCTTCACTTTTTATAACTTTAAGATTGGCTCTCCTTTAAAAGGTTGTTAATGGATAGATTTTACTCACAGTCAAAGGTCATATAGAGTGCCCATTTGAGAGCAAACACATATGTGCAGTCTTTTATTGGGAGTTGTGGTTAGAGAATAGGCCAGGAACAGAGATAATTACTTATTTTTGGTAATTTCATGATTGACTCTTTGAATACCTTAGGCAAATCTTGTAACCTTTCAGTGCCTCAATTCTTCATTTGTGAAATGAAGATGATGCTTTTATTTACTTACTGATCTACCTCACAAAGCTATTGTGAGGGTATTGAGTTTATATACTGAAATTTAAAAGGTATTGGATGGGGAAATGATTGCCTCAGAATGGGATCTGGTTTTTTACTACTATAGTGAAGCTTGCAAGTCCCCAAAGCAAAAACTCTTTTTGGAATAATTCATCAAAAGGCCTGTGAAAAAGTGTTGTTTTTTTACTTAGTCTTCAGGTTTGCTTTAGAATATTTTCCTTAAGTATAATGTTGTTTCTCATCAAGTTTTGTCATGAAACTCAGATGCTATTGTTGATAGAAGCAGAGAAGGAAGAAATTATCCAATTAATTTTATAACTTTTATAATGCCTTCAGATAAATTGATAGAAATGTATAAGAGAATGTACTATTTTCTTTTATTATTAATTTTTTATGATTATAGTAATTGATGTATATATAATAATTCACAAAGAGTATAAATCCATTTGTGACTTTTGAGGTATTTCCAAAATAATTTTTGGTTATTTAAGTTATCTGAAGTATTCAACTTTTTAAGCAGAGTATGTCTTACGGAATTTTTTATAAAATCCAATATTTGAGTTCAGAAGTAACAATTTAATCCCTAAATATGTAGAGTTTATTGCTGGGGAACTGAGGTAATATTGATGAAGTCACTTGTGTCAAAAAACTGTAGTCTGAGGAAAGATTTCTGTGTTGAGAAACTTATTAAAATGTAATCATATCTACTACAGAACACTACTACTAAATTCATATATTTCACATGCAGAACACATTTCTTGAAGAGTTAATTCTGACAATTACCTTTTGATGTCTTTCTTACATAATAATAGATATCTGATCAAATTTTCTAAATTATTTTTCTAAATATTTGTTAGGTAAATCTATTCAGTGAGCCAGAAATTCAAGATGTAGTAATTTACAGCAGAAAGTGATAAAAATATGTTAATTTGTGAAGCACCTATACGTTACTAATTAACTTTTCTTTCTGCATCAATAATTTGTTATAATCTGTAGTACATTTTTGTAAAAAAAAAAAAAAATTACAGTAAGAAATAAGGTATAAGGCTAACTATTAGAATTTGCTCCCTTAAAAAAAATGATACAGGGCTTTGGAATAATTTTTTCATTTTCAAGAATGATAAGAAGTAAACCAAAACATTTAAGAGTTTTCCACTTATCGAAGAATCGATCAGAGAACCTGACAGTCCAAATCTCCCCACCTCAAAAGAGCTGGCAATTGATTTGATTAGATAATCAGTCCTAAAACATATGCTGGTTCTGTATCCAAATGAAATTAAATACAGATCGGAAAGGCAGTGTGCTTTTTCTTAAGTATATTTTAGCATATTAAGGAAGGAATTTCATTTCTGTACAATAAAAAAACCTCATTTTTTTATACCTCTAATAGATTTAGGGGATGTTCTTGATGATATGCTACTTACCATTTTAAAGAAAAACTGTGCTCTCCATAATTATAATTTACACTGGTCACTAATACGAGTTTTGTACTTGTGATTTGAGTGGACCATGCCTGAAAATTACAAGGATATGTATATTTGCATTAAGAGGAAAATATGTCCCTGAAAAATCTTAACTTACTTGAATCTCCAAAGTATAATGAATCATATACTGTATTAAATTCTAAATGTTAAGAAGTAAATGGATTTAGAATTTTATCTTTGTTTTTTTTCTCCTTTCACACCTTCCTTCTTTTCTGAGGTCTCTATTGTGTGATTTTCAATGTACTGACAGATTTTCCTTCTACTTGTTTTGTCTACAGTTATTTTTGAGCATCAGTACACTAAAAAGGAGCTAGGTCTGGCTATAAATCCTACTACTTGAATAGCAATATTGCAACACTAACATACTGAAACAGATTTTGGTAGAGAACTGAACAATATCTGCATGTAAATGTGATGTATGCTGACCTACTGTGTTGTGTTGTAAGTTGTTCAGGAGGGCAGTTCAGTTAATGAGTTACTCTCAAATGTAATGTTTGGCATAAAAATAGACTTCCAAAAGCAGAACATTAAGAACCTTGAGAACACTTTTTGTGAAAATAAATTCACAAATTACGTACATCATGGTCAATGTTTTCATTAGGAGAGGTTGAAACAATATTAAGGGGGCCACAGCAGGCCTAAAATACCAGTTCCTTCTGTTTGGGTACTAAAATACCAGTTCCTTCGGTACAGAGACTCTTTTTGCTCAAAGACCTAGAAAACCAGGCAGTGGTTAGCCTCTGGCCAACTTCTGGAGGCTCTGTGAGCTCTTTCCCAGCAGAGCGGGCACCAGCCCCTCTGTCCATCCTCAATCCCACCACAATGGGAACATGGCCTCACCGTGCTCAGCCTGGTTTTCCTGAAATTTCACTTCCATTTTCAAAAGAAATTTGTCCATTGAGGTTGATCAAAGCCTTGGTATAATTTTAAATTTGTTAAAGCAAGAATATTGGTATGTTCCTCTTCTCATTTGCTATCCCAAAATAATTTGTTTTTAGCACACTCTGTGGGGAAATTAATTTTTTTCCTCAGAAAATCTTTCATGGTTAATTTTATCTCAAATCATTTTGCAAAAAGTTACTGTATTCAGTACAAATGAGTAGAAAGAATGGTTTACTATGGCAGACATATGTAGGGTAAAGTCATAATTTGTTAATCTTACTATACAGCACCATTTTGAGTTGCTATTATTGACATAAATCTTAGCTGATCACTGAGAGCTGTATTTCTCAAAAGAATACTTGCTAGCATCTTCCCTATTTAGTATACCAAGTTGTAGGGGAGAGACTGTATTTATTTTTTTTTTAAGTAATCCAATGGATTTGGGTTTGTTCATATTTTGAAAACAACTTGAAGGATTTTTCTCATTTTAGAAGGTAGAGAATATGTGGATCTGTGTTTTAAATTGCAGTAATCTCATATATATTTATAAATTATAGCATTGAAAAATGAACTCTAATGTTGATATTGTTACTTTCTGGTATTTAATTTTTATAAAATGTTTTTTGTAAGTTACTGACTGTAGTATTGCATTTAACCAGTTTTATGATCTTTTTCAAATAAGTTCTGCCCAGGGCAATATTCTAAAGTTCTGAAATCCAGTGTGAATTTGAAATGCACTTACAACTCTTCAGTATCTCCTTATATATACCAGTACCCAAAGTATACCAAAAACCTAATTTCTGTGTTGCATTAATAAAGTACTTGTTATTTATCTAATTCAGTGGATTAGGTGAAATAGAAGATAAGTTTTCAAATGTGCATCTCATCTTAATTTTTCAAAATATTAATAATGTTCATTTTTGGTGCATGATGCCAAATTTATCTTTAATCAGTCATTACTACCTGATGTGTAGCAACAAATGTTTCCTATCTGACCTGACCAATGGGTTGCAGATTTAATTATTTTTCTCTTCAGATTCTCACTACATTTTAAAATATGTATATGAAAAAAGCTGCAAAGTGTTACCATTAAGTGAGTTAGCGTCTTTGGCCTTATCTGTGCATAATGTTTCTCAATTTGGTTTGACAAACTCATGGACTTGCAATTGCTTTGTAGTTTTTTAACTTATTGTGATGTAATAAATTTTCAAAATGTTTATTTGATTAGTTGTTAAAATATGGGAAATGATGTAGCTTTGCATGAAATAAAGTACATTTCTACAAGTTACTAAGTATTTTGTTGATTATTTGTGTTTTTCTTCATAACACCTTTGAGATTAAATCCTTTTAAGTAAGCTGAGGCATTCTTCTTACAAATATGTTAGCTGATAGTACAAAAGAAATGCTCTAAACAATTAAATATATGTATTTTAGGTTTCATATTACTTTTATGTTATGCTTAGAATTAAAATAAGTGATGTTTATCAAAATAGAAAAATCAGAAATCAAAATTGAAAATAGGAAACAATGAAGAAAATGAAACCAAAAGCTGGAACTTTAAAATGATAGTAAAATTGATGAAGTCCTGGCCAGGCTGATGAAGAAAACAAATTCAGTTGCTTTCCTATATGCCAAAAAGAACAATTGAAATTTAAAATGAAAAAAACCAAACCAGCACCATTACATTAGTCTTAGTGCAATGAGAAAAGAAAGCAAATATTGTTTAAAAAAGATGTAAAATATAATGCAAATTATGTATAAAATATATATAATATATTGTAAAATATAAATTAATTAGTAAAAAGAAAGGAAATGAAAGATACAGATTTGGAAGGAAGAAATAAAATTGTCTTTGTGTGCAGTTGTCAGGATTATCTCCCTGATATTAAGGTCATTGATTATATTTTCATGTGTTAATTTTCAAAAATGTATGCCATGTCTTGAAATTCTCAAAACCCATCTTATTTTAAAAATTTTTTAGTTTCATTTAAAAACAAGTACCCCCACTAAATTCAATAATAGCATTCACAGAATCACTATACCAACTGCTAAATAAATTAGATTGTTTCTACACCTTCATAAGGCCTAACTCTTTCCTTTAAAACATTTGCCATGCTTATTGTTGCTTCATTTATTATTTGTAATGATTTGCTCAATATCTGCTCTCCCTGCCAAAATGTAAACTCCCTGAGGACAAAGATCTAGATTTATTGAAATACTGGACCAAAGTATTAAGTCATGTGTTTCTTGACTAGCCTTTTGTACTTTTATACTCTGCTATTGCCCCAGGTATAAGTTGGAGATTTATTCTGATTCAATCATTGAATTCAAGAAGACTTCTTGGATTATTCTCTTTCTTGCCTTAAAATTGCAGTCAGCTCAAAAAAACTGCTGGGATTTTGGCAGTATCAATGCTGGAGGTTTTTGCACTGGGTCTTTGGCAGTTGAAAGACTGTCAAATTAAACTGCTGGTGAGGAGGCTTGCCTACTGAGAAGCTGCCAGCTCACTACCTGTGACTTAGGCTTGGACCTTGGTCTCTGCTCAGCAGATGCTATCTGGGCTAGGACAAATGGTATTTGGCCATGTGCCAGCCTGTAAACTTGCTCTCCCTCCATCTTCTCTCTGTCTTTCTCTCTCTCTTCCTTTCCTTACTCCCTGAATAAGTATGTCCTATTATTGTTGTTTCTCCCCATGAGTCTACTCTTGGGTCTTGTCTTGCATTCTTAAGGGCATGAGTCAGTACCTACCAAGCAGGTCAATCCGGTTCCCTGGGTTTGCTCTGTTTTACCACCTCCATCCCTGAAATCTGATAAATAGCATTGGATGAGTCATGAGATGATGCCTCTATTTGTTCCTTCCAGCATCCAATTCAATTTATCAGTGTGGGCAAGATGAGATGGAAATCTGATCTCATCACTACCCACTTAGAAAATCGTGTTGTCCTCCTTTACGTGGAATACAAAGCTTCTGAGATTTCTCTCTGGTTACCACACTCCAGGGTGATCAGATCTGGAGGGTGGGATGTGTCTTAACTGACTTAGCAGGATTCTTACTAAAATTGGACAACCAGATATGAACCCAAAGTCCAAACCAGGACCTGGTTCAGAAGAGAGCTCACATGAGCCTCACTAGAGTTTGGTCAAGGAGAGAATCTTTGTCAGGAATAAGTTGATGAGAAACGACTGACAGGAACTTGAGTAGAACAGTAGTGGAGGGAGTCTTGTTCAGTGATCCGACATTAAGGCCAGAGGCTTTCTCTATACGCTGGCTTAGAAAGATTCCTTGGGTACGTGTCTCAGCAGGTCAAAGACAGGGCAACAGGACAAGGTGGAGGCCTTGTCTAGAAAAGAACTCAGAGGCACCTCCATTTAGTGAGGGAGGGAGTCCTGGTTGCATTGTGCGTGGGTGCTTTGTGTCTAGGCCATGCTGTGTTCTTAGAAATCTCTTATCAAGGTGAAATGAAACACCTTCCACTTGTCCTTCAATACCCAGTGTTATCATGTTCCCAGGTTGTGTGGCTGGGCCTGACCACCACGCCTACAACACAGCTCTGCATCCCCTTTGAAGGATTTTTCTTTCTATATTGAAAATATTTTTTAACATACATGTCTGTATTTAGAAACTTTAAGAACCCAAAATTGAGAGACAGGGTTCTATTTATCTTGATTTTAAAACACCTGGCCAGTGCCCTGAATAGAATGTGCTGGGATAAGCAGGTAAGCACTTATAGCAATGTGGCCGGATGTACGTTTGGTCAACAAAAGTCAATCCTCTTTCTCTGAAGAAAAAGAACATGAATTTAAAAACATAATGCAGGGCCTCCCTGGTGGCACAAGGGGTTGAACACAGCACTGTGAGGGCTGTCCACAGCCTCTGTAGCACAAGTTCAATCCCCGGTCGGCCAGAGAGCTACCCACATGGTACAGCAGACCTCTCTGCTGACTCGCCTGCTGCTCCCCTCAGCGGTGTATTTCAGTCAGTGTATTTCAGTCAGTCTGCCTATTCTATTCCCTACTGTCTCTCTGGTGAATCCTCTCACCTGTACCCCAGTTCTTGTATGCATAAATAAATAAATTTAAAAAAAGCATAATGCCACTTACATTAGCCCCACAAATTGTGTGAGCAAATCAGTCCTGTACAGAGTGGATTCCCATGATGCTGAAGCTGAGTCACTTCATGGCAGGTTCTCTGGTCCATTGAATTCTGTAGCACAGAACACTTGTTACACCCCCGTGGGTTTTCTTTGTCCCCAGAGACAAACTGGAGACCCCTCCCTCCAAAGTCCTTGACTATCAGAATTTCTGCGGTAGCATTTAGCAATAAGCAGAATGAGGTAACGTGAAAGAAAAGACGATCCAGTGACATTTGTTAAAGATTACACTGAAGCCAGTCATCAAAGCTATTCCAGTGAGGTCTTGCATTGTGGGAGAGAGACTGGCTCAACCTTGATTACATTAAGGAGGAGTTAAATATGTAACCAGAGAGTAGGGTGGACATCAGTGGCTGCAAAATTAGTACTCAGAAACCTTTGGGGTCAGAAGCATAATCCGGCTAAAATGATCTAACAGGATTCTTTCTGTGAGCAGCCAGGTGATTGGATTACCTGGGGGATGGTAGAGGATAAGGAACCTAAGGTGATCAGATGTAGAGGATGGAGTGTGGCTAAACCGACTTAGCAGGATTGTTGCTTCATTTTGGACGATGCAAAGATGAACGCAGATCCAAATTAGGACTTGGTTCAGAGGAGAGCCCACAGGAGCCTCACGAGAATTTGGTCAAGGAGAGAATCTTTGTTAGGAGTAAGTCGATGGGAAAATACTAGCCAGAACATGATCAGATCATCAGTGGGGGGACTCTTGTTAAAGGAAGACCAGATCCATCAGAAAGCAGTGGTAGAGGAATTTTTTGTAAAGGAGTTAGCAGGATTATTTGGGAAAGTGTATCAGTAAGTTAAGGACAGGCCAACTGCGTTTTGCCCATGCTGTGTTCTGCTCTCAGAAGTGCCATTCCACTTTGTAAGTATAAAATAGCGTCTATTTGTCCTTCAATACTGTGTTACTATTTTCCCAGGTCGTGTGGCTGAGCCTGGCCACCACACCTGCAACACAGTTCACTGCATCCTCTTTTGAAGCATATTTCTTACTAAATTGAAATTGTTTCTAAACATGTATATCTCTATTCAGAAACTTTAAAAACCCCAAATTCAGAAACCAGGTCCTATTTATCTTGATGTTAAAGCACTTAGCTAGTGCTTTTAACAGACAGTGCTGAGACAGACAATAATTGATCCACTCTTCACACTGTATCCTGAAGTAAACTCTAAACCCTAAATTATGTTATATTTAACATAAAACATGATGCATATTGGATATGAAGATAGGTGAATTTCTCCAATACCTAAGTGCATGAAAAGGCTTTCCAAATATGTCTCTGAAATCCTGGTGCAGCACTGATAGTGTCGACCATCTTAACTAATCTGTAATATAAATATAAAAATCTTTCACACTGCTAAGTCACCATGAATTGAGTCAAAATACAAAATAAACAGTGGGAGAAAAAGATTCATAATGTACATCATATATAAGGGACTACTATTCCAATATTTTGAAAAATGAATAAAACTCAGAATGAAGCTATGAGACATGCACACCTTGGAACAATAGGCAGCTATGAACTACAATGAGCAAGACAATATAACTGAAATGACTGTGTTCACATACTGAAAGTATAAAGAAGTAAAGTGTAAGAATACATATCATATGCTCTTTTATTTTTCAGGAAAAAGAAAAAAGGAGAATCAAAATAATTTATTTCTACCAGCATTCCTTTGCAAACTGAGGCAAAAGAGACTAAACCAGAGGATAATGTGATGGATTGTGTACAGGTTATTGGAATAGCGCAGAGAATGATTGGTAAAGTAGGTGTAAGTTCCATGGATTCATCCTTTCACCTAATTTTACTGTTGGCAGCAACTTAGTCTTCTGCGTAACAAATTTATATTTGAATCAAAAATAAGGGAGGGAGATCTTAATATGGAACATAAACAGAAATATAAGAACTCAGTATTTTTTCAAATATATAACTTAACCTCACTGCATTAAAAAAAGGAATAAACAAAATTGACTTTTGAATATAATATGTTGATTCTGTGTACTATCGATCTAAAAGAACTGCAATCTATTGAGTAGGTTTGCTATTGAGTTGGTGGATAGCTGGATCGGAACCTTCCTGGGCCCATAGTGTGAAGGAACAAATGAGTAAATGACAGCAAAGACATTGAGGGTCAGATTTCTTGTCTTTGGAAACAGCAAGTACAAAAGTGATGGATGGCTATGGAGGTTTATTGGAATTGAAGGTATCGATATGAATTTATAAGTTTTTCACTAACCACATCCATACTATATAGAGTGATATTGACATGTCATACTTACAGCTGTATTTTGCAACTTTGTCCACCGAATGGGATTATAAACAATGGTCCATCATCAGAGATCTGCACTTTTAGAAACTGTGTCCTTGTTTCTAAATATAATATCCAAAAAGGTGGTTAGTGTCCGTATGTATGCATGTGATCACCGGCCTCTCTCTAGTCTCTCCTTATCGTGAGAACTATAAGGGAAAAGTGGAGTTAAGAGCAAATCATTTTCCTTTGAGGATCAGCTTCTGATTTTGAGCTTGGGATACTAGCAGGGGTTTAGGCAGGAACCTGTAGAGATGGGTCATGGGGGTGCGTGCCATCAGTAGAGCCAATACAGAGGAGACAGGCGCCCATCACTTTGGGAACAATCCCTAAATGCAAGTCACTCGGAGGTAGAATATTCTTCGACAAGATTTGCTCTGGTGCCGACCCTTCCCGGTGGAGTATTTTCTTTGTGGATAGTGTGATGATTGAGTGGACAGAGAGGGGTTTAAAAAAACTCACCTACCTCTCCCTCCGGTGGCCCAAGGTTGGGGAGAGTGAGTATAGCCTGTCCACGGCGCAGGCAGCAGCGTGCAAAGGGACAGTCAAAAAAGGCAGGAGAGATAGGCGGTGTCTCTTATCTCTTCTGAAGGGGCAGGCCAGCAGCCAGCAGCTTTGCGTCACTGCCTGTGCACTGTGCACCTAGGAGGCTCACCAGACCCTCTGCTTGGTTCTGGGGCTCAGCACAACTGGGTTCTGAAGCTTTTACAGCAGTGAACATGGCGGAGCAGAGTGCTCTGCTTCTAGTGGGCTTCCTACTGCCTGGACTCCTGCTCTCAGAAGCCTCCAAAATCTTGACTCAGTCCATTCTGGGTGAGTACCAGCAGGCAGGCATAACCTGGTAACCTTGCTAGAGCTGAGGAAACAGTTATAGGATGGAGGGTCACTCTGCGTGGCATTCCAGTCCGGGCTTGTGTTCAGGGCTGGAGTGGGGAGACGTGCTTGGGGTGGGCTGTGGGCAGAGAGGGGCCTCCACTGCTGAGGTAGAGAAGTTGGTTCTGGAGAAAACAGTGATTTCCTTTCCTGTCCTTTTCTGCCTTCAAAGTGCTTCCCACAGATCATGGCTGTGGCCAGAAGTTCAGTCCTGAGCTTGAGACTCAGTCTCCTTCTCCAGGGTGCTAGTGGAACAGTTAGACTTTCACCCTAAAATTCTGGAGGGTGCACGGTAGTTGCCACTAGAGAGAGGGTGGTGAAGTCCATTTCAGGAGACTGAGGTCCTTCCTTCCAGGAGGTCACGGGCAGTCGTTCCTGGGGGGAGCAGCGCGGATTTGGAGCGGCCATTAATTGGAAACTCCGAGGTGATGAGGGAGAGGACCCTTGGACAGCTGAGTCCTTGGGAGCCCCCCTTCCTTCCACATGTGCTGGTGGAAGTTTTTGAAGGATATTAAAGCAGTTAAATCCGCATATTGTTGACGAAGTTTTATTCCCTTCACTTTTGCCCAAAGGGAACAGAAGATGAACGGGGAAAAAATTGATTAGAACTAAGTTCTCTGAGGCCGGAGTTTCTTCATGTGGTTTATTCAGCCATCCCAAAGGCGGGTGAGCCCCCTGAAGTCATCTCCAAGAATCTTGAGAGGGGACGTGAGGGTCAGGGAAGGGAGCCACCTTTGTAGGAGCGCACCAGACCCCCCCTACTGTCACTCCCCAGAAATTCTCTGACCTGATGTCTTCTCACAAAACCATCTTCCACAGAGTCCACTCATTCTGCTCTTCACGGTGAGGGCTGCTGACAAGCAGTGTCCTAAGCACCTTGCTCCAGTTTAAACCCCCCCCTTTTTTTTTGATGATAGAGGCAACAGGAAAGACTTCCTCCTTTCTTTTTTTTAAAATTAATTTTTTATTCTTACAGTGTTTGCTTTCTTTTCTCAGGTGTAGTCCCCATAGAATTTCTACCTTTCTTGAAAGTACCTTATTCTGTTTCAGACCCCCAGAGGGAGCTGGTGCGTTAGTGCTGCAGCTCTCCCTCCATCCCCGAGTGAACTCAGCTCACCTAGACTCTCCATGATTTGCTGCTTGCATGGGGATGCCTTCTTCAAGCACCTTCCAGGAGATAAATGTTAGCAAGAGCAGGCAGTCTGGTGAATCGGATTTTGTGATTTCTATCACCCAGACAATACAAGTACAGATTAAAAAAAAAAACTAGAGTAATTCCCACAGGTACAAATTATTTTGGTAGTTCTACCTCCCTCTCTTCTGACCCAACCCTTGTGGACCTTCATCTCCCCAAAAATCTTTACTGCCTGACTTTGGTAAATTCTATTTTTCTCCTCCATCTGACTTTTGGTGCTGTTGTGTTCCATGAATACAAGAAAAATGCCTCAAGATGCCATATTGGTATGATGGAACTTGTACCTCCACTGAGAATTAAGCTTTTCTTTCCTTAGGAGCCCAGGATGGCTGTAGGATGGGTATGTCTGGATCTGCCATGCATATAGGATCCTACAGGCCAACCTTGTGGAATCAAAGGTTATCTTAACTGTCTTAATTGCAGATTGCAGGCCCCAACTGAGAAATTGCCTGCCAGATATATTTGAATCCCCAGGATTTTAACTCTGAGTGGTGGCCACATGTCCTTCCCCTCCAGTGACCATTTCTGAACTCACTTGATGCTTTCATATTTCTGGTTTCTATACTAGTATAAATTTTCAAGATGAGGGATCCCAGATTTTGCTCTGGGATCCTCAGAAACCCTCACACTCCACTGCACAGCAGTGCCAGTATTTCCCTCAATGCAGTTACTTCTTCAGGGCACAGCATAGCAACAGGCCCCAGCTAAGGTGCAGCACACCCCTCAGATCAGGGAGGAAGCTCATCACAGATCAGAGAAGCTCATCACAGTCACAGAGACCACTAGTCGCCAAGGGAATCCTTGACCGGGATTCCCAGAGGTCAACGACTAGGGTGTCCTGGTCCTGATCTGGGGTATACGAAGTGAGCTAGAGGGACTTGAAGAAGCTCCTCATCAACTTTCTATCCACCAGCAACTCTGTTTCCTTACTCTGATTTCACTAATCCAGCATGTCAGTGTCAGACCTTCCATTCTCCTCTTTACAAATCTGCGTTTTGTTCCAAGGTGGAAGCCATTATCTACTGATGGACCGGGCGTCTCAGATCCTTCAAGATCATGGTCATAATGTCACCATGCTTCGTCTTGCAAATCACTTTATCCCAGGTATGTTTTTGCATAGTTATTGATTTTTTGTATTCCAGGCAAAGAGAGAAAATATCTTTTGAAAGAACGGAAAAGTGTGTGTGTGTGTGTGTGTGTGTGTGTGTGCACGCACAAGCACACACTGGATAACTTATTCTCTCTGTAGACCTGGCATCCTCATGATATACCTCCATGTTTCATCCCCTCATCTGGGTGCTACTTCATTCAGGCAGCCTCTATCCATCATTATTGATAGTTTTGATAAATTCTACTCTATAATGTGGTTATATTTGTATTGTATAGAAATTTTCAGCCACATTGAAGACTACTCTTATGTAAGGACAGCTGTTCTCTGAACTTGTATTAACTATTTGCTTGGAGAATTCCCTAGGGTTACTTTTTATTAATAGTGTTCTATTTACAAATCTAATAAATAAATCACTTCAGGTATGTCTAGGTAGCAAATGCTTGTAATGCTTAAATATAGTGTTGTTCCAATCAAGAACTGAGATTGCAAGTATAAGATGCCATCCTAGAGATGATTTATTTGTCTGAAGGGTTGACTCTCTTTCCCCAGGACAACTTCTCTAACTCTCTGATTATCAGGTGGAAAGACAATCTCCAGGTGACAGGTCCTCTTTGTTTTGATGAAATAGTCCAGTTACATCATGTATCCTTAGGGCCTGGCTTACAAACCAATTTATGTTCAGAGGAATCGACTTCTGACCAGACAAGTCCCACATCTTTTAACTAGTTCTGCCTTTTTGGGTATGTAGGTAGGACAGTAGCGTAGGTTAATAGGAGAACGCTCTGTCTTGGAATTCAGGCTTTTGATTGAACTTGGGTGCGCCTCTGTTTATCACTCAAGTGGGGCTCACCTTAGCACTGACAGTGAAATATAAAGTAGCTTCGTCTGCTGTCACCAAGGTGAAGTCAATTTCTTATTGGATTTACAGAACTTAAGAAAATATAACTACCTTTCTTTCTCAAATTTGGAAACAAGTGAAAGAAAGTTACGAGAGTTAGCAGATGATGATCAAAATGCCCCATATATCAAACTGACAGGGGGATTTATCTTTAGATCTTCATTAAATATCAATGCCAAGGAGAGGCGTGGAAGGGAGCCCTGCATAAACCTAGATTAAGCTTTGATACTGTTCTGCTTCATCCTTTGTAGTGGTCATCCCTGGTTTTCGGTATTTTTCTCATAGATGCATGTTGAATGGTTCGCAGGAAGATTCCAACTCCAGAACTTTCATTCTACGCAGCTCTCTGTTCTCTGGCAATCTTCTTTGTGAGTTCTAGTTGCATGTTCTTCCCACCTCCAAACTGGGTCTCCTCCATTTAGGGAGATGACCAGGCCAGCTTTGGGTTCCTTGCCTTCATCACCTGGATATTTTCTGTAGGCTTTTGTGTCATCAGTATCCTGTAGAGTCTGGTGTCCACTCTCTGAACGCATTCGAAACATACATTTGGTCTCATTTTTTTTTTGTCATGTAGATAAGGAAGGCAAATATAGAACTATCACTTTCTCATGGCCACAGACTGAAATTCTTCAACAGTCAATATTTAAAACACTTACTTGTTTTTTAATTAATTTTTTTGTTGTTACGTGGCTCACTTGCCTTGGTTTATTTTTTTTTTAATTTTTTAATTGATTTTCTTGTTGGGTAACATTGCATTATAACACTGTATAAGTTCCAGATGTGCATGATTGAAAATTGGCATGTGTATGTGCTCCATGAAACTCTGCACGAAAAATGCAACTTTGCTCTTCACCATCCCACTGTTCCCTTGCTTCCACCCTCACCCCCCACCGCCCTTTCTGCTAACTGCTGATTGATCTCAGAGACCCAGTTTATTTTTGTTTGTTTTAGTTCATCTGTTTGTTTTCTTTTTATAGTGCAATCATATTGTAAAGCACTTTATTGAAGTGATATGGGCATATATATATATATTATTGCATGCATAATATAAAGCTGTATCTATAAACTTCATACGGACATGTAATACGCTATGTGTATTTTTGTAGTTACACACAAACCTGTGGTTGCATCAACATAACCACGATAACACATAATTGTCACCCTCAGATTTCTCATGTCCCTCTTAATCTCCCATCCCATCCCTCCCAGTTACCACTTTTCTCTGCCAGTCAAATGCTGCTACAGCACTAAATGTTAAATGCGTGCCTCTAGTGACCACCTTCTTCACACCATCAAGGTGTGGACCCGGGGATCAGTCTTACCGCTGAGTGCTGCCTGCAATGAGGTCAGGGTGACTGAGAATCAAAAGCTCAGGACACACGGTTCTGCTCACAGAGTCTCTGTCAAATCGTAGATCTTGTGACTCAAGAACTACCACCCAAACTGACACCACCAGAGAGGTGAGACCTTGGTGAGACCTGACCCAGGGTCCTGAAAAATGAAACCATTTTTTTTGTTTCTCAGTTGAAACTTCTGAGTGAAGGAGGGGAAGTTTCTCCTACTTGGGTCAGGCTTACTTGTCTAGAAAATTTTGATTACATCAAAAAAGGACATGTTTGGGGTTTTTTCTCAATAAAGGACATGGGGGGTTTCAAAAGTGTCAGCAGCCAAACTTCAAAACTGGTGTCAGACTCTTAATTACAAATAGGTTGTGGGGAAAAGACGAGGCTTGTTTATAAGGAGGCAGAGAATGAGTATTATTTTAAATTTAGGCTTAAATACTTTGGAACTGAGTAAAAAAAAAATTGCATGTATCAATTGAAGTAGTGAAATGGAATTTTTCCTAAAAGAGAGAGCGCTGAGGAACTAGAAGGGGCAAAGTCTGTATTTTTTTTAAAGATTTATTTATTTATGCATACAAGAGCTAGGGTGCAATCCAGAGGTGCAGGGGTGTGTGTGGGAGGATTCACCAGAGACAGAGTGGGGAGCAGAACGGGCAGAAACACTGAGGTCTACTAGCCATATTTTTAAATTTTTTTTTTTTTTTAATAGAGGCATGCTTTTATTTATTTATTTGTTTGTTTGTTTTGTTTATACATGCACTGGGTACAGTCAGAAGCACGGGAGGGTGGGAGAATTCACCAGAGCCAGAGCGGGGAGCAGAGCAGGCAGAAGGACCGAAGTACACTGCTGAGGGGAGCAGCGGGCGGCAGGAGAGGTCTGCGCGCCATGTGGGACCCTCCTCTGGTGGCCGGGGAGCAGCCGGGGATCGAACCGGCGCTGCAGAGGCCGCGGGCAGCTTCGCAACCCAGCGCTCAACCGCTGCGCCACCGGGGAGGCCCTACTAGCCATATTTTTAAAGAAAACTTTAAGTGGAAACTTCTGGTACTTAACATTAAATAAAAGTGACTGGATTATTGTAGCATTCCAATAAAAATTATCAGCTGCTCTGATTGAAGAACTGAGAAAGACAGCAAACTTCAAAAGGCAAGTGTTCAAATAGATATAAAATTATTATGATATTTCTCTGTGGATATTTTTTAGATTTCAAAAAGAGAAAAGTATCATACAAAGAAATCAGCTGGACTGCAACTGAACATTTTGAAAAAGAATTTGGAAAATTTGTTGCTTTCATGTTGACAGAAGGTTTTCATGGAAGGTAATTTTCTTGTATTCTTTGGATGACTCAATTATACAAATGAATGAGTGTGAACACTTGGAGTGACTTTAAGAGGAACAGATGATGTCATGGATAGATGGAGGGAGGGAGAGACTAAGAGGAGGTAATGGATGGAAGGATTGATTAGATGAGATTCATAAGCTCGGTCATCGCACTACAAACTGTCCCTCTCTCACTGTAAGCGTGAATGTATTTCTGTATAGTATGATCGCAACTCCTAGTACTTTCTGGCAGCAAGGCAAGCTCTGATACTTGTCCATATTTCCCCAGCACAGAAGGAGGCATAACAACTCAATTTCTCACTGTCAGTAGGCAAATTAGAGTCCACATTTTTTTTTTAGATTTATTTATTTATGCATGCAAGAGCTGGGTTACAGGCCAGAGATATGGAGGGTGAGAGGATCCACCAGAGACAGAGTGGGGAACAGAACAGGCAGACTGACTGAAATGCACTGCTGAGGGGAGCAGTGGGCGAGTCAGGAGAGGTCTGCTGCGCCATGTGGGCTGCTCCCTGGTGGGCTGGGGATCGAACTCATGCTGCAGAGGCTGCGGATTGCTTCATAGTGCGGTGCTTAATCCCTTGCGCCACCAGGGAGGCCCAAATAGAGTCCACATTTTATACTGTTTTCCTTCCTTCTCGTCACACAAATTCAAGAATGAAAAAATACTTACATTGATTTTTCTTTTCTTTTTTAAAAAAGATTTATATATTTATGCAAGCAAGAACTGGGGTGTAGGCCAGAGGTGCGGGGAGTGAGAGGATTCACCAGAGACAGAGTGGGGAACAGAACAGGGAGACTGACTGAAATACACTGCTGAGGGGAGCAGCGGGTGAGACAGTAGAGGTCTGCTGTGCCATGTGGTAGCTCCCTGGCTCGGGATCGAACTCATGCTGTGGTCAGAATCAGGCTGTCAGGCCCATTGGTGGTCTCCTGGGTTCAGCATCATCCTGGTTTGAGACAGACTTCATCTCAGAGGGTTATGGTTCCTTGGACACTGATGAGCCTGAGACATGTTTAACGAGGTCTCTCAAACATAATCACAAGGACACCATGAAAGAAGGGGTTGAATGAAATGAAATGAAGAGACTATTGAGAGGTTGAGGAAAGAATTAGGACAAGGGAAACAGAGGGAAAGAAAAGGAGGCAACACTATAGCATCTTTAAACTTTAAAGAGGATGTGGGTGTTAACCCAGAGAAAGGTGAACATTCTAAAAGGGAGCATTTGGCCACCGGAAAGGCTTCCAGTTCAAATACACAGAGACAATCTTTGATTCCTGGGCAGCCTCTTACCCTGTATTGGCCACAGCCCTCCCCACACCGCTTCACCTGGGGGCTTTTCACCTTGCAGGTCCCAGCAGAATGGGAGCCCATCAGCTGCTGATAATGCCCTAGTGCTGACACTTAACCCCTTGCGCCACCAGGGAAGACCCCAAAAGTTTATTTTCTTTGCAGGCAGTGGTAGGGAAACAAGTATAGTGACATAAATATGAGTTAAATGAGGTGTCAGTAAAATTTTAGCATTAACTTCTCTGAGCACTCTAGCAAGCATGAATTGGAAAGGCTAATCACTAGCCTCAAACATGCTTTTATTTTTCTTTGTTTTTAATTGCTTAATCCTGAGACTTAAAGGACATATATCTCATGGTCCGCTTAGAAGATGGATTCTAAAATTATCATTAGAAAGCTCCCTTGGTGAGGCATTCGGTTAAATGGAGGACACAGAAGATTTTTCTTAATTTAAATGCAGTATCATGAATATTGATGGACTATGTGGAGTTACTTACATAGTTTGGCTGGGAAATAGGATTGTTTCTCACAGAGACAATTTAGAGATGAGAATGAGTCTGTCTCAAGCAGACATGGAACTATGAGATCTGCTACAGCAGACAGCTCCCAGAACAGAAGAACCTTGGATTGTAGGAATACCTGCCTCTCTACATCAGCCAGAGAGGGGGGCAGGGAGCAAATGAAAACATTCTGGGGCATAAACACCTGGACCAGCATCACCAGAGCGGAAAGCATTTGTTGAGCAGTTGACGCAATTGGTGGACGGGAGCTAGATTGGGTGTCCCTTACCTTGAACAGTGTTTTTGAGCCCAAGATTATGCTAATTATTGCGAATAATTTCACACCTCCAATGACTATTTATCATCATTATTATTTTTTTCTTACAGAGACACATTTAAAAACCATATACGTTTAATGGAACTATATGGCGTTCGATGTAACCATCTGCTAAGGAGAAGAAATATCATAAATTACTTAAAGAATGAGAACTTTGATTTAATATTTGTTGATGGATTTGACTTCTGTTCTTTCCTGGTTGCTGAGAAGCTTGGAAAACCATTTGTGGCCTTGAATGCATGTTCCTTTGGCACTTTAGACATTGGCCTACCAAGTCCCATATCTTATGTGCCAGTATACAATTCCTTGTTAACTGACCACATGGACTTCTGGGGCCGTGTAAAGAATTTTCTGATGTTCTTGAACTCGTACATGTTTCAACGGAAATTCTACTCTACTTTTGACGACACTATCAAGAGGAATTTTCCAGAAGGCTCTAGACCAGTTTTGTCTCATCTTCTAAAGAAAGCAGAGCTGTGGTTTATAAACTCTGACTTTGCCCTTGAATTTGCTCGGCCCCTACTCCCCAACACTGTGTATGTTGGAGGCTTAATGGCCGGGCCTACAAAACCAGTACCTCGGGTAAGTTAAGCCTTAGCACTCACTATGGACTTCATCCAGAGTCTCAGTACAGAGTTTGTGGCTGCCCCTTCCAGGGGGCTTCTGAGAGTGAAGTAGAATGAAACAAGAAAAACCTCAGGGTATATACCATTGTGTTTTGTTTTGTTTTGTTTTATATTTCATTTCAGTTGATTTCAATTTCATTTAATTTTTTTTAATTTTATATATTTTTTACATCATTTTTCATTTTTGCACAATGTATGCATTTTCATCTTGGTTATATTCCCCATGCAATTCCCACCCTCCTTGTTTTGATCCTACTCCCTCCCTCCCCCCGGAACCCCCCATAGTGTGTCTCTGGTTTATAGTTGCTTATTGATTTTGATTTGTACTTTATTATAATGAGTCTTTTTCCTGGTCCCTTATTTAGGTTTTCCAAATTCCTGCTAAGAATGAGACCATCCAGTATTTTTCTTTTTCTTTCTGGCTTATTTCATTGAGCATGCTTATTTAATTTTATATACTAGTGTAAATAATCTATTTTTTATTTTATTTTATTGTGGTGAGAACACTTAATATGATATCTAATTTCTAAACAATTCTTAACATTGTGATACACTATTGTTGACCTTAGTGTTTTACAAAGATCTCAAGACCTGATTCATCTTGTTTAACTGAAACTCTTCCTAGTTAAATAGTGACTGCCTTTTACTCCTTCTTCTAACTCTTAGAACCCAATTTCAGTTTTTTGGATTCTATGAATTTGATTATTTTAGAAACTTCATGTAAGTGAAATCATGCAGTGTTTTCCGCCCTGTGATTGGCTCATTTCACTTAGCATAATGTCTCAGTGTTCATCCATGTTTTCAGCTTTCATAGGATTTCCATCTTTTTTTTTTTAAGATTGATTTATTTATGCATTCAAGAGCTGGGGTACAGGCCAGAGATGAGGGGTGTGTGTGTGTGTGTGTGTGTGTGTGTGAGAGAGAGAGAGAGAGAGAGAGAGAGAGAGAGAGGATTCACCAGAGGCAGAGTGGGGAACAGAACAGGCAGACTGACTGGAATACACTGCTGAGGGGAGCAGCGGGAGAGACAGGAGAGGTCTATGGTGCTATGTAGATGGCTCCCTGTGCTGCAGAGGCTTCCGATTGCTTCATAGTGCGGTGCTTAACCCCTTGTGCCACCAGGGAGGCCCCGAATTTCCATCTTTTTAAGGATAAGTACTATTTTACTGTATATATGTACCGTAATTTCTTTATCCACGTATCTTCTCATTTGTACCGATGTTATTGCTACATCTCAGCTATTGTGAATAGTGCTTCAGTGAACATGGGAGTGCAGCTATCTCTTGGAGATTCTGATTTCCATTCTTTTGAGTATATACACCAAAAGGGGATGGCTGGATCATATGGTAATTCTATTTTTGTGTGATCTTCATACTGGTTTCCATAGCGATTGTCCATTTGCATTCCGCAAAAGAGTGTGTACAGATGGGAATTTCTCCATATCCTCAACACTTGCTGTCTTCCTTTTTTTGTGGTAATACTTATTCCAACAGATACGAGGTAATAACACTGTGGTTTTGACTTGCATTTCCCTGATTACTAGTGGTGTTGAATATTTCTCCATATACCTGCTGGCCATTTGAGTGTTATAGTTGAAGAAATGTTTATTCTAGGCCTAGCCTGTTTTTAAATGGGGTTATTAGACTTTTTTTTGCTATTGAGCAACAAGACTTATCTATGCATTTTGGAGATTAACCTCTTAAAGGTATGTAGTTTGCAAACATTTCTTTCCATTCAGTAGGGTTTTTTTTTTTTTTTTCCACACAGTTGATTATTTCTTTTGGTGTGGGTAACCTTTTAGTTAGATGTAGTCCCATGTTTATTTATGGTTTTGCTGCCTGTACATATTGCTATACCATTGAAATCATTGTTATGAACAGTATTGTGAAGTTTCCCCTGCATTTTCTTCTAAAAGCGTCAGAGTTTCAGGTCTTACATCTAAGCCTTTAATCTATTTTGAGTTAATTTTGTGGTGTGGTGTAAGGTAAGGGTGCAGTTACATTCTTAGTGTAATGTTGGTATTTGGCATCCTTTCATTTTGATTTGTTTTTCTCCCTTTAACAATTCTTTTAAAGAGGTCTAGGGGTGATAAATGCTCCCAACATTTGCTTCTTTAGTTAAGTTTTCTTCCCTCTTAACTTTTGAAGGGCACTTTTATATGACAGTTTTTAAGGATCATTATCGAGGACAGTCATGAAGGACAGTTTTGAAGGACAGGAAGGCTATAATTCCATTCCCTTCTGGTCTTAAAAATTTCTGCTGAAAAAACAAATGACAAATTTATGGAGACTCCCTTGACTGTGACAAGTCACTTTCTTCTTAATTCTATTTAATTTCTCTTTTAATTCTCTGTTTGTTTTTGATCTTTGACAATTTGAATATAATGTGAGAATTTGCTATTAGATGTAGACTTCTTTAGATTTCTTTATTTGGTCTGTTTTGTGCTTCTTGCATCTAAATGTCCATTTCCTTTTCCACATTTGGGATGGCTTAGCCATTATTTTGTAAAATATGTTTCTGGTTCTGTCTCCCATATATTAATATTTCTGAGACTCTAATAAGGCATATGGTCTTCTTCTTGTTGATGTCCTGTAAGTCCCTTAAGCTTTCTTCATTCTTTTTCAATCTTTGTCCCTCAGTTGAATTATTTCCAATGAAATAATCTTCACACTTACTTATCTTTTCTTCTGTTTGCTTTAATTATTATTGAACTCATTTAGTAAGTTTTCCAGAGCAGTTATTCAGTTCTTTACCTCCATGACTTCTGTTTACTAGTTTTAAAATACTTTTTTAAATTTGCTGAAATTTTCAGCATATTCATGTGCTGTTCTCATGCTCTCAGTGAACGAGACATCTATTTTGAATTCTCTGTGATGTAATTCCTATAATTCTGTTTAATTATATTTGATTTATGGAGATATCTCTTGTTCCTTGCTGAACATCTTTTCTTGATTCTTCATCTTCCTTGATTCCCAGTGTTGGTGTGTGTATAGGAAATGTAGCCTCCTCCCCCAGTCTTCATGAACAGCCATCAGACTAGAGAAAATCCCACTAATCAGCCTGGCCAGAGAATAATGGAAGTAGGTACAATGGAACGCAAATAGTTTACAGAGAATAATGGTCTGCATCTAATAGCAGGATAAAGTCCTAGCTCAAGCAATAACACACACACGCACACACAAGTACAACACACATATGTTCACAGAAATAAAAGGTATATAGATTGGGAAGGAAGGAGTAAAACTGTATTTGTAAATGACTGATTATGTAGAAAATCTGAAAGAAAATAAAAAAGACTACTAAAACTAATGAGCTCTTATAGCAATGTAATATACAAATTAATCTGCAAAACACAATCCTTTTCCTGTATATCAGCAATGAATAGAAGGAATGTGAAATTAAAACCACAAAGCTATTTATATTAGCATCACCAAAAATGAATACTTAGGAATTAATCTAACAACATATATGACAATCTATTTATCATCCTTTATAAAAATTAACCAACATGAGCCATAGACCTAAATATAAAGTGGAAAAGGATACATCACCTATAAGACAATATAGGAGAAAGTCTAGATAAACTAGGGTTTAGCAATTACTTTTTATTTTATTATTTTTTAAAGATTTATTTATTTATGCAAGAACTGGGGTATAAGCCAGAGGTGCAGGGAGTGAGAGGATTCACCAGGGAGAGTGGGGAGCAGAACAGGCAGATCTTCTGAAATACACTGCTGAGGGGAGCAGCAGGCAAGGCAGGAGAGGTCTGCTGTGCCATGTGGGTTAGCTCCCTGTCCGGCTGGGGATCGAACTTGTACTGCAGTGGCTGGTGATAGCTTGATAGCACTGTTTTTAACTCCAATGCACCAGGAAAGCCTAGCAATTACTTTTTAGATCAAAAATTAAAGGTACATTTTATGAAAGGAAGAATTAATATGTGGACTAAATTTAAATACTAAAATTAAACATTTCTGTTCTGGGCAAGACGTTGTCAAGAGAATGCAACTGTGTGTAAATATATGCAAAAGAAATGTCAATTCAAAATACATAAAGAACTATTAAAGTCAACATAAGAAAACAAATCAAGTAAAATATGATCCAAAACATTAGTAGTCACTTCAACGAGGACGATATACAGATGATGATTAAGCATAAGGAGACATAAGAGGGAGACATTCTCCAGCATCAGCACTTCAGCCTCCAGAAGGATCACTGCCCCTGCTGGGCCAGGACAGCAGCCATTCTTTCCCAGACACTAGACCCTCCCTCTAGAATTGGAATATTCCCAGATGAGCCTGTCTCCTGTGACCTAGAATTGGGCATGAGGAATACAGTGATACTGGGGTCAGGTGATATTTTTATGAAGAAAATGATTCCCACATTCTTAACTTCTCTCTTCCGTGAAACATTGTTATACATAAAAGATCTTTTTTTCTGAAAGATGGGGAGAATTATTCCACATGTAACTCCATATTTGGTATGTCTGTGGCAAGAGGTGAATCCAGGAACTTCCTTTGTCATAATATCAAACCACCTTTGTACACATGAAAGTTCTGGATGTAGGCGGAGCTGTTGGTGTGGTAGCATGTGAAAAGCACCTCATGTGCAATGTGAGCTACGTGCTAGCTGGTTACCCCAAGCTTCTTCATATCCTTTTGTCACTGTTTAAAGTATTAAATGGAAAAGTGTCTCCTGAAATCTCAGAAATGAGAAATGACTCTGAGGCCATCCACAAGCAGTGGAAATGAGCACAGGCAGAGAGACTATGGTGTGTCCCAGGGGCAAGAGAACAGTTTCAAGAAAATGAGCTCTCTCCACTGACAGAAGGGCATGTCTAGTTAATGGCTGACTTTCATTTCATGGCTGTGTAGGATTTCATCAACCATTTTCTTCCTGTTTTTCCCCTTTCCTCTCTCCAGGAATTTGAGAATTTCATCACCAAGTATAATGACTCTGGCTTTATCCTTGTGGCCTTCGGTTCTGTAGTGGACAACTATCTATCTCAAGAGTTTCTCATGGAGATGAACACAGCCTTGGCCGGTCTCCATCAAGGGGTGATATGGAAGTGTAAGAACTGTGACTGGCCCAAAGATATCAAGTTGGCAGCAAATGTGAAAATTGTAGACTGGCTTCCTCAGAATGACCTCCTGGGTAAGGACTGCCCATGTCTGCTCTGATCTTTAGGGGCCCTCTGGGACCTTTTATTGAGCAATATTATCAGCATGAAAGGAACACATGGTAGGGAAAGGGCAGGCATGAGTCAGCTAGCTTGAGCTCTTGGGAAATCAGACTAGTTTCAAAGTAAACAAGGGCCATATTCTTTCCTTTATTGTTTTTATCCCTATTCCTATCCTGATCTGTGCAGCCAGAAATAATATTTCTTGTCAGGTTATTTTGAGCCTACTATATTTCAGACTGAACAAGCTCATCTAAACACGATCCAAGACAGTTTATGAGCTCTGGGAACACATGGCTGGAAGTACATGGTTGCTATTTTCTGTGGTCTCTTGAGCACCTTGCCATGATGTTCTACCTGTTCCCGACCTCCCCCCACCCCACTTCGTCCTCCAGGGCAAATTGTGTGAGCAAACTTCACAGAGTTGATTCCCATGATGTCTGATGGGTGGGCCTAAATACCCAAATGCCAAGCTGAGCCATTCCACAATAAGTTCTTGGGTCTGTCGAATTCTCTGTACAGAGAACTTGTTACATTGCTGAGGGTTGTTTTTTTTTTTTTGGTCCCGAGAAATAATTTGGAGACCCCTCACTGCCAGAGTCCCTGACTGTATCAGAATTCTAAGCTGATATTATGGTTCAAACTATATTGGGCATTTGAGACAGAGTTCTGAGCATTCAATGAACAGGGTCTAGGGCAAGAGGCAGATTCATAATTGAGCGGCACAGTTTAAGATACTCTCTACTTTCTTAACATTTATTTTAGTTTTCTAGAAGAAGGTGAAGTGAAATTGGAAATGATGAGGCGTATGTTTCGGCATTCCTACCTTAAGGAATGTCTCAGAAATTGAGGATAAATACACAAAGTATAAGTTTTGTGAATACTACCTTAGTTATGATGTCAATTAAACTTGTTAGGAATTCATGAAAGAGGAAAATAATGGGCAGTGGATAAGAGAGGGAGAGACCTAGAGAGTCAGAGCTAGATTCAGAGCTAGATTCAGAGTGAGAGCGAGCTAGAAAGAGAGAGAGAGAGAGAGAAGCAGAGTGACAGAGTAACAAAGAGTAAGAGAGAACAGAAATTAGAGAATGAAGGGAGAGACAGATGGAAAAAGAAAAGTGAATCACTGAATGGGAGGAAAGACACATTGCTTATCACCCTGCTCTTCAGCTCTCCCTGGTCCTGACTCTCAGAAGCACTGTGGTCCAGATGAACATTCTCTACAGAGATAAGCCCAGAATCTTGTATCATAGAATATGGGCCTTTGAGTGTGTCCTAAGCTAAACCAGTAAATTCATTTTTCCAAACATGCTTTAAGATCATTTGCTATATCCTTTCCCTGATGTTCTGGAAGTGTCCATCCTGAATATTCTGCTCCGTTTCTTATTCACAACAGCTCACCCTTCCATTTGCCTTTTCGTCACCCACGGTGGAATGAATAGCGTGATGGAGGCCATCGAGCACGGTGTACCCATTGTGGGGGTTCCTGGCGGTGTGGACCAACCCCACAACCTGGTGCGGGTACAGGCCAAGAAGTTTGGTCTCTATATTCCTGTCGAGCAGATGAAGGCAGAGACCTTGGCTCTGAAGATCAAGCAAGTCATAGGCGACCCCAGGTATGGAGCTGTCTGGGCTATGGACTCTTCTGGTTACTGAGGGAGCAGGAAACAGAAATCGCGAAGAGTTTTTGTGATTTAAGTTTCTAGAACAGCTATAATATGTAGGTGATGGTAAGAGCGGAACTGTTTGTTTCCTGATAGGAGGAGCAGAGTCATTTAGATGAGATGCTGGTACTGTCTACTTTCTATGTTGTGAGGGACTTGAACAACTTACACTCGTTCTTTTTGAAAGTTGTTGTTTTGGGGGTATTTATAGTAGAATTGCAACTGAGGCAGGAGTTTGCTTTTCTACATCACAAATACACCATGGTCTTTTCCACCTTGGCTCTTTGTGCTGTTTTCTAGAACACTCCTTCCCTGGTCTCCACCATGACACTTCCTCCGAGAAACTCTCTGAGTCCTACCTAGACTCTTCTGACAACAGCTGTCATAATTCATTAATCCCTTCAGTTATCTCAGGATCAATAGAATCACCCCGATTCTATCTGCGTTCTCGTCTCGTCTACCTCTGCAGTAGAAATTACTGCTCTCCCCACAAGACAGCTCTGTGTCTCTTATTCTCCACAGTTCACTGCACCTAGCACAGAGTTTTCTCAAAGCTGGTTTGAGTGAAAGTCTGCAAATCAACTATAAAGCCCCAGTGTGCTCTTAGACAACTTCCCATCCAGCACACTTATCTTGTACCCAGGAAGGACTGAATATATTATTTGTGTTTGAAGGACATGAAGGGTATATTCTATCATATGTGCTTATATATACTGTTTCCTCTAATGTAAAATAAAACTCCTTCGAATAGAGACTGGTCCTTAAAGACGGCCATTTTTTTATAGTCTAGCACTTCTAACACTCAGCCTGGATCTTTGCATGGAGGCACCAGTGTGAGCTTCCAGGGTTCTCAGCTCAACAGTGCAAAGGCCAGGCCAACACTCTCCTTAAAACAAAGTCTCCTGGGACGTGGTGGGAGGGTGTGTGGGTGCAAGGTCACTGTACTCATAGGTACTGTTTCCTTTAATGTAAAAGCTGCTCAGATATGTGAGTGATGCCCCGCTCTGTCTCTGCCCACAGGTACAAATCTGCAGCGGCGGCTGCCAGTGTCATCAGGCGCTCCCACCCCTTGACCCCTGCTCAGAGGCTGGTGGCCTGGACCAACCACATCCTCCAGACAGGGGGTGCGGCACACCTCAAGCCGCATGCCTTCCAGCAGCCGTGGCATGAGCACTACATGTTGGACGTGTTGGTGTTCCTGCTGGCGGTCACTCTGGGCGCCATGTGGGTCTGTGTGAAGCTGGTGGGCCTGGTGGTCAGGTGTTTGGGGGTCAGGAAACTGAAGAGGATCTGATGCCCCCCTGCAGCCTTGGAGGGGGAAATATGAGGGCACTGCTGTTTTGAAGGCTTTGCCAGTGAGACACCCCCCCCACCACACACGTGTTGTGCTCCGTGTAACATGGCACACAAATTTCTCTTCACTATTTAGTCCCTCTGTTTAAAAATCCTTGTGTGGCAACTTGGGATTCTTTTTGGTAAGTTGTTTTAAAATATGTATCATGTAAAATTGTCCATTTTGACCATTAAGGATACAGTTCAGTGGTGGAAGTACATTCACATTATTTTTCAATCACTACGTGTCTCCTCTTCCCAAACTTAACTACACGCATTAGCTATAACTCCCCGTGTCTCCACCTTCCCACTGCTCAAGCCTTGGCAGCCAGGGTTCACTTTGTGTGTCCATGGAGTTGACGTCGGGCTTCTGGCGGACCCCTCTGCTCAGACACAGACCTCCATCATCCAGCCCCAACCTTCTCCTCATCCCTGTCCTAGCCCAGTGCTCTGACTCTTCTTCCTGCTGACAGGACACTTCTCTCCCCTTTGCTCCTTCTTTCACTTTGGCAGTTCGGCCATTTTTGTTCTTCCTCTTACACATCCTTCTCAGCTCTCCACAGTCAGGAAGCCTGGCCTTCTGTCCTGCAGCTCTCCAGGGATACCCTTCCAGGGCTTCACCTTTGGTCTGGTCCCTGACCCTGTCCCCTCCTGCGGAGAACATTCCTCTTCTGCTGGTCGTGTGGGGAGCTGTAGGTGGTTTGGTTCAAACCTGAAGCTATTAGCTTCCTATTTTTCACATTTCCTCCTCAAGATTCCCACTTTTCTAAATGGGGTCAAGGAGACTCTCTGTGGAACTGGAAACCTAACTCTAAGTCTGTGGGACCTGAGGGGGTGGGGATTTTGACAGTTCCCAAGACTTTCTTGGTTTAAGAAATATTTGCTTTGCCATTTCTATGTATTAGAGTATATTCCCATACATCATACATGTTTAGGAATTTATTCAGTTAGAAGTAATAGAAACCAGAAAACCATGGTCTAAATGTGCTAGAATGCTTGTATCATTTTCTTTCTGTAACTCCACCTTCTCCTTAAATTTTATTTATGTTCTTTTTAAATATACTTTGCTGAACTGTGGTTCTAAGATGACTCTCTGGAATATTGTTTTCATGAACGATTTTACCTTCAGATGAGTGCTTTTGCATTCTCAGATGGAGTTAAATTCCTCTTTAAATGTTTTGACTGGGCCTCGCCTGGTGGTGCAGTGGTTGAGCGCTGGGCTGCGAAGCTGCCTGCAGCCTCTGCAGTGCTGGTTCGATCCCTGGCCACCGGCGAGGGTCCCACATGGCGCGCAGACCTCTCCTGCCACCCGCTGCTCTGCTCAGCTGTGTTCTTCAGTCCTTCTGCCTGTTCTGCTCCCCACTCTGGCTCTGGTGAATTTTCTCACCCTCCCGTGCTTCTGACTATACCCAATGCTTGTATAAATAAATAAATAAATCAAAAAAAAAAAAAAATAAATGTTTTGACTGTGTGGGATGTCATGGATTAAAACAGAGTGAAGATTAAATACTTTAATCACTTGGATGGCTTTGGAAAGTAGTTTCTGATTGCTTAATTCTGGAGTTGTAAAACATCTTGAAATAATTCAAATGAAAAGATGAAGCAGCTACTATGAATACTCTCTTCAGAAGCCAGAGAACAAACAGCCACCCTTGTGAATGGCAGTATGGGCTCTGCCAAGTTGTAAATAGAGCTGGGTATCTGGTGACTTCCCTGTTCTCTGATGTTCATCAGGAGTCTGACACCTGCAGAAGTGTGGGTGTGTCTGTGTAATCAAGAAACAGTGACACTCTCTGATGTGCACAAAGGCCAATAGACCATGACAACAGTTTTGAGAAAAGAAAGAGACTTTATTGCAAAATGATTGGCAAGGAGGTAGGAGGTAACTTAGATTGTTTCTGCAGTTAAGAAAGAGAATGAGGTTATGCAGGTTTTGGGGACCGGGGTTGAGAGCAGAGTTACACTTTATTGGCGAAGGAGTGAGCTAAGGGCAAAGAAAGAATTTGGCTAGAGTTCAGTGATTAGTTACATGGCAGACCATACATGAAGTATGGAAAGGATTTTCTTCAAGTAATTGGAGTTTTGAATTTCTGTTGGTAAACCCCTCATGCTGGGTAATACCCCACCTCTGCAAGCCTGAGACTTAGCTCAAGATTAGTTGTTAATTTTCCAGCTTCTGCTGTATCTGGAAAAGTGAGTCTCAGAAAAGTTTAGGTACTTTTTGTTTTGTTTTGTGCTCTAGGATTTGAAAACCAGTTAGCCATTTAGTCTCAGTTTCATATGTATGATATTAGGTTTTATTTCTGTTATTATGAAATTTTTAAACTGGCTATGGCAATAGTTCTCTAAGAGATAGTCATGAAGTCCTCCTTGTGTTGTCACTGGAACGAATAACCAGCATTTCACTCCCCTCAGAAGCAGCACAGGGACCTTAGGATGAAGGTCCTTGATGAGCAACTCCTTTTCCACCATATTGATTCTCCCTGAACATCTATTAATTCAGTGAGGCCAAAATTGTACCTGGTGCTTGCTGGGCTCCAACTGCCCATGAAATCTGATCAATAGTAGGCAGTGAGGCAGAACGATGCCTTTCTCTTGTTCTCTTCAAGTATCTCCCTCGAGATGGCTGCCAACATGGTCTTGATGATGTGGAAATCTGATATTATAACTCGCTGATTAAAAACTTTTGTTGGCTCCATTGCATGGGATCAAGTTCTTCTGAATTGTCCTTGGCTACCACTCTAGGGCCATCTTGAAATCTTCAGGGTAAATAGATATATATGAACACATTCAGTTGATTATTGACTAAGTTGGAAAGGCAATTCAATGGGAAAGGAAAATATTTTCAGCAAAGTATAATAGGACAATTATACATTTAAAAGGGATTTGCTCTTAATAATATATGAAAAAGGACATTGACTGTTCCCTCCTACCTTAAACAAAAATTAACACAAAGTGCATCAGAGACTTAAATGTAAAAATTGAAACTGCAAATGCTATAAAAGAAAGTGTTTGAAGTCTTATGGTAGGTATAGGTTTATTATTCAAAGCACTAAAACACAAGTTATAAAGACATTTGATAAATTGGACTTTATCAAAATTAAAAACATTTACTCTTCTAATATTATCAATAAGACAACAAAAATGTAAAGCACAAACTGGGAGAAAATATTTGCAGCACATTTCACAGACAAAGAACTTATATCTAAAATGTGTGGATAAACCTTACAATGAAGAATAAAAATGGATAAAATGGTTTGAACAGACACTTCGCAAATAAATGATGACCAATAATCACATGAAAGTTCACTTAACACAATAGTCATCAGAGAAATGCAAACTCAACCAACATTTTGTCACACAACATATTGACAAAAAAGGCCAAAATGAAAAAGGCTGACAATTCCAATAGAGTTGCAGACCCCCTGCATTCCACTGCAGATAGGAACATAGATGATGCAACCACTTAAGAAAATCACTGCAGTTTCTCAGTTAAGCACATGCTTTCCTTATGACTCAGCCACTCCATGTCTAGGTATTTACTCAAGTTAAAAGAAAACATGTCCACCTGAAAAGTTAACCCCAAATGTTCATAGCAACTTTATTTGTAATAGTCCCAGACTAAGGAAAAACTAAATGTCCTTCAATAGGTGATTAGACAAATAAGTCATGGTAAATCCATAGAATGGACTATTGCTTGGCAATAAAAAAGAACACAAAGCTGACTCACATAATTGTGTAAAAGAACCTCAAGATTATCAAGCTGAACAAATGAAGCCAGGCTTAAGTAAGTATATCCTGGAGGATTCCATTTATATAAAATGTAAGACAATGAAAACTCATTATGGAGACAAAAGATTAATTGTTGCATGGAGGTGTAGGCTGGGTTAAGGTGGGTTGGGAATGGGGGTAAAATGGGGATAATGGAAATGTTTTGTATCTTGATTTCAGTGATTTTAGTTTGTTGTATACACAGTGTACCTTAAAATTGACATGAAAATCTTATGATTGAGATATCTTCTATTTGGCTACTTATATTTTAGCATTCATGAACTATTGTTACATATGAATATGTTTGAAAATGTAAATCCATTAAAATAGTTTCCAAAATAGCAGAGCTGCTGAAGGGGGAGGGGGAGGAAATATGTGTGAAAAAGGTAGTAGAGCCTTTTCCTGGAGAATCAGGGACTAGTAAATAGTCTAAGATTAGGGATCAAGTTCATCTACTCAAACTTAATCTGTTTAGTTTGTGAATGAGGCCTGGAATCTTTCTATAATTATAGCACACATTTGAGAACTTACAAGCACACATAAAGTATTTAATTTTTTTAAAAGATTTATTTATGTATGCATACAAGAGCTGGGGTACAGGCCAGAGGTGTGGGGGGTGAGAGGATTCACCATAGACAGAGTGGGGAACAGAACAGGCAGATTGAACTAAGTACACTGCTGAGGGGAGCAGCGGGCGAGTCAGGAGAGGTCTGCTGCGCCATGTGGGCTGCTCCCTGGCTGGCCAGGGATCGAACTCGTGCCGCAGAGACTGCGTACAGCTTCATAGGTTGTGTCTTAACCTGTTGTGCCACCAGGGAGGCCCCAGTATTTAATTTTTGAACTTTAATGGGCACAAAATATGACATACTGTAGTGCAAGGTAAAAGTATCAGGCTTTTCTACCCTCCCGCCATCAGGATAGATGATGGAACCCTGTGGTCCTGAATGCATGCCTGATGGCGGGCACCTGGAGTAGGGTGTGGGCATAGGTAGATGGGATTCACCTGGGCTAAGACTGGGCTTTTAAGGGCCACATCACGGAGACGCCAGCAGAAGCAGAGTGAATCACGAGAAGAACAGAGAAGCCGAGAGAAGTAGAACCATGAGAGCGGCAGAGACCACCGGAGAGCCCAGAAAGAGTGAAGACTTGCTGGGGGCTGGGAGGCCTGCTAGCCTCCCGGCCCCCCAGCACCCCTGCCTGCTGTGTACCCGGTAAATCCCAATAAAAGCCTGCAAAAGCCACTGAAGGCTCCAGGACTCTCTCCTCCTTACCCCAACTGCTGGGATCATAGAAAACCTGCTCAGTGCCATGTCCTGCCCTTACACATACACTAGAGACTAAGGGGGGTGATGATAATCTCTGTGCATGTTAATGAAGACTTGTCTTGGTTAAGATTTCAGAAGGTTGTGATTGGAGCAACAAGAAAGGTGACTTATTTAAAGATAAGTCCTTTGTCTCTCTTCTGGGGTTAGATGCCGTTACCAGAAGCCCCGACTATGGTATGTGACACCAACTAAGCTGTAAGAAGGTGCTGACCCTGGCAGGAATTAGTTGTGCAAACCCACTTCCACCCATCCCTTAGTCCCTGGGGCAAGTGTGAGAAGTTGACCAGATATGATGTCTTCTCTAGAGACTGTAGAAATTCATGACCGCATTTGCCGAGAATACATAAAATGTAAGATACAGAACAGAGAGTACAACTCAAGTCTTTATAATTCTAGTCCTTATATTAGGCGGAAAGGATGTCCTGAGCTAATTCCATACAGGCTTTGTGGACTCCACCCCCACTCCAGGCCAAAGCCATCAAGACATTGGGAAAGACAAATCCCATCACCACCAAAGGGAAGGTTGCTGGGACTTGAGGGTGGAGTTAAGCAGCCAGGGTTGGTATAAAACCAGACACGTGGGTCTTGGGGGCTCTCTCTCTCTCCTGCTCACTCGCTTCCTGGCTTCTCAGCTCGTGGCTCGCGGCCAGCCCTCAGAGTGACATTTGGGATTCCAGATCGGCCGATCGGGTAGGACATGTTTAAGACTTAACTCCTACTTTTCTCTCTGAGTTGTACAGTTTTCCTCATTTCCCCTTCCCTTGAGAATACATCTTTTATTAACCTTCTGTGTGTGCCTGCAGCGGGGTATTAAGTCCCTGCTAAGCGCGCGGGTGGGGACCCACAGTCAGGCAACCCATTTTATATCGGGGCTGCCCTGTAACACTTGGTTCTTTGCACCAATTCATGATGGAAGCAACAGGCAGGGTAGAAATGATGAAAGGTAGGGCGGATGTCATGGGCATAACAATGAAAGAGAGCTTGGTTAGGAATGTGTAGGGTAAAGAAAATATCAGGCTTTTCTGCCCTCCCGCCATCAGGATAGATGATGGATCCTTGTCCTGAATGCATGCCTGATGGCGGGCATCTGGAGTAGGGTGTGGGCATAGGTAGATGGGATTCAGCTGAGCTAAGACTGTGCTTTTAAGGGCGGCATCACGGGGACCCCAGCAGCAGCAGCAGAAGCCAAAAGAGAAGCCAAGAAGCCGCAGTAGAAGCCGAAAGAGAAGCAGCCCGAAGCAGAAGCAGAGAGCGCCAGAGAGCCCAGATAGAGTGAGGATTTGCTGGGGGCTGGGAGGACTGCTAGCCTCCTGGCCCCCCAGCACCCCTACCTGCCATATGCCTGGTGAACCCCAATAAAAGACCTGCAAAAAACCACTGAGGACTCTGACTCCTCCTTTACCCGGTCTGCATGGGATCAGAAAACCTGCACTGGTCCAGTTCTGCCTTTACAGAATGTAATCTAATAAGGGTCACTGGAGTGCTTCTCATCTGGCAAACATATTGTTAAGGAATAAGTCCAAAAAAGAAAAGAGAAATTAAGAGGAAAATGAAAGAGAAAAGACGAGGCCGAGGATGGAAATAGTGGTAAACGGCTCTCTCGGCCTGTGGATGTGATGGAGAGAGGGCCTTGAATCACCAGTAATTACACCTCCTGCACCTGCGTGTTGCGGTGTTAAGTCTCACCTGATAATCAGACACCTACTCAGCAATAAACCATCTGCAGACAACAGAAGAGGAGGAAGGAGTTCCCTAAGAGAAATAAGACAATGTGCTGGGCATTATCTTATAAAATATATCTGGTGAGGTGTGATGCTGTTCTGTTCTGGAAACCAAACAATTACCGGCTCAACTTCCTGCTAGCTTCTCTCCCAGTGCAAACAGCTTGGCTTTCTCAGTCACAGGATTTCCTAGGCAACAGAACTGTAAACTTGAGAGAAGGCAGGGCTGGGCACAGATTGATGGCCAGCTAAGCCAATGAGGTGGGGAATTTGCAGCACCAATTCCTAGCAACCCAACTGGTACAAAGAGGGAGGAGGACCAGGCCTGAGGAGGAAAGGTAAGAGGGAGGAGGCTAAGGAAGGTGGGAGGGCGTGGGTCCTCCCAGGTCAGGAGAGAGCGTCCATAGTTTCAGGTCGAAACAGCTGGTGGCATCAGGTTAGCATTTCAGGTAAACAAATATGTTTTTTTTTAATCTATCATGTTGATTTGATCACTTTTGTTTTAGCTAGGAAAAAAGATGGTAGATGTTGCTTTCTAAAACGGAAACCTAACTTTTGATGATCGTTCTTAGATTATTATAGGACTATCAATCTAGGGAGGAAATAGGTCAGTACTGGCAGAGGTTATTATCATCTTTGGGAAGAGGTACTCATGTAAAAAGGTACAAAAATAAATTTCGCTCAATAAAGGGAAAGGAAATCCACATCCCTGAGCAGTCGCTATGTGCTGGGTCTGTGAGTGTGATGTGTTTTGATGACTTGCTCGAACTGGCTTATATGAGCATTGATAAAACTGCACTTCAAGAAGGTTACATATCTCTGAATGATAAAGCAGTGAAAATTTGATCTTTGGTTTGCATCTTGGTTTGTCTAACTTTCAAAGTTGTGCTATTTCTGCTAGACCCTGCTGAACTGACCACTTAGAATCAGATAAGAAGTAGAATTCTGATTTGATTAATCGTGAATCTGAGGAGCTTAGGAAAGGGCAATGCTACTTATCCAGTCTTCCATCCCTCTTGCCTTCAGTCTGGGGTGCAGTTAAGTCAGACAAGATAGATGAATTCTTTCCTGTTTTTAGAGCTCTGATTTTCCCCCTAAAATCTTACAACTGCAGAAATATTTTTATTTTGTAACTGTGCATTTTAAATATTATCGTTTAAATTGTGGGCATTCATTTATATTTTATATTAAAATTCTGATAACATTAGCAATTGTCAGTAGCAATTCTAATAGCATCACACTAACTGCCGATGATAGGATGACAGATGACAGGAGACACGAAGGAGGCAGTCCTTGCCTTAGGGACCCTGCAGCCTAGTAGGAAAGGCTGTTCTAAAAGCAAAGTTGCATCATAGTGCAATGCGGACACAGATGAGTGCAAGCTGTTGCATCTTGGTGGAAGTGGTTACATAGGAACTTCACCAAGTGATTCTATATGAAGAGTGGGACTTCTCTAGGTCCACAAGGGAGGGTGGTATTTCTGAAAACAAGAATGCATCTACACACAAGGGAACAGAGAGAACGTCATGGGATGTTTGGGGAATGTCAGGGCTATAGACATTATATAGATTCAATTTTGAAGGGGTAGAGAATGAATAGAAACAGGTCAGGCTAACATATGCATCAGATGCTGAGAATTTGCATGTTATCTGCACACAATGGGGGGGCCATCTAGGATTTTAGACTAGCCTGTGAAGTTCAGATTCTAAGTGCCCAAGGACAGGTGAGTGGATTAAGAAGTAGTACATCACCATGGCCCATTGTGCTAAAAAAAAAAAAAAAAAGAAAGAAAGAAAAAGAAGTGGTACATGTACACAATAGAATATTACTTAGCCAGAAAAAGATGAAATATTGCTATGCAATAACATGAATGGAATTGGAGCGAATGCTAAGTGAAATACGTCAGAAGGAGGAAGACAAATACTGGAGATTTTACTTATATGTGGAATATTGTGGAACAAAGTGACTGATAAAACCAAGTAAATCCTAGAACTGTGCGTGCAGCATTGAGAATACTAGAATGGGAGGGTGAGGATAGAAATAAATGGGAGAGGACCCCCATTGGTCTGTGGTAGAGGACTATGGATGCTTTTGTGGTAGGTGTGGGGTGGCGACATACATCTGAGGAGATGTGAACCTACTCCCCTAAATCATATACAGTATTATAAACCAATGTTACCTCAATAATTAATAAACAAAAAGATAATTGCAGTAGTGGAAATGACAGAGCTAGACTGGGTGTTCACTCTGCCTGTACCCTCTTTAGGGTCCCCACCCATACGCCTGAGTAGATCATTTTTTAGTCCTGTTTTATTGATGCTGGGTAAGCCCCAGTCAAACTCACTTCGTCTTCAGTCTGGGTAATGAGCTCAAGCCCTTGACTAACAGCTGGAGAGTGCCAACCTGCTTGGCCCATGTATATCGTGGTGCCTGTCCAGACTCATCTGCGTTAAGGTTAGGGTGGCTTTGATGTGGTGTTTGGAGTTTGTGCAGGTCCTTGGGTTCACTCTTAGGAAAGGTTTCACCAGAGTTTCCCTCTCAGCGGCACGCAGCGAGTTTCCTGGCGAGTTTCTCCACGAGACAGAGACAGTAGTTATATTTAAAGAGAAGATTTATTAGGGAAAGAGACAGAAGAATAAAGGACACTTGCACAGACACAAGCGGGCAGGAAGAGCTGCCCCAAAAGAGACAGGTTTGCTGAGAGAGGCCTGCATGGCTGCAGGTGGGCGGCCTTGAGGAGGGCGGCCTCCGCTGAGGGAGGTCAGTGAAGAGAAGCCCCAGCAGGTTCGGGTCACAGGCAGGCAGGAGGCTGCTGCCCTGCAGAGGAGAGTTGGTGAAAAGAGGCACCTGCGTAGTCACAAGTGGGCAGAAGGAGTGTGGCCCCGAGCCTGGGCAGAGACTACACTGATACAATTGTCTTCTGTTTGGGAGGGGCTCACTCCCTTGACCCTTTGGTTAATTGCTGATTTTGGATAACTATGCAGAGTCTGAAAGGGACAGGAGATTCTATGATGGGCTCAATCTCCGTATCTTTACCTTTGGGGTCTGTGGGGCTCAATTTCCAAATCTTTACCCTTAGGTCTGTGCTTTAGACACTCCCTACAGCAGTCTGATACTTGCTTGGATCTTCTGCTTTGTAATCTAGGCGTTGGTACCTGAGGATCTTGGTTTCCACAGCTGTGTCAATGGCCACGCTAACCCATTCTACCCCCACTTCCAGCTCTTGGCATTTTGTGAACCAGGTTTTTGGTCTTGTGTGCTCCTCCTTTTCTTTTCTATTCCTGTCCTCTACCAGTTTCATGGGCCAAAACCACCCTCAATGGGGCAGGAGGCACACCCCACCTGGCTCCCTTAAGTGGGGCTGGGTTTAACAATGCAGGGGGCCCAGCAGGAGTACCGGGACACACCCAGGGTCTGCAGGATGGGATGCCCGCTGGGAACACTCTCTACTGGCCTGGCGGCCTCTCCATCTGTGGCTCCAGAGAGCATGATGGAGGGCTGACCCAGGAGGGCCCAACGCTCCCATCCAAGCAGCCAGGACCAGGCGCCTCAGTGCTGGCCAGCTCTGGGGCAGGCAACCACCTCTGGTATCTGTGGAGCAGCCTGGGAGCTGCCCTCAGGCTGCACATGCTGGGGTCAGCTGACAGAGCCCAGGAAAGCTGGCTGGCAGGCTCTCTCAGAGCAGCCTTGGGGCTCTGTCCGCAGGCAGCACAGTTGGATTGGGGCCAGGGCTCTGGCAGTCCACCTGGCTCAGCCGAGGGAGGGGCTGCCTGCAGGCAGCTCACTGGGGCCATGCATAACCAACCTGGCCACCGCCTCTGGAGCCCTGGGGATTGGGCTTCTGTTCAATATTTAAAAAATGAATATTTTTGGAGTTGTGGGTAATTTACAAAAGACCCTGCTCAGAATCTGTTTGGCTACTTATATCAGAACAGGGACAAGGACAACCCCTAAATCTGTGCACCTCAGCTTCCTTAGTTTGTGAACAAGCAATAGCTGTGGTTCTTCTAATGTTTGTAAAACACTTTGTAAGCTATAGAAGTTATTATCCAAACACACTTTATATACCGGGCACTTTTTCTGTTCTAACAAAGTAATGGGGTATAATTTGGGGATCACAGAGCACCGAGGAAGTGGTCCTTATTGCTGTTGTCTTTTCCATGGTCCCTGGGGCAGTGAATTTTTTCAAAGCACTAAAAACAGGTTTTGTGTGCCAGAAGGTCTCTTGCAATCTCTGACTTTGCTGCCCAAGTGGCCTCAGATACACATAAAAACAAATGTTTTCCAATAAAACCTTGTTTACCAAAGTAGGTGGGGGTACAGAGTTCAACCAGGGTTTACTGTCCCCAAGTCTAGATCGTGTTAGATTATGTTTGACTAAACCCAGCTTTTCCTCTGTAACTGTCCATGGAAAGGCAAATCATGTTTGCGTTGGGGGTTAGAGGGTGAGAAGCATGAAATCATTAAATTGGTATTTCATCTGCAAACTGCAGCAGAAACTGCCTGCTTAATAGTCACCCTCTTCTTTACACAGAACCTGAGGGCTAGCAAGTGTCCAGTCCAGTCGTCCTCGTCCATTTATAACAAAACACCACAGTATTATGAGCTACTCCAGTAGGTTACAAACTCAGGTATTCATTTCTCCCAGTTCTAGAGGTGGGAAGACTAAGTGCAAGGCACCAGCACGGGCGGGTGAGGACCCTCTTCTGGGTGCACAGATGGCACCTTCTCACTATATCTGCCCTTTGCAGGAGGGATGAGGGAATCTCTCTGGAGCCTCTTTTATCAGGACTAACCTTTCTATGAGGGTGCTGTCTTCATAATTTGAATACTGCCCAAAGGTCCCATCTCCTAATAGTATTTTCTTGGGGGGGGGTAGGTGGGGGGCTGTTAGGATTTTAACATATGAATTTAGGGAGGGTGATGGGGCTGCACCAATTCTGCCTATAGCCCTGGCCCAATTTACAGCAGTGGCCAATGAGAAAGTGGGTCCTCTGGGAACCACTGCCAGGAGCTGACTCAGCGAGGAACCACAGTCTTCTCATCTCTTTCTTTTTCCTGCCACCCGGAGTGTGGATGGAATGGCTGGGGCTGCTGTGGTTATTCTGGAACTTTGGACAGCTTTGAGGGTGAAGGCCATGGTTGGCTAGAAAGATAACTGTTTCTGACGACTTTGACCACAACTTGAACTGCCTCCGGATTTCCATTACATGAGAGAAAAGTAAACTTCTCTCTATCATTTTCAGAAGCAGTTATCTGTTTCTGTAATGAGTAACTGGACAAATTCTCATCTGACTCCCAGGCTGTACTGAAGCAAGCACTCACACTGGATTTCTAC